GACTATATATTAACTATAGACTACTTAATAATAAAACTATTAAGGACTATTATCCTATTCTCCGATAGAATAAACTATAGGATCGCCTCTTAAGCGTAGTATAGTTTACCGCGTTAGATACTAGGGACGCCTATTACCTAATTAGAATAGCTAACGGAGAAGAATAGAAAACGGTATTCCGAATAAGATAGGGGGTCTACGAATTCCTAGTTATACTTTTTAGACTTACTAATATACTATTAACGTTCTAAGAATTTATAAATAACGCTCTAAGAGAATATTTAGATACATTCGTTATTATCTACCTCGACGATATCCTAATCTTCTTAAAGACTTACGAGGAATACGTAGAGTATATAAGGAAAGTAATGGAAAAGCTAAAGGAAAATAAAATCCTACTTAAGCTATCTAAATACGAATTCTATAAGAATAGTATTAGATTCCTAGGCTATATTATATCTTCGGAAGAACTCGTACCGAACTAGGAAAAGGTCCGAGCTATTAATAAATAGCTAGAACTAACGATAGTTAAGAAAGTATAGGCGTTTTATAGATTAATTAACTATTACCGAAAGTTTATTAAGGATTTCTTAAAAATCGTAGTACTAGTTACTAACTTAACTAAGAAGGAAATAATCTTTAATTTTAGGGGAAGATATAAGAGTACCTTTAAAGAGCTAAAGCGACGAATAACGTCCGCGCTAATCTTATATATTTTCGACTTAGAAAAGGAAGTAACCGTAGAAATAGACGCCTTAGATAAAGCAATAGGAGGCTACCTTAAATAAAGAGACGAATAAGGGAAGCTCTATCTAGTAGTATATTATTTAAGGAAGCTAAGCGGACCCGAGGTAAATTACGATATCTACGACAAAGAACTACTCGTAGTAGTAGAATACCTAAAAATATAGAGAGTATACCTAGAGGGAGCTAAATACCTAGTATAGATATACTTAGACTATAAGAATCTAACGTATTAAACGAATTAAACGATAGAATAGTATTTACGATGCTATATAGATTACTAGTAAAGGAATTAGGTCGAGCTATTACTAATAGCTTAATTCGCTTTCAACAATAATACATCGGTAACCGGGATATTACTATTCTTTACGAATTACGGGAGATACCTAGACTTTAAGAAAGAACCATTAGGCGATAGACCTATAGTAGAAAAGGTAAGGATAAAAGTCGAAGACTTATATAAGTTATACTTTCTACTAAAGATAAAATTAGATAAAATATTAAAAATAACTATAAAAGTAGTAAATAAGAAAAGATCTAAGGAACTAGACTTCCGAGAGGAGGAGATAGTTTACGTTAATATAAAAAATATAAAAATATAGAGACTAAGTAAGAAACTAGATTATACTAAAATTAGACTATATATAATTAGGAAGATATTAGAACTAGTCTCTTATAAACTATACTTACTAGGAGGACTAAATATATACTCGGTATTCTATAAATCGCTATTAGAAAAGGTACTAGACGGAGCTAGACTAGAACTAGTATATATCGACGAAGAAACCTAAGAACTCTATTACGATATAGAAACTATACTCTAGTATAGGCAAGAGAATAATTAAATAAAATATCTAATTAAATAGTTAGGATACCTAGAGGAGGAAAATACGTAGGAACTAGAGATAAACCTTAACCCGAGACTTATAGTCTAGTATTATCGGACTATTAGATAATCTAAGGGGATGGGACCTAAGAAGTAGGCTAGGGAACCCGGCGATAAATTAAAGATATCTTTAAGCTAGGCGTTATCTATACCTACTAGAACGGTAGAGGAAGCTTAGGGTAGGGGATCGACGTAATCTAGTATATCTAGGGCGTAGGCCTCCTAGATGACTATTTTCTTTTATTTCTTAAGTAGCTACTCGGCTTCCTTTTCGAGGCGCTTACGCTTAATATTAGCCTAAGTAATAGAAGAAAGTAGACGCTATATCTCTTCACTTTTTTAACGGATTTCTTCGCCTTTCTAGCGAGCGGCCTCGGCTAAACGGCTACGCTTAGCTAATAGAGCCTCGAACTTAGTATTAGAAAACACTCTATTATAATCTTTTCGGTTATTACGTATATAGTTATTACATCGCGTATAACTATCTAACATAAAATAGACGATATTTACATTCTAGTAAGGAGTACAGCGACCTATACTTTCGTATTTTCTTCCGAGAGTTTTAATTTTAAGCGCGGTGCGCTAACGACGAACAGTAGAGGATTTAGAACGCTTAATAACACCTATAAGTAATATAGTTAGCTATAGGAAGAGGAGAAAACGAAAGTATAGGAGGGACTCACCTTAAGTACGTTAGGGATAACGACTAGAAGGAGGGGAGGATAGTATTACGAGCTAGGTTACTTAAAAGGTTGCTAAGGGAATTAAGGCACCTACCTAAGGAAGGAGGTTAGCCGATGGAGAACGAAGCTAAGTTAGGTGACTAGGCTAGGCTGGATCCCCTGGATCCCTTAGATCTTATGGGATCTCGAGAGATCCGGGGGGAGCTATAAGATCCAGGAGAGCTACTAGCATTATATATACACGCTTATTACCCTAGATAGGACTATTATAGTTAACTTCGTTAGTAATCCTATACCTACATTTTAGGATACAGTCCGACGAATAAGTATTCCCTTTATTATCCTAGTCAGTACTCTAATACCCATTCTATTAAGGAACCCTACCTTGGTTAGAACTACTTGTAGCTCGGATTATAACACTTAATTTCTAAGTATTCTAGGAGTTAACTCGTATTTACGAATACTCGGCAATTACTCTCGTACTTACGAGATATTATAACGGAGCCTACGCCTATATAAAATAGGCCTATACTCCTTTACTTAGATAGATCTTAAGTTATTTAATAAGATAGAAAGCGACTATAGATTCTACTCTTTCTTTCTACGGTCTTCGGCTACTTCCACTATAGATCCTAAAACTTATCCCCCGGATACTATATAACTATCTATTCGTTCTATATTTAAATTATTTAAAATAATTATACTACCTACTATAAGAGAGCTTTCGTTAGTACTATCGATATATCTATCTTATACGATAAAAACTCTTTTTCTTAACTATATAATAGAAAGCTTAACGTAATATAAGAGTTTTAATAGGAGCTTATTTAACTACTATAGGACCTATTTAATAAGGACGTTAAGCTCAAGGAAAGAAAGAAAGAAGTCCTACCGCTATCTATAGAAAAATATAATCTCCTAGGGTAGGTCGCCCGGTATCCTAGGTAACTATTAGTATTATATAATATCGTCCGGCTATATAACTATACGATCGAATCTAGGTATCGCTAGTTTAGTCTTAGCGTCGCTCGCTAAGATATCCATTAATATTACGTAATATCGTTCGGCTATATAACTATACGGTCGAATCTAGACGTCGCTAGTTCTTACTAAGATATCCTACGGGTTTAACCCGTAATACTTATATACTAGAATCTCGGCGTTCGCTTAGCGGCGCTTATCCGTTCCTAATACTATTGATTTTAATATTTCTATCTTTATAACTATAGTAAGTCTATATACCTTACACTAGTCGTATACTAACTATTTCTTAAAATAATCTTTCTATCTTTCGCTAGACTAAAGAGCGATTTTCTTCGAAAGAGAATAATAATAATAATTTCGGTAGTAAGTAGCGTATTACTCGTATATAACCTATATATAGATAGTTAGTTAAGATATAGATTAGTATTATCGCTAAGTCGCTTATATTTCGCTTACGTCGATTTCGATCCATTCTTAGTTAGTTAGTTAAGAAGAAAGAATAGCTTAAAGCTAGTCTCTATTTACTCGCGCGCTAGTTATAGCTAAGTCGTAGTCGATTCTTATATCGTACTTATAGTTCGGAGTCTAATACTATATTATAGTTAAATCGATATATATTCTCGCCTATCCTATAGGTTAGATAAAGGGGTAGGGCTACGTTCCTAGGAGTTCTCTTTCTTCTAGGATCGTAGAATAAGAACTAACCGATACTAAAACGAATACTATAGTAGCTATAACTAGAATAATACTCTTTACTTACCTATATTAGCGAGGGAATAGTAACGCTAAAGATCTCTATAGTCTTAAGCTCGCTAAAGGACTATACTTTTAAGACTTCTCGTAATAGATATATATAAAGCTATAATAGCCTTATTCGTAAAGGTTACTACTACTAAAACTTAGGCTATATAGTTATATAGCCGAACTCGTAGAAGGAAAATACTCTTATTTCTATAAACTATACTCTTATGACTACTATTTAATACTTAACGTACGCTCTCGTACGTAACGTTGCTTATCTCCTTGTCCTCGTCGCTTAGATTCTCTACTTTTTTCCTTACTTACTTGTTCTTCCATACTAAGGCTCCTTCTCTCTTCTTTCATGACTAAGCGCCTCGAGCCCTAATATAATAGTATAGTATAATATAGACTTAGTTATTATTATATCCTCTAATAGCGATAATAGCTATTAGTATAATAGAGCTACTTAGCTATCTAGTTTTCTAGCTTCTAATCTCTAGAGTACCTAGGTCCTTAATCTAAAGACTTTAACCTTCGTATCGTATATTATTATTCGTAATAGTAACTATAGGCGGGTTCTAAGAATATAGGCCCTAGCCTAGATGTAGGCAAGATTAATCCGTTGCTTAGGCCGAACTATACTATGCTTAGTTACGTACAGGAGCATCTTAGGTTAAAGCGGCGAGGCTTAGGGCCACGCTCAGGTCTAAAGATGGAAATGGAAAGTACCTACGTCGAGATTCCGACGTCGAACTCTGTATTTCACGAACCAGACATTCTCCGTTTCCAGTTCCTTGCCAGGACTGGTGAGCTTGAAGTCGAACCTTCGAACGAACTCGGCCACCAGCTTTGAAATTCCAGGAGGCGATGCAAGTTCGAGAACCAAACCTGAACTATACTAGTCTCAGCCCGCACGTCCGAGGTATTCCGGCAGAAGAAGAAATGTTCGTAACCGTCATAAATTACTTCTCCATTTTAGAAGCCCGTTTGGCACTTTCAAGCCAGCGCTCTGGACGGTAGGTGTCCGCGTCCGCTCCGAACACATCCTTATTGCGGTGAGCTACCCAAGAGTTTACTCCAACTATCGCCTACAAGAAGAACTTACCATCTTTGATCCATCGTGTGGCAGATGTTGGACGGTATACTCACCCCTTCCAGGAAGTATCTACCACAGAGATACACGCCTCCTTTAGGTACAACGCGGGCAAGCGGCAGCCTTGTGACAGGCTGCATTCTTAGACCTTCTTTAATGCATACCTGCAGATACGGCATACTTTGGGCCTCCGTAAATGAAATGATGGCGTTTGGAGAGGCTTTGTCTGATATTTATGTCGATTTCCGCTCGTAACTAGCAATGTTATGTCAAGACGGGAAACACGGGGTCAGAAGTGGGACTTCGATGTCATGACGGCTAGACCAAGTACTCAGCTTCTTATATACCTCCGCATTCTTCATCAAGTGATACATAACGGCAGCCATACTGATGGAGGTGGTATCTGAGACGGCGCCAATATTGGTGAAACACGACATCAAGACGTGATAGATGGTGAACTTGACGGGATCCCCAGAATGCAGTGTGAGAAGCTTGGCTAAGAAATCATCATCTTGTCTTGTTACTCTAGTCTCAAATTTCGTGGCGTCAAGCCTCTCTGTGATGTGCTTCTGGCAGAAATCGACCATATACTGCATCATGGGTATTCCGAGCAGAACCTTGATGTATGAGATGATCGGGTGCCATTCGCTGTAGATGCCGACGTTGGCGGAGTGCACAAGGTAGATATGAATGGCCCTCATCAACCCCATCTAATCGCAGCTGGAGTCGAGGAAGCCAAATCTCTTCCCAACTTTAAAGTGTGTTAGAAACACGATAGCAGTGAGGAAGGCTTATAACTCAGACCTACCGTGATTAAACCAATAGTATCAAATGCCCAATATTGGCACTATTCTTGCAGGTTGATATCGCACTTGGTTTGAGAGAACTCCTCGAACTTTATGATCATCCTCCGAGCGCAGCCGTTGACGTCCTCTTCCATCTGGACCAGCGATGTCATGGAGTACAAGTTTGCCACTCTTCGGTCTCCACGTGCCGTTTAGGGTCAGGGTGACTGCTGGCGTAATAACAAGGTGCCTAAAGATCAAAAATTACATTTTCAAGTCGGTCTGATGCGATGAACAGCACACCTTAACGAACCGAGAGCCGTGTCCGTATATTACTTTGACAGCATTCGCATCATCGAGACTGTACTCATTTGGAGCAATCCGGACGACGGGGCCTTTAGACATCTGTTATAAGGCTGCTTCGTCTGGCTTGAAAGTCCTTTTCCCTACCGAATTGTTCGTGTAATCTGCTGTTGACTTTCTCGAAGTTGCCCCGCCAGACGTCTCGGAGATACCACAGCCGAGAGAATCTGGCGAAAAAGGGTCCCGGTGTTCCTCTCAGGGGCGTCCCGTACGCCCTCCATAGTCGATGGAAACCAAATCCGAAGAGCAAAATTAGCACGATCGAAGCAAAACCATACCGTTTGAGCTCGGAGTCGAACGTGCTCATCTTGAGGATATGTGGGTCCGTGGCCACTCAGGAGGAGGGGAGAGGAAAACACCGACACTTGACGAGGATATCAATAAAAGGATGGATAGAATTGCCTGAGAAGAATTTCCCGGTTGCTCAGCCGCTCTGCATACCTTCCTTTCCCTTATGCGGCTCCATCTCGCAAGTTCTGAAATCTGCGAGGATGCTTGCTTAACAACTCAAGGTGGGGATGAGGCGAGCGGGATCGAGAAAATCCAAGGAGTGTTTCCCCACACGCCTCTCCGTCTCTGCAGAGCTCCAGTACCCTCCCACATAATTTCCCCACCAAATTAGGGGTACATCCCGTGCTGGTTGTGTTAATTAACACCGCATCGCCGTTGCAGCAGCTGGAGGAGTTCGCGAACATTGATGGAGGGTGGTGAGCAGACTGAGAAATAACCAAAGGAGCGCTGCTTGACACATGACCCGTTCAGGCTTTGCCAGCTCTTCGAAATGACGGCTGCATCTCCCAATGTACCCAATGCATTTCGGGAAAGATGCCATTTAGCAAACCTCCATCCTCAGCCCTTTGCTCTACGAGTGTCTCGTGCAGCAGCCTCTCCCGTTTTGCCTGCGTGTAACCTGGAAAGTAGGACCAAAACCTGCTGGACAATTGAGCTTTCCGCAAGTGGTTCAAGGTGTGGGGATGTCAAGATAGGGCGCGTACGAAAGCGTCGAAACCACCCAGTATCGCAGGACAAACAAATTTTTGATATGGATAGTCATGAGGATTCAATTCGCCCACAGAGGGGCAATTTGTGCATTGGTACTTCTTCTATAATTTTCGGTCCATCTCCTTCGTTCGCCCGCTTCTAAACTTAAGACGCCGCCACAGCTCATGAAGAACAACAAGGAGAAAGAAATCGAAAAACGAGTCTTCCTGGTATCTCGTGAGCCATAGAAGGAATAGATATGATGGTGGACATGTATGCTTTTCCAAACAATGGGGCAAAAAGCGCAAACAGGACAGCCTATCTATGCACTCAACCAATCGAGGAACTCGGGCGTGAAGTAGCTGATGACAATTCCCGCACCGGCTCGCAAGATGCCTTCGGTGCTCTCGAAGGCCATTTGCTTCAAATCAAAGACTCCTGCCTTGGCACCGGCATGGAGCATTGCGTATTCACCTGACACCTGGTATGCGGCAATGGGCATGTCTTTGGCGATTTCTTTCGCGTCGGAGATGATGTCCAGGTAGGAGCTCGCGGGCTTGACCATGATAATGTCGGCGCCTTCTTGGATGTCTCGGGCTATGGCTCTTCGAGCCAACCCTCGTCCTCCCGGTGGCAGTTGGTAACACTTCCGGTCGCCGAAACTGGGGCACGAGCCCGCCGCATCGCGGAATGGGCCGTACAGGCACCCAGAGAACTTGGCGGCGTAACTCATCAGGTTGACTTGATGGGAAAGGCCGGCCTCAATAAGTTTTAATTTTATGGCCCGGATTCGTCCGTCGTTCATGTCTGAGGGAGCTACACAGTGGGCTCCGGCCTGGGCGTACGCCATGGCCACGTCAGAGATCCTCTCAACGGACATAGCATTATTGAGACTCCCATCATCGCGCAGGATACCACAGTGGCCGTGCGACGTGTACTCGCAGAGACACACGTCAGCGACGATGAAGAGCTGGGGGAAGTTTCGGCGAAGCAGCTGGATGGCTTGGATGACCGGACCTTCTGGATCGTCCGCCGCAGTGCCTAGTGCATCTTTGGCAGTGGGAGCCAAGGGCACGCCAAAAAGGATGACAGACCGTAAGCCCTTTTGCACCAGTGGTGTGATGAAAGAGATTAATTTATTGAGGCCCAGGCGATTCTGGTTCGGTAGAGAGGGGATGGGGGTGAATTCATCAGGATTATCGGTAATGAAAAGGGGGTAAATGAGCATCGACTGGAGTCCTGTCAGCATTACAGAGTATAGCTTGAATAGCTTTGTCTTATTGTACCTTCGTCAATTGTCTTTCAGCTTGCCATGCTCTTGACAGAGGATGGCTGTACCCCGCATGCAGTTGACTAGAGATATCGCCTGCGATGCTCACACTGGTAGCAGCAGTGGATGCATACGAACGAGCTTGCGACCTGCGCGAGATGGTGGATTGATCATCAATATTGCTATTAATCGTACTGCCACTAGCACGAGGATTCTGTAGCGAGGGGTCGCGGAATGCGATGTCTTGTACAAGAGATGAAAACGACATGTTTAGAGTGAGGATAGGTGGAGTGTGATTTCAAGTTAAGGGCAACGGTCAGTTCAGACGATGTGCTGTCGTGGAGACAATGAACGGTGTGGATGAGGAACTGCGAGGGAACAAAGACGAAGAAGCGGCGAAGTTCCACAGTCGCCTTTTGCTTCCAATTGCAGCGAAAAAGTCGCAGCATACGAAAGAAAATGGGGTAATCGTTATTGGCCAACCAAGAAACGATGACCCTTCCGAAACACGCTATTCGGGGGAAGTTTGAGGGGGCGCGGCGGATAAACGATGTTCCAGCATTCCAGTATCTAATCTGATCTCCGTGGAGAAGTCGTCCCCCTCAGAGGGGTTCCCGCATGCCTCCGTCCTCATGTTCCGAGTACTCTGTACATGGAGTCCTTCCTGCAATTCTAGCGATAACCACAGTAGTATTCAATGCGTGATGTTCCCGTGATCCAGTGAATATTTGCCCCTCAACGCCGTCGCCATGCATTGCCAGACAACCAAAGATTTACAATTGAATGTCATTGTTCAAGAGGCGCACCTCCTCGCCAGGCTTGAAAGCTGGGAGCCCGATATATGGACATCCGTCGCAGCGGAAGGCATCTAGTACGCGAAGCGTTAATATAGAGCATGTTCTGTGGGACTGAAACACTTACCCCCTAGACTGCAGTTTCCACAACTGCCGACCTTGCCTTGGACTGTGAAATCAACCTCGGCAAGATCATCCGCTTGTAGTTTCAACGCGTTGAGTGTTTTGTCTGCGTTCTCCCTTTTCGCGCGATCCTCGGCCTCTAACTTTTCTGCCAGTCCACATGAGCAATCTTTGCACGCTCGTCGCCTCTTGGCCTTGGGTTGACACTCGGTTGCTGGTAGGGGTTAGCTTTTTCAGTGTTGAAGTTGTGCATCAAACTCACGAATCTTGATCGGTCGTTGGAAGTCCTCGTCTTCCATCAACTCATCTTCATCGATTAGCTCATCATCTGAGCCGTTGTTTCCGTCGTCGAAGCCCACACCCGCTGGAACTTCTTCTTCAACCTTCCGCTTTCCACTCAAGGGCAGAGAGACATGGTCCACATTTCCATTGCGAAGTCCACCTGCTGCTTGAGAGGCATTCTTCCTTCCAAATTTCAATGGGACAGTCTCCTGCGCGCAAGCCTTGGGCTTGACGAATCCCACTCCAGATTCGAAGGACAGTCCAGCAAGAATGCCTTCATTTTTCTCAGCAATATCATATTCCCCAAGTTGCCCATCCTGGCTGCGGAGTTGTCCACCGTCCTTCAATGCTGCAACCAGCAGAGAAAACACCGCCCGACCGAGGAGAGGTTGGCTTTCGCGGCGAGATCCATCCGCATCGGAAAGGATCAGAATGAGGTCATAGGTTGAGGAAGGGAGCGAAACCAGCCCCACTGACAGCCTATCCAGCATCTGCAAGTCCGTGACTGATCTATCATAGCTTTGTAAGACGCTGGTCAATTTCTCTTGGTGGGATGATATTGAAGGTGGCGAAAGCAGCAGTGTTCGTTTGAGGGTTTGAGGGACTTTGGATGTGGGCATGACGAAGTCGTCGGAAGTGTCCATGAGGATAGAGGGCGACATGATGGTGGATTTGTCCTACAGGCTCGTGGTAGTAGTGCTATGGTGAATGATTGTGATCGACCTTTGCTGGGGAGAAGGGGAAAAAGAATCAGGGCGCACGGCCTAGATTAGAAATCGGAAAAGAACGCTAAGATAAAGCGGCCGGATTGATACTGAAGTCTGTACCGGGCTCGAATTATGACGCGCCCCTGCATGTCCCACTGGCTTTTATTGCCTGGAAAGGGTTAAGCAAACCACGCAGGATTTTGATCTACCACGTGAACAGCAGTGAGCTGCTTGGGGCCATATAAATCAAGATGATCAACATAGTTGATATTCTGAAGCTCGCAGCCCGGGGACAAAGTTGAGGTTCATCACGTGAGGTGTTTGTTCGGGAGAAGCCGTGGTCACACCACCTGACGGGTGATCAGTGACCACCACCGAGCCGCCGACCGCATCGCCGCCATTCCATAAAGGCAGTCGGTCGGTGAGAGACTTTCAAGCAGTACTCCATTTTATTGCTGCAAACACCCACTGTGAGATGGACTCACTTTTGCGACATTTGCATCCGCAGCTTGTCAGTTCACAATTCCCCCTCGGATTGACAGCATCCGTGTGGCCTTTCCAGCACAGGAGGCCAAGAGGAAGAGGAATCTTGTTCCTGCATGACAACCGAGCCATACGCTGGCATGCGATATACTATGTTTGTGTTGTGACAGTGTTGGGAGCTATGGAGCTGTGGAGCTATGGATGTTGCTGGAAACAGACACCTTTCCTTTCCATTCTACAGCTATCCGTACCTGGATTGCGTGTTGGTGTGCCGGAGGCGTGGATTCGCGCTTCTGAGGGAGTGGAGACGTTAGTGCCCAGCCAAGCGTTGAAAACCCCGCGCTAGTTGCGTTAGTACGGCAGGTTGAATCCGGGGAAGGTGTCACTTGAGCATCGATCACGATGGAAGGCAGGCGCCCCCCATCGGTATCGGGAGTGCCATCAGTGATCACCCATCGCTGGCAGCCATGATGCCTCATGCCTCATGCCTCATGCCTCGCCCGTCCACCGCGTCGCCATCCCAATTAGAAGGTCATGCGAGCAAATGGCCTCAATCTTATCCCTGACTAACGAAAGTAGCCACCCCGTTTAAACTCACTGGTATCCCTCCCACCAAACACTCATCTGCCTTCACTTCCGGTCCCCATCCTCTTAAGCGTCTCCAATCACCAACCCAGTCTCGTAGAACGAACCCCAAAACTCAAGCATCACTTCATTCACTCTCATCTTCCTTCTCTTTGTCCTCGTCTTCAGCTACTGTGTCAATAACATCAATCTGCATCTCGAAAACGTGAGTTACTTCACTGAATCCCGAGTGGTCTTGCACCTCGTTGCCAGTTGGCCCAAGCTTCGTCCCTCCCTTCCTCTTTCTGCAGGGTCGCGTGTCTGCCCATCTCAGGTCCAACCTCCGCTCATCCCCTTCTGACTCTTTCTTTCAGCAACAATCAACCACAATAGAGACTTGTGAACCACCAAAACACTTTCACTTGTCCTCAGCCAACCCCTTCGACACTCTCACCCAATCAGTAAGTCATCCCGGCCTCTTCCATCAACATGCGCTGACCCAAATGCAGTGACTCGCACCAACAAGGGCAACGACCGCAACCACAGTGCCTTGGCTGATGGCACAGCTCTTCCTGAAGACCGCCTTCCACGCTACTTCGCCAAACATGGTCACGTTGATGCTGATCCAAAGGGTGTCAAGAAGCAAGGAGGCGGCAAAGGCAACTGGTAAGACATCCTCGCTGCTCATGAGATTGGAGCTGACATGGTGCAAGGGGCCGTGATGGCGAAGAAGCCCAAGACTATGGCTACTCCTTCAACAATCAACGCCGTCGCTCCAACAGTTCCACTCAAGTCCTAGGTGACTTTAAGACCAAGTTCGAAGCCATGGATGCCGACCCGGTCTTCGAGGAGAGCCTTCATGGTCCCACCGACGATGACATGGAGGAAGCAAGTAATCTCTCCAAGGAAGAATCCACAGACAGCAGCACTTTGGGAGGCAGTATTGATGATGATGACAAGAAATTGTAATACTACACACAAGCATGTATCGAGATTGACTGCTCTACAATCAGGGTCAGATCAATTCTCTCATATGGCGCCAGGATGGTGCTTCACAATATGTATACTGTGACATCAGCAGTATTTGTTTCACAACCAAATATGTCCGATGGTGCTGGAGCGAGTCGAGGAGCGACAGAGTTAGCCATAGTGTACTAGCAGAAGACGATTCCAGTCGCTCTGTCCCACCCAAGACATTGCAGCTGTTTTCTATAATCATTCTCAATTGCTAGTTGTCGTAACGTGAAATCCTGCAGGAGATGCCTGTACTGTAGTAGCAGCGGACGATGCGACGGAAGAATAGTTATCCAAACCCGAGAAAGCCTGGCAATTCGACACCTCAGCTAGGCCATCGAGTGCCACCAAAACCTGAGGCCTGAGGCACACTTGCTTCACGTTACCCGCACCGAATAAAGCTTGGCAATTCCCGGTACGCTATATACTATTTCTTAATAATCATAGTCATGTAGTGACTCCCAGATTCCCATCAACTTGATTCTTTCGTAAGAGAAAATATCAGCGGATAGGTCTGACCTCTGTATCAGCACCTACAGGTAGGATTGCTATGGGAATTTGCCACTCAGGGCGATGATTATTAGTTCTCCTTCCCTTTTCAGATATTGCTTGACACACTTGGATTTATCTCCTCGAGCGTTTCAACAAACTCTCTCCATAATCTTTTCTGGACCTCATGGCCGCCACTGCTTGTCACGAAGTCCGATGGGCTATGTTGTACAGATCAGCTCAGCTAAGCTGAAAGATGGAAGGACAGATGTCCGCATAGACTTACGCTGCGATTGCACAAGCGTCCAAGTATTGTCCATGCGTCTCCTTCCCGCCAGCTGCACCGTGCAAGAGGGTCCTTGACCCCTTTTCAGCCGACCGACCAATGAGGGCCCTCCAGGGCGGAAACAGTATTTTGAGCACGATTCCGGCGTTTCTCATGATAGATGTCTTTACGAACCCTGGGTTCACAACTGACACTGTGATGTCACCCGGCGACGAGGATTCAGTGATTTGGGCAGCTAATTCTCGAACCACGAGGAGCTACACCAGTTTCGAAACGTAGTATCTGTTGTGGAATCAATAGATGCTCTATCTTCTTGGAAAAGGTAGGTAATGATACTGACCTATTGGCCATGTCTGCATTCTCCTGAATGGCCAAATCTTTAAGAATATTCTCCTTCTGCTCTGGGAAATCCGTCATGAAGTGAGTGAAGGACCCGGTGAATGTGAGAACTACCTCTTTTTGGAACTGGACCGAAGTTTCCCGCAGCTTGGGAAGCAGCAATAGACTCAATAGCATTGCGCTCAGCACATTGACCGTGATGGTGGACTCATTATCTTCAACAAGTTTAAAGTCACGGGTCAGAATACCTGCATTGTTGATGACAATATCAAGGCGCTCGAGAGTTGAAGCGCGTTGTGCAAACGCCTTGACGCTTGAATGTGGGCTAAGATCCAGTTCCCAGACCTCAGCGACACCCCCTCGACCCGTTGATTCATGGATGGATTTGGCCGCTGCCTCTCCTTTACTCCTGCTTCGAACCGCGACAATGACCTTCTGCGCACCCAGTCGGACAAAATGGCGGGCTGCCTCCAAGCGCAGACCCACGTTGGCGCCGGTGACAACAACGGTCTGTCCGCTGTACGATTTCGTTAGATATGGCAGTGCTACGAACTGAGCGCCAAGCCAGCCATAAACCATCAAGGCCGACCGCCATAATGTGCAATACAATCTGAAGCTAGATCTAGGCTCGGAGGCTGTGCTGAGGACAAGTCGAGCCTGCGCAGCTTGATAAGGATTCTGCTGCTATGATGGCCGCTGGGTAATGGCAAAGCGGATGGGGCGGATGCTCGGTGGGGAAATGTCTTGCGTGGAAACTGTCTGCTGCCATTTTGTGGCAGACTGCTCTCCTTTTATTGTTTTCGTACGTCCTCATGTTCAAACGCTCTCCAGGCAAAGCAGGGGCCATCATCAAGAACTAGCGACCAAGTAGCTCAGAACTAACTACGTAGTCTATATGTCTCAATCGTCGATGAACGAATTCGGCCCCTCTACCTGTAGTAACTGGTAAGTGATCTTTGAAGGCCCTCGGGTAGTAGAGATGTTCTCGTTGTCTCATTGGATGGCATGCTAGGCGGTATTTGAATGCACTAACTTTCTTGAGTTAAGCGATGAAAGCAGGTTGCATATTTTAGTGTGGATGCAGGTTAACGACAGGATCGAATTGGATACACTTGATCTATCACTGACCACAACCCTTGCCTTGGACGAAGGCAACCCTTTCATTATACCTTTGGAGCGGCATGAAAGCATATTGCAGATTATAAGGGATTTCAGTTTCCTCAAGTCGGAGCTCGGAAAGAGTTGACCTGATCAACTTGCTTATCACAACGAAGTCCACAAAACACAATGGAGACCCCTGGACGTCTGCGGCTGGGGTATATGGACCAATTAGCCGAAGCGCATTGTGATGATGACAACTGGACTGGATTGAAGGATCCAAAAGAGAGACGAAAACGCCAAGTCCGGTTAAGTTTAAGGGCACATCGTGCGTTTCCCCTGCTTCTTTGTTGAGTCATTGCAGAATGAAAACAGTCTTCGAGGTATTCTGGTAGACGTGGTAGATTAATGCTGACTCAGAGCTAGGCAAGCGGAAAGCAGCACAACTTGCGGAACGGGAAATGCCTTTGCACCCAAATATTGAGGCAGAATCCGGTACTCGACATGTTATCTACCCTCCAAGCGACAACCAGGCTGTTCGCACAACGCCTAATCTCTTCATCCCTGCTGCTCTCGACCAGAGGGGCTCCTTTGTTCCCATGCGAAATCTATATCCAATGTCGCGCGATCATTTATTACCGCTGGTTCAGTACAACGCATGGAGAGCAACCTTGACCAATGTCCTCATCTTAGGCCACCTCCACCTCATAAGCCAACAAACCTGCCGCTTCGGCAGTTGCACTACTATCTTTCCCAATCCCTATCAACGCAAAAGTTTACCAGAATCTCTAAAGCCGACTGAACTTCAGCGAAGTACTTCATACCCGGATTGGATCGATATCATGCCTTCCCCAAGGATGCGAGACAACGCAACCAGAACTCAGCGCCTGATCTCGAATGCCGAGCTATGCGCTGATCTTATGGGCGGAATCTCCGGTAAGCAGCATAATATTGAGTCCGCGATTATCGTATGGTCGGACCCTTGGGAACCTCGTGGTTGGGAACTCAGTCAAGGTTTCATCCGCAGGTGGTGGTTTTTGGTTGAGGGCTGCAATGATTTGTTCGAAGCTACCAATCGCTGGCGAGATCTGCGAGGAGATGATCCTTTAGTCTTTGAGCGACCATGAGGGAGTGCGAGCGTAGCTATTTGGACAGACAGCTGGCATGGTTGAGTGAATCCAAAATTTAGCAGTGTTAATAATTTTGACCTTGCAAGTAGGCCTTTTTAGACCCGTTCTCGCAGAAATACCACCTCCTATTACAACGACGACTTTTTGTCAAATCTGATTGATCGTTGGTGAAGCGCAAGGCTAGAGTACAGCCTTATCACGTAGTAGCTTCGGAGAAACAAGGCAGCGTCACTTCCCATCTCTTTTCGGACTAGGTTGCCCTGCTGGGAACGACGCGTCAGGAACGGGGATTGTCAAATTCCTAGCTTTATTTGCGACTGCTCCCAAACATTCCATTCATCCACACTGCTGCACCCTCTTCTGCTGCCCGAGGCATCTTCAGCATGTTTTCTCCAGATGCCTCCAGAGCCCAGTCATTAAGACCCAAGAGAAACCGACAGACGGTAGGCACGGATGACACAATAAAACTACCCCAGGCGAAGCGAAAACGATCAGCTCTACGTCGAGATACCTTCGAGCCCTTGGCTGAAGCGAGCCTGAATGAGGTTGCCGGGCGAGAAACTACTGAAGAGAAAAGCAATGGACACGCAACAGCCCCTCCCGAGTCTCGAGAAGTTACCATCCGAGGAAAGAAGCCTGAGAAACGATCTGAACGTGCGACAGGTTCGGCGGCATTAACTCTTTCCAACAATGATTTCTATACAATCGTCCAACTGCCAGCCCTACCTGAGCAAATCCGAAATCATCCAGACATCCCATATTCATGCGTGATATCCCCTGAATATGGTTACGCACTCGCCTTGACACATTCTGATGCTTTGACCTGGCCTTTCAATTCCAGTGCGTCTACACCTTCGTCCAGAGACGTCATAAACTTCAAACTGCCATTCCCTCCTTCATCTGCCGAAGATCCTCTGCCCCTGGCCACCTTCACAGCCAGATCTGCAAGTGGTGAACCTGGGCTTCTCGTGGTTTCATCAAGATGGGGGAAAGTCGTCTTTTGGGAGACCATCTCGAGTGCATCATCATTTCTCCCGGGTCAGACATCAAGCGGGGTGCAAGGTTCAATTGTAGGACTGATGAGCGGCGAATTTGTTGAGGAGTTGGTCAATGCAGAGCCTTCTGGCTTCATGCTAGCTTTCAAATATGGCCGAGTCGCTCATTTGACCATTCGTGACCAGATGGGCAGACCTAATATTGGGGTGCAACATCTTCGAAAATATACGAATGCATCCGGTATCTTTGGCAGCATTCGTAACGTATTCAACGGAGATAAACGAAAAGGAACACCTATTATCAAGGCTGGAGGGTCCAGGAAGGGCCAACGTGATGTTGTTGTCGCGACTGAGGATGCAGAGCTTGAATTTTGGAATACCAATCTCAGCGTCGGAAACTCGCTGGAGACATCCTTTAGTTTCAAAGAAGCTATCTTGGACGCACTCAAACCAACCGTCTCTGAGACAACACTCCAATTCAAAATCCTAGATGTCGAGCTTTCCGCTGGTCCAAGCACCGCGTTGTCTCGACGGGACAGTCATGGCGCGCCCATGATGGTACTGGCCTCACTGTCTACCGACATTGAAACAAGTTACCACATCGTCGAAATGGTGGTGGATCAAGATGCAAAGGTCAAGGTGGTCCATCCGATCAAATGTTATACGACACCGCTCAAAGAGCAACATTCCTGGAGACCGCGTTTGTGTATGTCCAAATCCCAGCCCATGGTATTTATTCTGTTTGAGACTGCAGTCGTTCTCTTTTCACTGGCGAAAGTGTCAGAATCTCCATCGTCACAATTGTTAATGGAACGGCACGCACTTCCCGAACCATTTCAGGACTGCATTCGATTTCAAGAGGGTACTATCTTCAAAGTTATTGGTCACGCTTTGGAAATGTCTGACAAACAATCCTCTATTGTGTTCGGGGTGCAAGGCTTTGGGATAGTCAAAGCTACCTCACACTTACGAGAACAACAAGAATTCGATGTGGAAGCGGATGACTTGCAAAATCAAATTTCCGCAAAGACCAAGATTGAACAAGCAGTTTTCTTTGGTACCATCAAGCAAAATCCTTTCGATCTCCAAAGTACTACCAATTTGTTCTCTGCAGCGGAGGTCCAATCAGCGGCACTTGAGATCAGCTCAGAGATCCTCTCTTCATCTTCCAAGCACCTTCCAAAAACCGCTCCACAGATTGATACTCAAATGCGACTCCGAGCAAAAGCGTTGAATGACTTGGCACAACATTTGATTGAACATTATTCTGCACAAGTTTCTCGACAGGTTCGGTTTGAGTTACTGTTGAATGCTGAAAAACTAGCTGCTGCGCAGGCTATCTGGAAGGTGCAAGAAGAAATCCAACGAAACTATCCACAGAGCGACCGGGAAATGACGTATCTTGAATTCACATTGCGTGCACTACACGAGAGTCGCCAGAAATATCCCGACCCTGAGAAGGGAGAAAAAGATCGCGTTAGACACTGGCTTGCCAACAGTCCTGGTCAGGTCAATCATCTCCTGAGCGAACTCGTCAGTTGTATCCGAGAGTTTGAAAAAATGGATGTAACAGATCCGGTCGTTATCGCCGACTATCTGAAGGAGGCTGTTGATCTTTGGGTTGCAACATATACGGCAGCGCTCAAATTTCGAGAAGATAATGCGCCGCTCCACGGTCTTGGAGATGAGGTTTTCGAAGATGGAATTCTGAAAGCCGGTTTCCCGACAGATATCCCCCATCCTTGGACTTCAGTTTATGAAACATTCGGTTTCAGTCAAACGTTGATTTACGACGTTTGTAAATTCCTTGTGGAGTGGTGGCAGGTCAATCAAACTGACAAAAAGGAGAAGAAAATGCCCACCAATATTGATGGAAAGCCTCATGAAGCCCCCAAAATGGCGGCTCTCAAGGAATTAGCAGCACGTTTGCCGACAGAGGTGGAGCTATTCTCACGCCTTGTCAAGGAAGAGGCCATTCAGACAGAATTACTTCATAAGGAACGACAAAAGGACCCAGATGCGTTGAGGGATGAAATCCGCAATCTTGCAATTGAAAGACTACGCCGCCTAAGGAAAATTTTGCTTCTTATCTCCAAGTTCAACATGCTGGGTGCAATTCACCTCGCAGAAAAGCTCCAAGATTTTGCCTTATTGGTACAACTAACCTATATGTATGACAAACAAATCCGGGAGGAGGCTCTTGCTAATCCTTCACTTGTCGAGATCAACGAAAGAAAGCTAGGAGAATTACAAGCGCGCGTCGAAACATATTTCGAGCGATTCGGCAAAGGCTGGGCGTACGCTAACTTCAGTCAATTGATTATTGACGGAGAATTGGGAACCTTGCTTTCAAAAGGGCAAGAGGACGACAACAAACGAAAGGCAATCCAATGGTTTTTCAGAAAAGCTCAAGACTATGGCCAGCAACTTGGAAAGCTCAGCTGGATTACGGATGTGCTCATCTCCGAAAACTTTTCTCGTGCCGAAAAAGCTCTCGCCCAAGTATCTACAGAAGAAACTGTGGATATTTGGAACAAGAAGACTGAGCTCGCGCTTGCTAAATTGACACATCTGGCCGCCGGAGGAGAGGACACAGCAAAATACAACACAGACATAGCGTTGATCGAGATTCAAGAAATGGTACATCTGCACGTTACGACAGCTGTAGGTCCAACTGTTGATGACAAAGCCGCCAACGACCTCGCTGCAGAGATCTTCGCCACCAGAGTTGTTACAAAAGCTCCAGCTTTGAAGAGACTGTTGAAAAATGGACTGAAATCGTTACTCAGTCGGTCTCCACTATCACCTGAAGAATTGATCGATGTTTTGACGTTGATGGATCCTACCGCTTGGATAGGAGACGAGCAAGATGATCCTCATATCCTCGGAAATGAGTTCAACTTAGCTTTACGGGCTGTAAGAATCTCAGCTGCGCTGTCTACGACATTCAAGGATGACCTGCGAGCCGTTATCTGGAGGCGAGCAATGATCAGAGATGATTGGCTTGCTCTCAACGACACAGCTGGGAAGGATGACACAAAGGTCGAACATGAACAGACCTCGACAAGTCTATTCAAAACTCTGTATGCCTCCTTTATCGCGGACCAAGCGGACGGCGAAGAACTTCAACTTTTAGCCCCATCTGAAATCCTTGCTCGAGAAGTTGTCTCTGGTGCCATTCGCCATAGATTTGTTGAGAACGAATTAGAAGGAATTCGCAAGGACTTGGACAAGGAACAAGCCAAGCTGAAGTCATTCGTGGATAAAGGCAGGCTTGAGGATCATTATGCCGGATTGCTTTCTTACGCCGAGCGCGTTGCCCGAGATCAGGCTGATCAGCAAGGGGAGATGATGGCGCAGGAAGTTAGCACCAACAACGATCACGATGACGACGACGACGACGACGACGACAACAACAACAACAACAACAACAACAACAACAACAACGAGGCTTGACTGTAACATCACTTAGGATTGATTTTGTGTGTGTATGCGTGCAATGCTTAGGCCTCACGCAGCTAAGGTGATGGGACCAGGAAAGGGAAAGTGAGGTTCTAGAGTAAAAGTACCCTGAATCAAGGAGTCTTACTGGATAAACAATCCATTATCATATTTAATTCATTATGTCTTCACATTCAGTTCTATGGCCTATCCCTCATTCTTTTGACGATTAACGCTACTTGGTGACTCAAAATCTCGATTCTTAAACCAGATAGCTGCCGCTTCTTCTTTCAGCCACTCCTTCTGTTAAACACCGTCTTCTCGTCTTTACTGGATATTTCACTTCTACAAGTCTAAGACCAAATCAAGACGGCGATTATCAATCATTTTGAGGCCCACGTCATAATCGACGGGAAAGTAGCTGAAGAGTACGATGACGACGAGGTTGACGAACTCGTCAACTCTCGATCTCCTTGCAGTGTCTCGAAATACGTCGAAGGTGTCTCCGGCGCTTTCGTTGAGTCCCGTGTCCGCGTCAAAGAACGCAACATCGCTAAAGAGGACGAGGACTTTATAGAAGCCATCCTTTGGGTAGATGGGGGATGTTGCAGGCACAAAATTCATTTCTATTAAGAAGCGTCCAGGACCAGCTTCCCAGGGGATCCGTTTCGAAGCCAAGGAAACCATTTTAGAGGTTAAAACCCCGGATAATCACAAGCGCGCTACGTTGAAGATGTAATTTGCTGACCTGGAATTGAGTTCGCTATCCTACAATCGCTGGCCAGAGCATGAATCGAATAGTCAGCTAGAAGGAGAGGGAATGGATCGGCCCACACAGCCGCTCGGACAGCCCGAAGACCTCCGGACGTTCGATCAAGCAATGTGCCTGTACTGAATACGAGGACGACCGGGCTAGTATTGTCCAAACAGTGCCAGAAAACGCTTTGAGAGGGTCTCTGCCTGATCTTACTATACGGTGAGCACTCATGCCGTGCTTCACTCAAAAGAAATGACTGCTGATTCTTATAGATTTATCCCAGATCCAAAGACTAAGTAACTGGGCCCCTCGGACTATGAAGAGATGATCCTGATCCGATTGCGATTTTCCGCTTCAAGTATAGAGGTCATCGTACGTCGCAGAAAGTCTCCAGTCTGTAGATATCCCACTAATTCTTGACCAATGTGGCAGGAGTGCTACAAAAGCTCTTCTTGATCCCGATGCCGCTCGAAGACGAACCACTCGAGGATCTCTCCCAGGACGAGACGCTCGAACTCCTCAGACGGTATCATCAACGGTTACAGGTCAGACATGAGGAGTCAACACCAACGATTTCCACACGAAAGCGAGAACACAGCCCTCAGAAGATATCCTCGCTCAGGTTCAGCAAGGGTGTTTATGGAGAGCAGATTCACCACGTGGGTTCAGATTCGGAGGCGGAGGGCTAGATCAAGCCATAGGCCGAGATTATTAGATGTAGGAGGGAAAGGGAAAGGCGTGTCCAGCAGGCGACATTAATGCACTGGAGGACCAGGCTCATGGAGTCATATTTGATAGAAAGCAGGCTACTATCGCTTTGACGAAGGGAATTAAGGGGTTTGACGGTTGGCTTTGGCCACTATTTTAGCATCTGTGGGATATCAAGTCCAGAGAGGCTCGAAGACTGAAAATCAGCCAACTTGTTCATCATATCATGGCTTTGCATGCCAAAGAGCTCGAGTCGTAACTACGCAAACCTCCCAATTCCCGGTTTCCTTCATAGCTGAGTGTGCAAACCAAGAGCGTCTGTAGTCATACCATTGATCCACGCCGCTAATCTCCTGCCCGCCTTTCCAACCAAGTCATCTATAATCGTGACGGCGCCATCGTAATATGTCCCATTCAGATCCTGGTCCTTGTACCCATCAGCCATGACATACGAACAAATGAAAGAATTCGCCTCCCGCGCCCACTCGAGTGCACACCGGGAAGCATCACCCAGATACTCCTCTTTGACTGCCATGCCCTTGTCCTTACTATACAAGCGCGTAGCCCAGGCCCAAGCAAAGGCCATTTCAACCTCAGCACCACCAGCCGCTCCACCGGCATGCTTCTTGGGAATCAGCGTATCCCATGCACTATGTAAATTCGTATGTACGCCATCAAATACCACGGGAATATCATTGCCACCCCGGCCCTCCGCCTCCGTGTGCAGCGGCTGATGGACATCACCAAAAAAGTGCATCATGAAGCGCAGACTCTGTCCCCGGTAGAACCTGGGCAGGTCCGCGTCTGCCACGCGCGCCGTGTGGTTCGCGATCGCGCTGACCACGCATCCGCCCTCGTCCATGATGCAGTCGCGTGTCATGTTGATGCCGCACGTCTTGGGCGGGGAGTCCCGGGCGTCGATGAAGTGCCATCCGGCCGAGTACGAGAACTGTGGCATGTGCCGTACTTTGTCCGGGAAGAGCGCTGCCTCTGAGATGTCTTGCCCGTTGAGCAGCGTGTTGGTGAATATGTTGGACTGCGTGCTGAAGTGCATGCTGGCGAGATACGCTACTGTGCGGTGGCCCAAGCTGCCCCATGCCGTGGCCAGGGGAATGAGGAATGGTATGGTGAGAAGTATGGTGGTTGTCGTGATATGCATTTTCATTTATTGTAGATAATGGATGATGATAATTGATGGGGCTGATAGAAGGGGGAAAGGATGATGAGGCGAGAGATGGGACAGAAGAGTAAAGAGTGTTGTCTGTGGTGTATGTTTTATTTACATGGTCGCGGATGCGGTCAACTGACGTCGTTGCTGGCGGTGGAGGTGCCCAGCTCGCCTCCATTGCGAGGCTGGGAAACAAGGGTCTTAACGGGAGCCCATCGATCAGCCTCCTGACCTGAAACGCCAAACGCGTGCGGATCGGCGTCCCTCTGCCCAAGCGCAGCTGCGGAGGACGCGGCACCTCGGAGTGGTGATTAACTAACCATCAGAGATAAATACCACTATCCTCAAGCGGCGAATATTGGTACTTGACCTCTTTAAATCCCGTATCTATGCCCACGCATGAGCACCTTGCCGCTTTTCCTGAGCTCTGACAAAGCAATATTGAGCTGTGGCTGTACAATCCTGAGCGCTGCTTGCCGGGTCCCAAAGTGTGCCTCTAGCAGCCTGAGCAAGGCCCCCCGTGACATGTGTGAATGTCTCCATAATGTCGTTAACGAACAGCAGCTTGCCGCCGGCAATGTAATTCTTATTCTTGGTCTTCTCGACACCGAGAGCGAAGATCCCTGGGCATGTGTCAGCTCCATTCCAAGCCAGTGCCGCAATGGATGCTCACTGGCAACGAATAGTCCGGTATCGCGGCCACCGTCGAGCCACTGCGTTCTCTTGTCTGCTCCGATGGGGTCACATAATCGCACCGAGCCGTCCGCTAGGAGACTTCATTAGTCGCAAGCGCCAGTCTGCCAGTTGGGAAAAGGAGAGCTCACGCTGAAGCCGAGTGTACATAGGCCAGTGTAAATTGGTGAAGAAGTTACCTTCCAAAGTCAGAGCCGTGTCAATGCCTCTGTGGAGTTCTCCTACCAGGAATGATGCCAGTATAGCCATCAAGCTCCCTCCGCGCAAGTTTCTCAATCTCCACTTTGTTGTTCATGATTATCGCACCCTTGAACTTGTTGTTGCTGCCCTTGATGATATCGGGCAGGCTGCTGAACACAAAGTGCTTCACTCCATTCTTCTTGGCGGCATTGATCATGTTCTTGCCAGCCACAATATCGTGCTTCATATCCTCCTCGGTCATGAGCAGCTCGCCAGGCTCTTTCTGGTTGGCAGTCATGCCAAACACTGCATGTGCGCCAGCAAAAGTTGCGTCCAAGCTGCCGGTATCGTGAACGTTGGCGACAGCCAGCTCAGACGGTTGTCGCAAGTCTGGAGTTGAGACAGCAGCTCTTTTGACTTGGGAGAGCTCGTGTCTCGGGTGAGCGCTCGCACAGCCCTGCTGTTATCCTTGTCGGCAAGCAGCTGCTCGACGACGCCACGGCCCTGAACATCGGTAGCTCCGACAACAACGATAAGGCGCTGTTCTGACATTGTGAAACGAGTTTGGTGCATATTTTGCACGAGCGACAGCGATAAGGCAAAGGCTTTTGACCAGGACAAAGTGTTTAATCCATCAAGCAGCCGACGGTGGATTGTCCAGGCATTAAATACGCACTGCAGTCAATAACATCCGAAGACTACCCGGCTGCGAGCAGCGAGCTTACGAATACATTTTTCCATAGACTGCTCTACAGTCCAACATCGATGGGAACTGCACAATTTCAACTCGCAATATTCTGCTGACGAATTGAGTCCAGAACTCCAATTGCCACGCAAAGCGCAGTCGAGGATTAGGACCAAATTCCTCAGGCTGAACCTCGCAAAACCGCGCTTCCCCGATGCACATTCTTTTTGCGGAGCTTCTGTTGTATGTGTGGGGCCGACGGATCTGGGGTCGTCGCTCTCCACCAGCCTGTATTGGTATTTGGAGCGTGACGAGAAGGTTGCTTTCGCGTCTTCGGGCTCTTCTCCCGTTATCGTCTTCTAAATCATTGACGCTATCAATGCGGCTTCAACGCCCAACTTGGGTTCTTTGTAGTATGGACATTGGTATTTCTTCAAATCTTACGACGCAAAGGGTGTTCTTTGAAGATCGGGTACGTTCATTCCTCCTGATATCTTCTCATGTCCACTCAGTTTATCGGAGCTACTGCTCATTGTAGGCAGATATTACGTTTGGCATACCTCTAACCAAATATTTGCCATACACGAGGTCTTTTCACCTTCCGCTGCGAGATACCTGAAGATGTCAGAACTGCACATCCTCATCGAAAACACTCATGAGCTGGTTACCGTAGTACCAATCGACGGCACCAAACAAGTCTGCAACATCAAGTCCTTCTCCTCCCAGAATACCAATGTCAAAGTCGAGAGATTGTGATTGACTGAAGTCATTCAGCCCCAGGCTGGAGTCAATGTACATCCTGGCAGACTGACATAGGAGTTCGTACAACCGTGAGTGGGTGTCTGTGCCCGCTGAAGCCTTCAAAGATGCAGCGCATTCGTCAAGTCGGAAAAGATCTTCGCGAGCAAGTAGCTGGACTGCGCGCGTATACAGAATTGTGAATGGCACAAATGGTGTGAAAAATTATGGACCTGATAGTGATCAGGCTCCAGGCCACTAGTTCCAGGTCGGCAGCTTAACTCACCAAGTGATATATTTAATCATCAGGAAGGGATTATTACAGTCTTGGACACAGTCCATGCAATCTCGGTGCAGTTCTAGAGTATCTCGAGCGGCCGTTGTGCAGTCGTCATTACCGGCACCGGAGACTACGGGAAAAGCCCGCAGAATGAGGACTAAGAGAGAGGAGTGGCACACCATGTCAGCACGAAGGTAAAGAGTCCTCAGAGGGTCAGTTTCCGCGTGTTCTAGGCTTGGAGACTCCTACACTGGTTAGCTCAACCTTCATTGAAGGCAGGACGGGACGTACAGAAATCTCGGCGCGAGTTTTGTTGATCAGTTCCCAAAGCTCCTCCGACAATTCCTAAGCCCAGCGAATGCGGTCCTCGGTCGGCTCACTGATGCTTGCTGCGCTGTACAGATGTTCGTAAGCTTTCCGCTGTATCCTTGAGACCTTGACGGACCGTGGCTCGGCCGGGTCAGCCAACAGAGTAATTTCAGAATCGCAGATGCCAGATCGCCTTCCAAATCTCAGAGACAGTCCACTCTCGTAGCTGAAGACGGTCCAGGACAGGCGCTCCTGAGCCTCTCGAATCGGGTATCTCCACGGACCGGATGAGACTCTTCAAAGAAGCTGTCACCTCATTTGACTCAGATGGGTTGGGGTCTCCATCGACAACAGCCTTGACAAATTCAATGACATGAGCCGAATGATCTCGCTGGCGAATGGTTCTGTGGCCTGGACGCTTGGCCTCAGGGATCACCTCTCGTCCTGAGGATTGGGCAATGGACTGGAACTCTTTCCCAGGCGGGTCGATCTTTGCAGAAGGTGCTTGATGTCGTCAATGTCACGTGCAACATCGTCGAGTTTTTGTTCACTAAGAAACGGTAAGTTAGAAGATGAATTGAAGCCTGAACGTACTATTGTGTCCAGATGAGCAGCCTCGGCTTGGGCGCTGCGCGCGGAGCGACTGTACTATGAGTGCAGTCCATCCTTGCCGATACACAATTTGAACAAAGAGAAGCACTATCACGGTCTATCTGCGCAATGTCAGCCACAGATTCGAGCTCATGATAGAATGGGTCACCTTGCGGCTGCAACACTGGTCACACGGCTGTCTGCCTTGTCACCAAATGGGACTCATCCGTACCGATCGACGGGCGATGGGAGGGCGACCGAGTGGCACATTTCCCTGATTCCCACGAACTTCCATCCTGCGGTCTGCCTGATTGTCAAGTGATGAAAGTGAAATTCAACGGGCGAGACGTTGAATGCGATGGGTCGTCGCAGGAAACGCGCAGAATTCTGAGCACTAGCTAATTCTGGCATTGGGCTTTTGCATGTTTCGTTAATCGGAGTGTAGGTGGGTCATCCTGTCAGGTATCTGACTCCCTGTCAATGGGGCACAGTGGGTGATAGGCCAAGCGTATCAGCTCTTGACGAGTCAGCCCCATCTGTGGCCTGCCGTGTGAAGCTCGATAGACAGCTCGGCCGAGTTATTTGTCAGAAATCGACACCGAGCAACGTCCGGGTTTTTGGGGTCCTTGGTGAAGTGTTGTTGCATAAATGTTAGTCCATATGAAAGGGCATAGCCTCTGCTGGCAGCTTACAAACGTGTCGACTGGAATGGAAGGGGCGTGCTATCTGTGCGGCGTCTTTGTCAAACGTTCGCGTTGTGCATATTTTGCCGCAAATAGAATTCGAGTGCTGACTTGAAAATGAGGGCCGCGGCGTAGTTCATCGCTCTGACAGTCATGTACAAAGGGACAATAGACGGGGGGTGTTAACAGTCGCTTCAACCTCGGTATTCACAGTTTCATCCAACCATCGCTTGAAGTCATGTCTCCCGCCATCCTCATAGCTGGTTCTACCAGCAATACCGGCACAACTGTCGTCGAGACGCTCTCACAGCTTGTGGACACCAACAAGGCCTTCGCTGGTTATAAGATCCTCGCACTGACTCGCAATAAGAATGGCGCTACGCCGCGACGCTTTGCCAAGCTTCTACACGTCCAAGTCGTGGAGAAAAGCTACACAGAGGTCACGGCGGACTGGCTTCGTCAACACGAGGTCAAGAGGTCCTTTATCGCATCACAAGCCCCCCCACATCAGTTCAGCGAGGAGTCCGAGTTCAATGTTGCCCTCCTCAAGGCCGGCGTGGAATACCACGTGCAAATTGCGACGGCACCGATGAATATGCGCAGAGACAACTCGGCCTACTACGCACGGTCGCATTGGGCTGTCGAGCAGCAGCTCAACGCCCCTGAGTTCGAGAAGCTGAAATGGACCTCAATCCGCCCGAATCTGTTCATGACTGATTATCTAAAGAACGCAGTTGAGTTTGTCAAGAAGTTCCGCGAGACCGGGGAGCAGGGCATGCTGAGACTGGCGATTGCCGAAGACATGCTGTTCCCCGTCATCCACCCCGGTGACGTCGGCGTGGTTGCGGCGCATCTCCTGATGACCGAAAACCCTGCCTTTTACAACAGGGGCCAGTACACGCTGAATGGACCGGAGAACACTAATGGGGCGGAGACATTGGAACTGGTCGGGCAGGCTATTGGCACCAAAGTGAAAGATGTCCGCTATAAGGATATCTCCTCCCTGTTTCATTCCACTATTGAATCGGCAGTCTCGTTTGGTTTCCCGAGGAAGCTCATGTCCACTATATACACGAGCTTTGATGGAGCATGGCAAGGAGAATGGAATGACTGGCCTACCAGCGAACCGCTTGTCGAGCTGGGCATACCTCTGTAAAAAGTCGCAGACGTCTTCGGCGTTCTCATCAATTTCTAGAGAACTACCCTTGCTGAAATATCTGCTTGGTTGGATCCATCTGTGTAGCTTTTCATAGCACAGCTACCAAGAAAAAAAAGATCCTGTTCTTTCAGAAGTATGCACCATAAACTCCCAGGGGCGTTAAAAATAACCGCTAAGTGATTATCTAGACATAAAGTTAGCCATACACCGAGACTGGAGGTACTCCGCAATATTCTGCACCCCTGAAACTGCCATCTAAGCTTCGGCAGACTGCTCCCCAGCTACTGGGAGACTTCACTTAAAGAGAGTATCGTTGTAGGTGGTCCTTGCCCCTTAGTCTCCTTGGCCACGATCTGAGCCCCTGCAACCGTCTCTCGTCCTACGAGTACAACTTTGCCTCAAGGATCAACGTTGAAGGTAAAGGCTCCACGTAGACTTTGGTGCCTCGGAGTGTGTTGACATCGAGGTGAGAAATTCCGCCGAGCCGCTTGCTGCTTGCATATATGTTATGGCGAATATTGAAGAGATTAGGAGAAATAGTGGAGAAATAGTGGAAACATGTTGGCAAGGAAGATGAATATTGGAGATCTGTGCCCTTAAAATACATTGTTTCTAAGAGATGAAACGCCAGACACTAGACGATAACTTTGTGGGAATAGATCCATGTGTGCTGTAACATTAAAGGTCAGAAGGAGCATGACCATCGCAGTCCAGTTATATAGAGCAAGAGGCTAATGACCGTGTAGCCAACTATAGCTGTGCACATTATGAACATCCGTGACGTGAGAGTATTACTCTTCTGTTTCAGCCTCATCAGGCGTCCACACTTTATCGTTTATGTTCCATGTTGATTGGCTCTCTGCTTCGGGGACTTTCATATCCCACGCTGCGTAAGGCCTGGAGGGATATATGCGTCTAGGAGGAATTGTGGTGAAAAGCGTGGATATAGTAAGCATCTTGTCGTTCATTCGGGCCTGGGATTGGGTCGTCGTTTGGACTCCCATAAATGTGTGGATGTGAGCGTCGATCTGCTCTTCGCACTAGCCCAGGTAGATACTCTATTGATGTATATAATCTGTGGCTGTTCCTGTTGCACAATAGAGAGGCGGTATTGACATCAAACGTCTTCACATTTACTGCTAATTAAAAAGAGCGACTATCGCGCCCGCCACCGAATAATCGCCCCTCACTACTCACAACAATGTCTACAAGCAGAACTAACGGCAACGCCTTCCACCCGAAGAAATACACCCCCAACACACCTGAGGTTCTCTGCGAGCTTTGCCATCCTGCCACCGCCGAAGTCGCGAAACACTTCCTGCCCACGATCACAGAGACTCAAACAACACCCGCCGAGTCCTGGATCGTCCACGACAATGCCTGCGGCTACGGCGAGGTCAGTCGCATGATTCTAGAAATGGACCCGGCGCCAGCGAAGAAGATCGATATCGTCGGTACTGACAGTAGTGACGCGATGATCCAGACTTATCTGAAGCTCAAGGATAAATTTGCGTCGAGGCTGGACGGTCAGGGTGTCTCGATCCGTGCGGAGGTGCAGAGAGCGGAGAACCTTGCGGCGTTGTCTGACGAGTCCTTCTCGCATTCAATTACGAATTTCTTGGTCAACTCTGGTCCAAACCCGGACCTAAATGTCCCCATTGTCAAAGAGGTATACCGTACGCTGAAGCCTGGAGGCACGGCGGTGATTACAAACTGGAACCAAATCGCGCATGCAGATGCGGTAATCGCTGCACACGAAGGCACCAGAGGCAAGGATGCCAGCCCATTGCTATATGGGATGGGAAAAGAGCTCCTAAACCCAGACCATCTCATCTCGTCGGTTGTGGGAGGTGGATTTGATAAGGCGAAGCTGAAGATCCTCTCGAAGCCGGTGGCGGCTGGCGCTTCGTGGAAAACCCGTGAATCGAGGAGGCGTTATTGCGGCTTGATGTGGAGTGTGTTGGGACCGACGCTCAAAGGGTGGCAGCTGGAGGACGAAGAGAAGTGGGAGCAGGCCTTGGATATCCTGGAAGACATGCTGCCGAAACTGCCCGGTGTGACAGTTTCAGACGAGGGTCTGTTGAGTATTACGCTGACGGCGACGATTGCTATAGTGCAGAAGTAGGCCTTTCATCTACTACATGGTGAAAATGTGGATTTCTCGTTGCGAGCCCGAGCGTCTGAGAGAGCCTGCACCATCCAGGTGGTGTTTTTATTGAGCTGTTCGTAAAGAGGCGTAATGTATTCGTGGATGAATTTCCGGCTGATGGCATATGGCTGGCTATTGCATGGTGGTGACTTTTCGCGGTAATGTTTCAACAGTCTGTTTCCACCATCTAGATGTCCCAGAAATGCATGCAGTCTTAGACGACAGACTTCGATTATGATTAAACATAGGGCGCTGCAGATGACTATTGTGATGTCGACACTAGTGTCTTGAGACGATAGAAATCGTAGGGTCCTCCCATAGTGTTCGAGGAAGAACGTCTCGTTATCGTCCGGAGTATTAGGTAAGGGCACGAAAGCTGACGCGTCTGGATTGCCAACGTTATGAGCAGCTGAGACTGCCAGAAGCAAGTGCTTGAATACTGGTTGATGATGCATCAGAGGAAGATACAGATCGGTCCAGACATTACGGCACAGCCCATAGGGTTCGCCACACGGCGCATTATTATACCAACAAAGGTGATTGTCCTCGAAAAGTCGGAAGAAACGCCATTCACTCTGTTGAGAGAATGGTGTGATGGCACTTAGATGTAACCCTGGAGGTGACGGTGTGAATGTGTGACTCTGGACAACGAAAATATCCAAGTAGACACAATTATAGTCTAGTCGGACGCATCTTTTGCAATAGGGGCGTTGCTCGTCGCATTTGACTCGCCTCTCTCTAGAATGAACATAGTATCAGCATGAAGCCTCCCTCCTAAGTCTGGAATTTATGATAGCCTGACTCACCTACACGTCCGGCATCCGGTTCTTGTTTTGTGGTGAAATGATCTCTTGCGAGGTGGAACATTTCTTGCATAGTGACTGTAAGTATGGTTTGCCATGTTCAACTTTCCGAAACGTTGTAGTAGTGGTTAGAAGATGAAAACAGCCGGGCTAGCATCATTTAGGGAGGGTGAAAACTGAGACTGGTTGCCTCAGGACGCCTGAATCCAGGTTTAAGATCAGGCCTTCAAGGCAACCTCTTGTATTGTAGACTCGTTCGTCCCTACATCAGGTAGAATCAAATTTGCCTCCAGAAGAGCTACAGTAGAAACCGGCAGACCTTCAGAGCAGAGAGAAGAGATCACCGCTGAGTAGGTCGTGCAAGAGGCACATCAGTGTTTCGATGGAAGATGGGGTCTACGGTCAAGTGAAGCATCACGCGAGAATCAAAATGGCTTGGCAACAAAGGACAAGTAAACGTGTACATATCGCTGTTGGCCTTTGGCGCTGTGAGGACTAGGGTCGGAAGTGTATATGTGTGCATGTAGCTAACTAGGAGTTGTAGAGCCGGAGCTCGGCTAAGAACAGGAGCAACAACTCTCTACTTCCTACGTAGATACCATACCGCATACCACTACGCCACACTCACTCTTCTTTTCCTGCATAAGGCCTCTATTTTCTCTTTCCTTACGAACGGACACACATCGCTCATATACGACTTATCCAAGCTAAGCCCCTTTCAACACCACCTTGAACCACTTGAACTTCTCCCCCACGTACGGCGCTAACCAGAGGATCTAAACCTACCAACTGTTCCTTTTTTCATATATCACTACTAGAGTACAATTGTTGTGCAATGGGCCCGCTTTCTAACGACATCGACCGTCCTCTCTGTTGAGTCCTCTGCACTTGTGGCTTGAAACCCCCAGCCACAGACATCGCCTTGCCATGCCCCCAAAGTCCCTCAAAGCCCCTTCCCTTCCAGCCCTTGTTGCTGAGCCCGATCAGTTAAACTAGCCTTTCATGGTGACTTTGCCTATAACTCTAACAGCGATGGCATTACCTAGCTCGGGGGCTTCCTCACGCAAAACAGGTTGATGTCAGGATAGATGCAATTACTTTATTTCTCATTCAACTTTATATAGCACATCTTTCTTGAACTGCCTAGTACTCCCGACAAGAATCCCCGAAGTTGAAAGTCAAAGAGTGATCGAGGCAAAAATTCCGTTCTCGTACCTTAAGGCGTGCTCTTGCTGTCTTAAACGGACGCGATCCTCAACGCTCTGAACACTCGTACCGAGGGGCTAGGAAGCGAGTTCGGTACGCCAGTATAGAGACATTTACCTAGCATATATCTATATAGACTAGAACAGACACCATAGTTGTGACAGAAAACAGAGACCTCATACATCCTGAACTACCCCCCAAGGTTGCCTCAAAAAGGGCCTAGCTCAGTTCGCCCACAATCTCTCCCTCGTGGGTTTCGACATATGGAAGGAGGTTCGGTGGCCTAGTAAGCTCTGAACCTTCCTTTGCCTCCTGTCTCCTCTACCTCGGATAAATAATCTGCTTCCTCTGATCGGGTGGAGAATTGACGAACTGTGACGCACGACGAATTTTCAGAGATTTGCGACCACTTTGCTTTGCTAGTGTCCTTGCCCTTCTCTCCCTTCTATAAGAGGCGACTATGGCGACCGTTATGCTAGAAGTTGAAAGCTTACGGACTCTGGTGATGATTTTTTTGAGAAGGGCGCGGTCTTTAGTATTGGTCATGTTCCGAAGGCTATCGGTCTTGGGGGTTTTATGGTGATTAATATAATGGTTGACAATTTTCACAGTATCAGGCAAATCCGATAAAATGGTAACTTTTCACGGCTGAAGTGCTCTCGGGTATCTCTTGATCGTCCGAGAAGCCAAACCCAGAGCATGTATTATGGCGAGCATGTGAGCTCTTGTTTTGGTCTTGATGTTATTCACCACAAGATGATGGTGTGGGTAGCTATGTTTCCTGCTCTTGGCTAGGGATTCGATCGTTTCGGATAGCACCCGTTGATGGGCACTCGGCTCGCTGTACCGCGCCCATACCGCCGCCACGCAGAGCTATAGTCCACGGAGGTATGTATGACCAGGTCAAGCTGTATATATGGTGAATTTACCTTAGCCATTGCTGACGAGTCGCACGGATGAGGATTTGTTGGTTTTGGCTCACGCGGGGGGAATGCAAGCTGTAAAGTACGCTTGCCGCAATTTTTCTACGAAGTAATTACAGTCGCCGCGCTCCAAGGAAGCCTAGAAGGGGCTAGACTCTCAGCTATGTTCTACACAGCCCGAACGTTAGGGATCTGGATGGGCTTCCCGTTCGTTCAACCGTACTTAAGTTACATGCCGGTCAGTCAGGACTAAAGTTGATGACTATTTGGGAATCCTGGCTGTTGATTGTTTTTGTCTTTTCTTAATCTGCCATGAAGAGCCCATTCGAGCCAAGAAACTGAATGCTCATGGCTAGTATCTGTTTTGATCCTGGTTGGCAAACGAGTCTGTTTATGTGTATTCACTGGCGATATGGGACTATGGATGATATATTAATGGTAGCGACAACTGAGTTGTTAAGAGTAATAATGTCGAGATCTTGTGTTTTTGCTGTCACGAGAGTATTGATACTATATTTCCATTCAATATTCCGAACTCTTTTTGTTGTTGCCAGGGGACCTTCCACTCTGTTTGGCTCCACAATTTCCTGCTTAACTCGGATTCTCTTTTAATCTGGCTGGAGAGACGGAATCTTTAATGATTCATAAGTAGAGCATGTAAAGGCTCAATGATTAAGACACTACCGCTATATAGGACAGATACAAGTTCTCACTTCTTGCAATTTAGGGCTATTCCTGCTCATGATCGTGCAGCAAGCAATTTTTACCCTGCTCTATCCAAGTGCCTTAGCAACACGTTCCTTCAAATATTCCTCAGTCAACTCCTTTATGCCAAGAAGTTGATTGTCATTCTCGTCATAGGCAGTCCCGTAAGCTTCGCCACCGAAGGCTGTTGAGTAAATTAGCTTCATAACGGTCGGCTGGCTGAAATTGCCAGCCTTAATTTCTTCCAAACTCTGCTGCAGCAAAACACTTGTTTGGACCTCACTGATTTCCCACTTCACAGTCGGTTTCAGCTCCTGCGCGATTTTCAATAACCCGTTCTGTGTGAGAATCACTTGTGATACCCGCAAAATCTTGTTTTTGGTCTCCTCATAAATTCGGAAAATTCCAACAATGGCCTTGCCAATGTCGTCCATGGAGGTCGAACTGATCCTATTGTCACCTTTGTCATATAAAGTGACCTTGTGGTTGGCGAAATCCAGCAGTACAGGATATGCGAAGACCATATCTATGAATGCACCACATGCAAGCACAGTCCAAGTCAGCTTTCCTGCGGTAGCTTGTTCTTCTAGGTAGCGTTTGATCTTGAACATCGAGGAATACATTGGCAAGTCTGCGACTTTAGGGCTGATCGTACAGGATCCGAATTCAGAGGGGATAACACGTTTCACTCCAGCGGCAATAGCAGCATCGATCAGAATGGTCTGGTTCTCGATGGCTGTAGCTGTCACAGTGGACACAAGTCCGTCGATACCTTGAAGTGCCGCAGTCAATGACTCCACGGATGTGAAGTCCACTTCGACAGCTTTAACGCTGGAGTCGTAAGTGCCTGGTTTCTTGGACCGTGTGAGAACAGTGACTTGCAATCCTGCAGTAACAAGTGCTTTGACGATATGAGGGCCAAGGTTGCCAGAGGCCTAGTGAAGCTGTCAGCAATTGCCCCTCCAGCAGCTTTAGAAATTTCACCCCTGCGACTGCGACTGATTTCACTACAGACATACTGGAGAAATTGGGGCAGTTTGGGTACTCGTTTAGTGATCTTTCTTAGCACTGAGGGGATAATATGGGCAGGCCACAGATGACAATTTTAAGGCTGTTTTTCTCAACAGAAAGACCTCGTTGTTTTATATTCGCCCAGATGTCTGTACATCAATGCCATTACTTGATTGTGAACAGGGGTCCTCGCAGACAATACTTCAAGTAAGTTATCTCCATTGCCCAGGTTGTCCAGGCCTGGACCGCATGTACCAATCGTGTTTCCGCATATCCCGCACCTGCATATGCTCGGTGCGGGACCCACCCCGATCTTGACATTCGTCACGACGATTTAAAATCCCGAGAGAGTCCGCACCCTCGTTCCACTAACACTACCTCAGATATTACCTTCTCGCTGTGTACCAATGGCTAAAAAGGCCTGTACTCGATGCAGCACCCAGAAAAGGCGATGCGACAAAGTCACACCTGTCTGCGGACTTTGCGCAAGGTACCTTCACGAGCCTCTAGCGCATAACGTTAGTGACACAAATATTTAGGCTTCACCAAAAATGCGAGTACGGCATCCCTCGCGTTTCATCCTTGAGCTCCAGTGCCTCATTATCACCGTGCACTGAAGTATTTCTCGGGCCAGGTGTTTGTAATCCAGACAGTCTCAAGGATGCTATCATACAGAAATTCGGGCCCCACATAGTCGAAGACAGCCTTTCCACCTACCGCCGAGAGGTCGAGCCATGGTTCCCTATTATTTCGGTCCCTCGGCTACAGAGCCAACTCGCACAAACGGGGCAGGATCTCTCTTTAGAAGTTGCAATACTCTGCCTCTCGATCACCCTTCTCACGACGCGTCCCCCACCATTTCCAGGGAATGAAAGTGATCTCAGCGATTGTAAATCCCTTTACTTTTATGTAAAATGCTTGCTATCCTCAAGCGAGGCGTTTGGTCTCAATTCTTTTCACATCATCCAATCAAGGATTCTGGTAACTCTCTACGAAGTTGCGCACGGACTCTATCCGACAGCTTATATATCGATTGGAACTGCCATCAGCGCGGTAGATGCACTTGAACTTCACCCATCAGGACGCACTCACTCTCCTCATATCATAGGCGCCGAGACCACGGGAGAAGATACTGTGTTGATCTGGTGTGGAATTCTAGTCTTGGATAGGTACACCATTCCTGTTTTGACTGCCCACGTTCGACCATTCCAACATAATCTAGTATACTGATTTTCTCCTAGGTACATGGCTGTAGAGTCAGGACCTCATCCATCTCTGACTCGTTCAAGAACTTTGATACTCCAGGATCTCCTCAAGCCAGCTTTGTGTCCAACACACTTTCATCAGGATCCAACAAATCCTATCTTCCCCCTCGCTCGTCTCGTCGAAGCCTCTAATCTTCTCGACAAAATCCATACCACTATTAATAGCCCCACTGCAGAGAGCACATTCAACATAGAAGAATATATTCTGACCATTCAAACGATCATAAACCTCCAAACCATTTTGAACACGGAGATCGAGAACAGAATCCACCTCTATTCGGGTGGACTAGGTCTGTGTAATCTGTGAGTTGCCGACATTTACAAATTCAGGTTTGGAATGGCTGCACCCTTGCTGACAATCACGTAGTGCCCTCCTAATAGCATTCGAAAACGGTGCTGATGCCCCGCCCATCGCCACTGTCAACAAGAACTGCAAATACAGTGCCACAGAATCTCTGAACTCGGTCCTTTCCACGATCATGAGTACGGTTGAACTCTCCACGTCAGGGGCGAGATCCATTGATTTCAACCTGCTTCCGCCATTCACCACATTTTTGGTATACAAAGCAGCGGCGATTTTGACGAAGGGACTCCTGATGGATCCTAGAAGTAGAGATTGGAGTGAGAGACTGAATAATTTGAGACTTTCAAGAAACTTCCTAAGGATCGTGTCAGCGCGGTGGTTGGCTTGCGGTGAGTTGCGCAGAATGTTCGCAACTCAGCTAGACTAACCGACCACTGACTTAGAGCGTTACCTCAATCTTCTTGATGAAGACACAACACCACGCATCCTCAAGGCTCTAGAGGAAGGAGGATAGAAATTCTTACAGTATGGGACTTTGTAAATCGTTGGCCCAGGCTGATAGCAGGCCCAGTTCGTCCTTGGCTTAAAAGAGGACTATGCCGGCTAGTTAGGGTCAATACTGAGATTACTCAAGCCAACCTCACTTGCAGCCCGATACTAGTTCAAGCCGGGCCCAGGCATAGCGGTAGGCTAACGAACTGTCGTGGGACATATTAGTAGTAGCTACCTAGAGAGGGAGTGAGTATTGCCTGGGATCATTGACAAGATCAGAGCAAGACGTGGGCTCTGGGTCAGAAGTTTCAAGTAGTGATATATTACTTGGTATCACACTATGTATAGATTGTGATTCAGGCTGTAGAATCACAGCATTTCCTTACTAGTGGTATCCCCCCGAGCTCGTATTCGCGGGCCGTATATGTATTAAGCGATGGGAACAGGGACCATTAGAGCGGCTGGGCAGCCTAAAAGGGTACTGGTCCATTGCACGCCAATACCGTTGTACTGTTGATTTGAATGAGCGGGAACGCTATCGTGGTAATTAGAGCGATGCGGTTGAGCTTACTATGTAAGAAGCAAAAAGCGGAAAGACACTCGCAAGCAAGGAGCTTAAGAAGGTGTGGGCGGCTACGGCGGAAGCCGGTCTATTTCCAAGGCTTGTTAATCTCTAGCATGCGCGGAAGAGACGGAATGAGTAAGGGGTTTACTCACCTTTCAGACCGAGCCTGGACGAGATAAGAAATAGAAGGAATGAACGTGGCCAAAAGGCCGAAGCCCGTCAACACTCCTGACAAAGTCGGCACGATCCAGTGGATGTCTCGCCTGTAGCCAGTCCACCCGTACCAGAAAAGTCCCGCAGAGAAGGCCACGGCACCAGGTACAGCAACTGGAAGTTGCCATTCAGGCATCATGACACCTCTGTTTTGCTTGGCTTTGTTCATGATCCAAGGTTGTGTTAAAAGAATCGCCAACACGGCGAAGACATCCCCCACAATCAAGCCGAGGTATGGTAAGCCACCGTCGCCCGGTTTCATTCCGTGAATCTTTTGAAAGACCACAGGATAGCCGACCAAGAACAAGTATAGCAGACCACAGACGAATGAATCAAAAAGACTCATCAGGAGAACTATAGGATCTGATACCAGCATCTTCAGTGGAAGCGCAGTATAGTCGATAAGAATTATTCGCAGAGAAAGAGAGATCTCAGTATGTTGAGAGGTAATTGAGTCGTTACCAGTTTCCTGGAGCATCCTGGAGGCCTTCTTTGAAAGAATAACAGGTGCGTAGGTCTCCTGCAAGACGAAGATCAAAGGAATCAAGGCTGCGGCGCCGAGAATGCCACAGGTATATTGAGTCCATTCCCAGCCTAGGTCGTGGTTTTCAACAATGAATCCTCCAGTAGGCTGGGCAATGATAGGCCCCATGACACAGTGAATGAAAAGAACACCATTGATGTACCAAGGGATTTCCCAACAAACATATCAGCATTCAGAGGCCCGGCTAGAGTCAAAGGCCCGGCGCCGAAGAATCCCCAAAACCATCGACAAACGAGGATCGATGTGAGATTTTTTGGTATGGCGGTGCCGAATGAAAAGACCACGAAGCCAACCATCGAGAGAATGAAAGGAGGATAGCGACCTTTCAGTTCGGAGAACGATGCCCGAACGACCGGCCCTATGGCAAAGCCCAGCACGTAGAGAGACACGCCGAGCGTAACCACTTCTCGATCGACGCCGTGGATGCGGACAAGTGAGGGGATAATCGTCGCGAATATGGCACTGGCAAACGTGACTACCATCATGGAGAAAGCAGTTAGTGCACATATCCAGACCCTAATAAAGTGTTAGTTAGTGTATGGGTCAGGAAATATGTCACCTGGAATTGGGACTCAGACCTCTTGCTTAACGGCCACTGGCGTGGATTCAGTGAATCCTCAGCCGTGAATTCGTCATATTGCTTTGAGATTGACCGTAGTGATATTGCATCGGGAGAGATTCCAGCCACGGCGGCTGCCTCCTCTAACTTTTTCTGCCTTTCCATTTTTCGGTCCCTCTAGACTGCTTGGCCTTTCACAATCGGAGTTGGACTTGGAGAAAATTGGAATAACTCGATCGGACTTTCAACTTAGGAACGAAGTAGTGGAATAGGCGAATATGTGCGGTGCGTCCATCTCTTCTCTACAGGGTGGCAATCTTAAGTAAATGGTCCACAACATATGAGGGCAAAAGATGTCTCTGGGCTAGGGTGCTATCGTCACTAATGGACATCGCCTGCCATGACTAAGCGCTGCAGCTTGGTAGATGCTCCGAATGGGAGGTCAGGTCGCAGCGAGAATATGAAAGATTAACTATGGAGTTGTGTTGCAGTGCTGGTAAACAGTATCGTGATTAAAGTGAAACGTGAGGCAGAAGACATAGCACTACGGGCATAACTCGCCGAGAATACGATATTTGCACTTCTCGGCCGCAGTTGACCCGCCAAGTCGCCAGAGGGGCCCCAAATAGCTCGCAGGGCGGCCGGCTAAGACGACCAAATTCTTGAATAAAACTGCCTAGCCAGGCATTGGAACAAGGTAAACCCCTTTTCAGCAAAGTAAACAAATAGGTTGGGCGTTTTCTCCGCGATCACTAGAAGGAAGACTATTATAATCAGATTCGAGCCTTTCGCCCGTATCCATAGCGCTGCATAGATTGATTCTGGGGTGCCTGCTCCGGAGTTGTTTGCTATTTAGGCTCCCCCATGAGCAGTTTGCTGGAGTTGCTCTGAGCGTAGGACCAGGTTAGTGGTTCTAAGTCCACCGAACCATCATCGCCAGCAACAAAAAGAACGCGTGCGTATTCAGCGCTGCCTAGCTGCTTAGAAATACATGAACCCTGTTTTCATTGTGTTTGTTTATTGGGCAGAGTTCAAATTTTGATTCAAGTCTTTGCTCGAAATAGGCAACCATCGTAGCTGGGGCTTTTGCAGCACGATCATGCTCTGATTTCGAAGCTTTTGTTGGCGAGTCGATGTGGGAACCGCGGGAGTCAGGGGAACTCCTTGTATATATCTGACTGCTCCCCCAGAGACTATTTCACTCATGGTGTCGTTTCATAATGTACGTTAGGTAAATTGCAACTTGTTAGTTATTGATTCTTAAAGCATTAATCCGGTAGATATGAGGTCTTTCTTCAAAAGTTTCTCGGCTGGGACCAAGTCAGGGAACACTCCTTAAGACATCCCTTCACACGTAACCCGAACTCGAATTACGATTCAGGTCTGACTGGATTCTCCCTGTTAAGGATAAGAATCGGGCTCGGAACGGATGACTTTTGAGCTAGTAGCACTGGCGTTGTTGACCGTTGCTTGTAGAGAACGGCATCTCCGTCGAACCGATATGAAGGTGCTGCTGCTGCGCTTGCAGGTAAAGAAACATTAGCTAGAGCCGCGAGAAACGAAAAAGTCAGACCTAGCCTCGTCTGCACAGCGTGAATGACGGTGGTTCGCGGAACGATGAACGCGAGGGCGGCTGGAAGCAAGGCCAGGGAAACTTCTTTTAAGCCCTGCGAACGGCTGCTCATGAGACTCATTTCCGTCTCAGATGGGTACTCCAACCAGATTGTTGTGGACAGAGCTGTTGATATGCCAGAACACGTGCACTAATAGGAACCCACGCAGGCCCAGGCCCAGATCGCACACAACAGCCTCCCCCCAAAACTTGCAACGGCGCGCCGTATGCTCATCAGTCGTGTTCTTGTTATGCCTTGAAACTACCGCCAGGACAGTCCAGACAGGCTTGATAGTTTCCCCATCTGAAATGTGACCCGACACAAGATGAGGCTCTAGGGATTGATGCAATCATATGACCGTTTTGTCGACCTAGCATAGAAACATTTGTTCTCATTGGTGTTTTGTCTTCTAAGCCCCATCATATCAGCAGGACTTGTAGATCGGGGTGACTGAAGATCTTCGGTAAGAGGTACTTCTGTCCTTCCATGCCACCGGCCCACCGGCTGTCCCAAATAGTCGTCAGCTCTGGCGGTGCAGTCGATCCGTGCAGCCCTTCTATGGCTGAAGGTGTTCGATGGTGCGGACGCCCGATGTCATAGTTTTCTCCAGGCGGCTGACAGAGCCCCGCTGTGGGACTGGAACAAGAAGTAGTAAGACTGAATTAGTCAGACTTGGGCTAGATATAATTATTGCACTGAGTACAGTACGGAGCTGTATGACTTTGGCATATGGAGAAGACTCTGATGGGTGGCTGTGGACAGTGTTCAGGTCTCGCGCCAAGTCCAATTCCGCTATGCGCCACGTATTCCACCGGCACGCCGTCAGCTTTCATCTTAGGCAATCTAACCAAGGTCAGGGCCTATGTGCCGCTGAGCCCCTCGTGTTCGTATCGCTACCTAAAGAAATATAGTGCACGGCCTTGGGCCGGAGAACCTTGACATACGAACGTTCCGCGAGCAATCGCCTCAGGACTGCACATGGCTCATTTATCAAGGGAGGCCTAAGATTTGTCGATCCATTATCTTCCACTTTCGGGATGATTTCTATGGAGGTCGGGCAAAAACAAGGTCCCAGAATGTTTGATGAATTGCAACCTTCCTCATCTCTTCGCTCCCACTTGCCGCCTTGGCAGCTTCAGACAGACTGATGATGAGGTTGCTTGCTGGGGGAGATCTCTCCCTTTCCCTTCCTATCTCTTGATAATCAATGAAAGAATGACGCAAACTTTGCCGTCAACGCTCCGAAGAACGCTCCGAATGGGCCTTGGAAGAAATCTGCCATGGTGTTGACAACGTCAAGAGCAGGTGGATACAATCCACCAAGTACACTTGATGATGCTCTCAAAACCAGCGGTCACTCCCATAATTTTGATACAGGCACAAAAGGTAGTACTCGAGTACGTTGTTGAGCGCAAAACTCTCCCAGTCTGCTTCTATTATTAATTCAGCATGCGCTCTCTATGGATAGCTGTCGCGCTTCAGCTGGCGTTGTTCCTGTCGCCTGCGATATCCCAGAACTCCTCTAGCCTGTCCGTCACTATCGATTCTGGTCCCATCGTGGGCAGAAGAACTCAACATCTTGATTCCACAACCACAGTGAAGCAATTCCTAGGCATTCCGTTCGCCCAGCCGCCCATAGATGACCTGCGCTTTTTGCCTCCCGACCCGCCACACTCCTGGACTGAAGTCTACAATGCGACTTCACAGCCGATGGCATGCATCCAATATTCGGGCCCTGCGGGCCCTGCTAGGGACTTGGGAAAGCTCCTTTTCAACACACCGGGCCCACCTGGGGAAAGCGAGGATTGTCTCTACTTGAACGTCTATGTCCCCGAGGGCGGAGTGGAGGACAAAGCTGTCTTGTTCTGGATATATGGCGGTTCAAACAGGGCCGGCGCTGCGTCGGAGCCTCTCTATGACGGAACTAGCCTTGCAGCGAACCATGATATCATTGTTGTGGCAATAAATTATCGGTTGAATGGTAGGTTAGTCTTTAGATCTCGTGTGACTACTGCTAATTTCACCTCGCAGTCTTTGGTTTCCCCAGAGCCCCTCAACTCCCTCCTGCAGAGCGAAACTTGGGGACTCTAGACCAGAGGCTAGCTCTTGATTGGGTTCAGCGGAATATTCACGCCTTTGGAGGCGATCCAACCAAGGGTGAGTTTATGTCATCCACGAGGAACATCAGATTCGGGTCGTGCTAACGCACTCTATAGTGACGGTTATGGGAGAATCAGCCGGCGCTATGGCTGTAGGGAACTTCATTAATACATATCCTGATGACCCACCATTCCGGGCAGGAGTACTTCAGTCTGGAAGTAGCGTGGTCAAAGTCCCTCCTGGAACACCGAACAACGATACCACATTCTGGACAAACCTGATTGAGTACCTCAACTGCGCCGGTACTTCGGAAAGTGGAATCCTTGACTGCGCGCGTGCAGTGCCCGCCGATACACTTAGGACAATAATAGACAATAATGCAATGGCATTTGGCGATCCGTTCATGGACAACGTCACTGTTCTTGAATACCCAGCCACAGTCTGGGCAACGGGTGACGTTGCAAAGGTCCCTATCCTCATCGGCTCGACTGCGGACGATGGTAGTGTTTTCACCTTAGGGATTGGCGACAACAACGTCACCGCGTTCATTGAAGCAAGCTTTGGGGTTGGCAGTACCCTAAGTCAAATAATCAACCAACTCTATACCACCGACCCGACAACGACAGTTGGTCTCACCACTGGTCAGCAAATAATCTCCCAGATCGCGACTGACGCCACGTTTCGATGTACCAGCGGCTTCGTCGCCAATCTCACCTCGACGCTGCTTGACGTGCCGGTTTGGCAATATGTATTCGACGCTTTGGTTCCTAGCAATACGTGGGAGGCATATCCTGAACTTGGGGTCTACCACGCGTCAGAGATAGCGCTTATTTTCGGCACCTACCCGAGGGAGAACTCTACCGAGACGGAAGCTAGATTGAGCCGATCCATGCAGAAGCAGTTTGCTGACTTTGTGAAGGACCCCGTACAGGGCCCAGGCTGGAACCAGTGGCCTGATGTGGCCGTGCTAAGCGTGAGTGAGGATGATGCTGTAACAACGGTCGAGAACGTGCGTGAATTGGACGAGGTTTGTATAGCATGGGACAGCCTGTACACCGCGGCATTGTCATCCACATCTGGGACCACCACCAACTCTGCCACTTCCTCCGGTTCTACTGGCACGGACTCAATTGGCACCAACAACGCTGGACCTACACTGACAGGTAGTCTCGGTACGGTTGGTGTGGCTCTCCTTGGTCTTGCAGCCCTGCTGTGAGGCAATGAGATCAGCGGCTACCGCTAATGCGTTGCCATAAGCACATGCCCACATAAGCAGATTAGGCGGATAGGCTTTCAGAAAGCATCTTTCTCTGTAGACACATATCCAATGAAGAACCATTCACTAGACCTTACAAATGCAAGCAAGAGAATCCCTTTTCCGCAGTAGGTTCCAATCGCAGTAGAGCATTTAACCGACTCTACAGTACAACGCGATACCACAACTTGGATGTCGGTAACCAAGATGCGGCCCTGTGACCCAGTGCCGTGTGGGGCTAGCATATAAATCGTCCATAGGCCGGAATACTCCGTCCGCGTTACCGAACAGGCGACTGTCATCCGAGCGAATCAACAGATCCACGAAAGGTGACGATCCCTCGTCAGGGTGAGCCCAACCATGTGGAAACCATCTATTCACTAGGCGGTCTGGATGTCTTGGGAATAGATTCCCTCGCTTCAAAAGCCGAGACCAGATTGAGTTTTGTATAGAATAGTGAGTATTTGGTGATAGGCGTTGGAGGGAGTCCAGGAACAAAGACAAACATGATTGACATCGTAGATGAACAGTTCTTTGTTCAATATGCATATGGACTACAGCTCCATGTCAGTGGACCAGATCACTACAGTTATGTGTCAACATATTGCCTCTCTTCAGGACAGGCAGATCAAAACACCACAACAACGAATGCTCGTTGCGCTGGCGGGGGTTCCGGCGCCAGGGAAATCTACAATCTTCTCTGCTCTGATGCAGAAAATTTCTGGACATGACGTAAAGTACATCACTGTTGTACCTATGGTACGTACCAATGCTTGGCTGTAGTCAGAGTAAAGCACAGACTCAGATCTCCTGGATGGCTTCGACTCTCCAAGGCTACCTTGGCGACATCTCCTTATCCTGGTCTGGCCCCTCGTCGAAGAGTCACGTTCGATGCGGCTGCCTTCGTGCAACTTGTGGTGAGACTCAAGAAGGAGACCGTCACCCTCGCCCACGACCATGAAAGTTGGATAGGCGCACCTAGCTTGAACCACGAGATGCAGGACCCGGTTGCAGATGATATTAAGATCTCTTTCAAGAGGTAAACTTGTCATCATTGAAGATGATTATAATCTTGAAGAACCACCATGGGATCGGGTCGGACAACTAGTGAACGAAAGGTGCGTTTCCAGTGATCTTGAGCGGGTTACAGGCTAAGTGTTCTTGAACGGTGGTTCGTCGATGTCTCAACTGAGGTGGAGAAAGAGCGCCTGATAAATCGACATCTTCGGGGTGGGATCGAGACATTTCGAAGATTGGCCCTGATTCGAGTCGAAGATAACGACCTGGCTAATGCAGATTATATTAGAAGTCATCTGAGTCAGCCGGAGTTGACCATTGTCGTTTGTTGAGCAGGTTCAGGGGCTCAGGAGGCAAATGGATTCAAAAGTCCGTGCTCACATCGTCCCACCCAAATGATGTGAAGAATATGTCTGGATCCATTGGAAAGTCAGAGGTTCCTCCCATCCAAGCTGTGGGAATATCCTCAAGGTTGAGAGGTCTGTCCAAAGTATTACCAGGCTGCAAGCGATCAATGATATCTGCACATTGAGCGGCCAGAGGGTTGCCAGCGAGGACTTGCTGAAAGAGGTTGCGGGCTGTGTGAATGTCTGCCATCCGAGCATCGATTTCTTGGGAATCAGTACCTGCCAACACCGGTATCAAAGCGGCCAATGCAGCGTGGAAGAGAAAGTACCTAGAACAGATAAGCATGAAACCTTCCTCAGAGTGTACTTTTTGGGGTTGTTTACGTTGAGTACCAGAGTACCAGCTTACTCAATTCTGAGTGGCGGAGATAACTGTCGATGGAAGTGATGGTGAGGTGCGCTGCATCTATACAAATGCGACTGCACCGTTCCGCTTCCGAGTTTGCTGCAGGGAGCAAAGCCTCTCTGTGACCTATCCTAACTTGACGCATCAGGATTTGACGAAGCAAAATGATCTTGAAGTTCCACAATCGCCAATAAAGACGAGCCCGAGAAAAGAGGTACCAATACTCGGCATGTTGAGGATCTTGACTGAGCTGAAAATATCCAGGTAAGCTGTTAGCCCAATTGTCTAGGATGTCATTCATTAGCAGAGCGTCTCCCGCAGGAACAAAGCCGTGCAACAGCAGGCGATTTGAGATATGATTTGAATCCATATGAAATGCTGCTTGTGCCTTCATGCTAGAATAGATTGTTGGATTTGGCGACTCCAATGGCCGGTTAGGGGTTTTCGGAGTAAGGTCCTTCAAAATATTAGTAATATTTCATTATTTGAGATGGTGCAGAATTACTTCGTCGTCAATGTTCAGGATATGGCACGTATCCATAGAATTCTGATCGGGAAGCAGGATCGGACGACCGAATGTCGTCGATGCACCGCTATCAAATAAGAAGAGACCCCACCAGACTCTCCGGCGCATTTCCTGGTGCAAGATACCGACGTTCCAGCTAGGATGTTCACGGTGTAAACCTAAACTCAGAGCCATGCGAGTAGCGAGCCCTAGCATATTCCATCCAGTATTCGGCCTATTCCTTTTCTGGGCAAGGTTGCTCAACAGAACGAGTGCTTGGATTGTAGTGAGATTGGCCACCTCGAAGATTGACTCATCTTCGCCCAATGAGATTGAGCGGCGGTAAAGCTGTTCATCAAGCTCTGTTTGAGTTTGTCCAGATGACCAAGATCCTAGTGCAAGGACAGTAGAAAGGAGGAGCTTCCACGACGCGCTTACCGGTCTTGGGAGGATTTCATGATATTGTGCTCTGAATGTTGGCTCATGGACAAAGGGGTAGACGGGATGATAGTTTTCAAAGTAGGCGTCAATGAGCTTGGTCTCAATCTGGCGTGAAAGCGCAGTAGCAGGATATCTCGAGGAGGGGGTCAGCGTCGCTGGCGATTCGTCCACCAAATCAGCAGCTCGGAAGTGGCTTTCACTCAGAAGTCTAGGGTTTCCCAACCACAATAGTAGTGACCGCAGGAAAGCAACCCCGGACGTCGAACCTGGACACGGGCTTCAGATTTGACACGTAGCTTATTGCTCAGGAACGCACCAAGGTAGCCAGCACCAGTTGGCTCGACACGCAACGCAGCCATTCCATCAGCTAGCAGATCCAGTGTTGTGTCTTCGGTCCAGTCATAGCCCTGTGCACCGCTTGGAGCTGTGTCGGGCATTGTTTCTAAACCACTCTCAGCCTCGGAGGACGGATTTGGAAGCACTTCAAAGAGTGGTTGAGAAATTATTGAGGGCGCAGTGGCAGATGCATCATATGCTGAGGACAAAGCTGTTTCAATGTCGACATTAGGTAGTAATATAGCGAAGAGAGATTCGAGATCACGAACGCGTCGCTCAACCTTTGAGAGATACCTGGCACTTTGAGCAGATAGTACATCGGGGGATATCCAGAGCAACACACACGCGAGTCAGCGGTGACCGGACAGTTTTACCGCTATAGTGGCATTCTGATCCACTCTGAACGCATGCATAGCAGACCGGTCGTTCTCGTGAACACTGATGTTGGTCAGGTTCGATCCTGGGGCGGCACAACACCAAGCACTAACCTTTGTCTTTTTGAATCGGCAGGCATCACACTGGAAAAGCACGATCAGTCTCACCAAAACTCACAGAGGAGGGAAAACTTGCTGCTGCATTGACGGTCAGTTGTTGCCGACGGGCATCCATAGGGACATTGAGGCGCCCGTTGGTGATGTTGGAAGTCTTGGATCAACAATCCCCTAGTTTGGCAACACGTTGTAACGTCATGTGGGGTCTCAGACCTTGGCACTAGTGCGTGAGGCTAAACTCGATAAAGGCATGTGCAAACATAGCAAACATCTGCCTTCCACTTGCCGAGGCATAAACCAGGAGTTCACCTACCCGAACGCCCTGGATATCGGTTCCATCTTTTTCCCCCATACACCGGCGATAGTGAGCGGGAAGTATTCTTCCAGGTCGATCATTTTGTTTGATTGCACACCGTGATTTCATTTCTTTTGATTTTAAAGTACAGTCGGCACAGAAGGCCAGAAGGCCACACTTGCTCCCAGACGGGCAACCAGAAATCACTCGGCTTGAGGTAAAACCCATTCCTCACAAACACGGACCAATAACGACGATATATCAATCCACAACACCTCCCACCGCTGCCATGGAGAATCACCAAGACTTCAACGTCCCATGGTGTCAAAATTTACTCGCTTCGGATATTTCCATTGTCGAAATTCCGACTGAGCCTTCCTTTACAAGTAATGATGCTGACGGCGCCACAAAGGATGAAGCCGTCTCTAACAGCATGTTCAAGCAAACCCTCTACACGCCAGATGCTATTCGTGCTCAGCTATGCTTCAAACGGCCGACCTCCGAGGCTGACTCCATCATCCCCTGGGAATACTGCTATGTACTGTCGCTCGGCTCTGGAATCGACGGCAAGGCAGGTCGGGCGCACGGCGGCTTCAACGCTTTGATTTTAGACCAGATGACAGGCACTGTGGCATCGATGGTGTCAGGGAGTGCTGCGCCAGCTACAGCGACGATGACTGTGGACTACAAAGCACCAATTGAGACGCCTGGCGTCGTCCTGTGTCGTGGATGGGCGGTGGAGCGACAGGGGAGGAAAACATGGGTGAAAGCCACAGTTGAGGACGGCCAAGGGAAGTTGCTGGCCAGCGCTAAGGCTCTGTTCATCGACCCAAGACCGACGAAGATATAAGCTCACCTTTTTTGCAAAATCTCAGGGACATCACTTTTGCCTCGGAGACCGCGTAGTAGGGGACTTCTGCACCAATCTTTGTGAATGCCATGTATCATCACCTAAGACAAAGATAGACCTTGATGAGAGGGTCACCACAAGATAGAAATATTGGCTGTAATCGATACTTTGTTCCCATTTGAATTTCTCAAGTGAGAGGATTCGAGACGATGCGAGACTTCTTTGAGTTGCAAGAGGCTCGCTCAGTCAGGGGTAGGTACTTCAGCAAAGGGCGGCATGATATCAGCGCCCGAAAAGTGTGATATTACTTGCCTTTTGACGACCTTGGCAACTCAGACAGGGAAGGTATGCAAGGTGGAAAGGTCGCAGGTGCACATGCGATTCACGACCTCGGCCCTTCAACCATCACGACCTCATAACTTCTACATGCTCGTTTACAAGGAATACTTAGCTTCGATATTCGAATATCTGAAAACACGGCGGATTTACAGACTTACCTCTTCATAGCCGTCTTTTGGTCTCGTCGTTTCCCCCGGTTCCCGCGCATCGGTGGCAGCAGGCGTTTCTCACTAGAGATGGAGGTTAGTGCTTCTGCTACATTCAACTCAATATAGAATCGCTCTCCAGTGCACCTCCCATGTTCTAATCCCCATATAACTGATGCAAAGTATAGTCACCCGTACGCTCTCTATCCCGCTCTTCATCCTTTGCTCCGGGCCCGCACCGTCGGTCACACCCCAACCTGCACCACTTGTCCCTCGCACCGTTGACACCCAAGTATCCCATTGATCCAGCGGACTACGACGCGTACTTTGACCCGTCAACGTCTGAGCTCCACACCTCCGCCTCTATAAGCCAGATCTCCGGCCTGCCATCGCCGGGCGGGATATTAACAAGCCATTCCGCAGCACACTCCCGGGCCAGCTCACGCACTAGATTGAAGAGGAAGACGAAGTCGAGTGTTTCCGTGCACGGATCCGCGGCTACTGCAGGCTCACAGCCGCACCAAGCTCACCTTGAAGCTCCTTCGGGTGCCTTGACAAGCGAAGGGTTCGGACACAGGAAGGCGAATCGCGTCAGCTCTGGTCTCCGCATCCACATGTCCGACTCCTCATGGCTGATCCAAACAGGCCTCGCGTTGACTGAAGGATCTCGCGAAAGTAAGGGCCAGTCATGGATTGTCAAGCGAGACTCTTCGACATCACTCGCCTCGCCTTCGTACGTCCCGACCGAAGAACGTGCGACCCACAGTTCAACGCACCCGAGTAGATCAGCCCGTGCCACTCCCAGCATCAGCCGTAGGAGCAGCTTCAAACGCGGTAGCCGACGCTCCCTTGCAATAACCCCAGCATTGCACACTCCACTGTCACTTGGCCTCGACGAGCCAGACTCAAACTCAATGCCCGACTGGGCGGATGATCGCACCCAGGCAGAAATCGCCGCTCAAGTTGGGAACGACTTGGCCGAGGAGTTCGACTACGACGGAGATCCGTACGGTGTTCTAGATTTCGAAGGTCAATTTGACAGTGATGAAGATAATGATAGTGACGAAGAGGAAGTACGCCGGGAAATTCTGGCTTCTGGGTTTCATATGGGAAGCTGGGTGGATGGAATTGTGGATGTATTCTTGCGACTGGAAGATCCACCCGATTCTTCCTCGGAACAAAACCTGGATCTGGAGACTGGGAGTCGATTTCCGTCTAGAGAGATGCCCGCAAATATTGATGCAGCTCAACTACCATCTAGCGGGGCGGAAAATGGAGAACCCAAACCAACCCACTTCGAATCTGATAACTCTGTGGAACCTCCACCTGTCCAGCAACAAGGAGGGCTATGGAATGATGTCGCTTGGTTCGGACGCCTCGTGGCAAGAACAGTCAGGTCTTAAAGCAGCCTTTAAGTCGTAATCCGAGAGATTCTGCTCTGCAATGTCTCTAGCCCGCTGGGTCCTTTTCTTTCCAACGCAAATGTATCAAGCTTCTCTTCATATCATCTCTTCTCGAGTATCGATTCTGATGTGGATAGAATGCCGCCCAAAGAGCTCCATCGCCTTCTTCCAATGCACGCATGTGTTCACTTGCTCGCAATTCTTCCCTGACGTGAAGCCTGCATTATGGGGGAGAAATGGTCAGCATCTAGGTGCCTGCTTTTGGAAGAAGGCCATGCTTGTTTCTGACCAAGGAGACTGTTAAAAGGGGGTAGTGGGACGCAAACCTGAAAGCGGCGGGCCAGTTCCAGAAGCTCGTCGCGGGATAGACCTCGTGGGTCCCGCTCCTCTAAGGGAATGGGAATGATACCGATGGTCTTGAGGGCATCTAATATGATGGTCAGTACATTTGCACAAAGCATATCCTGAGCGCTGGGGAAGTCAGTGCTCCGTTGTGCATATCGCTTACTTTCCGAGCGATACTTGAAGATGAATTCAGTGATTGGGGAAGCGTCCACTCGTCTCGAAGCCCATGGGTTTGGTGGCTTGCTCATTACGTGGTGTTGTCCAGCCCTATCCAACATCAGCGTTCATTCGTTCGCCCCTGCAAATACAGATGGTCAAGTGGTGGTGGATCCTTACTGAGTAACGATATCAATTCTCTGCCCTTTGATCGCTCTCTCGGGGATGGGACGTGTAGCAGGCATGTCTTCCAGAGCCCTCGCGGCAGGAATGTTCCCATCACGGTATTCAATCTCACGCCAGACCTCAACTCGGACGATGCCGACCTCCCCATATCGTCGCTTCAACTCGGCCTCGTTCAAGCCCTTGGACTCCTCAGCTAACGGACGGTCAGTATCAAAAGGTATTCTGCAAGATTCAGCCAGCCGTGTAGTATCTCACTTGTCACCAGATTCTCCACGAAAAGGCGAGTCTGCGCCAGCCAACGTCCGATGAGACTTGCATGCCCTTGATGACATGATGGAATCCAGAGCGCCTCTCGCTAACGGCCTTCGAGATATGTTTTCTGCGCACTCTATCGCCGTCAATGTAGACACAGAAGCTCAAGCAGTTCGCCCGCGGGCCGAAGTCGAAGCCTTTGCGTACGGCAACGCGGATAAAGTACTCTTTGAGTGGTTTGGCTTGGAGGCATCGCGTCACGGTCTTGGTGGCATCGCTTGTTAGGTCGAGGCGGTTGTCTGGGCCAGTGCCGGTGGCTAGGTCGTCGTATTCTTTGAGTTTGTGTCCATTGCATAGGACGTTGACGCGGACTTTGTCGAGCACGACCATTGTAAAGTGAAGAGTTGGCAAACGCCAGATGCCAGAATGGAAAGGATGGGGGCTATAATGAAAATTGTCTAGAGGAGGAAGTGATGTAGAGAAGAGGAGCAGCAGCAATGTTTGATCCGTATATTCACTTCGCTCCTTCCCTAACATCACTTCACTGTCCCTGACCCCCTGCAACAGGGCGCCTCCCCAGGGTCCAAATATCACCTGCTGCACTACTACTAGCATATATACTCGTCTGCTGCCATGTTTCGCGCGCTCTTCAGTCTTCTCAAGCAAGCAGATCTCCCTGACACTCATAATGAAACTCGAAGCTAACATGTCATGGGCGGCATCCGGGTTACGTGATGTAGTCTCGTTCTCCATCAGCCATCCAAGTGTCCCTAGTACAACCAGCCAATAGACCGTAGCCAATTCTTAGCGACTCTTCAAGTGACCTGGCTCGCAAGGAAACATCTCAGTTAGACACATGGTAACTTTGCAGTCTGGAGTATCATACAGTTCCAATGTTGAGATATTAGTAGTTTCACTGTTTATAGGTGTCAAGGCTCGAGACGAAAGGAACATCCACTGGTACCCATCCACCAGCCGGGATACCTGAGAGGCTACGTTGTCTTATACACGATTTTGTCGGGCGCCTCGATCACAATCCTAAAATAGTACTTTACCGCGAGTATATCAATTTTCTGAAGACTTTCAGTACCCAAGTAGAAGGACATGATCGGGATGGACCTCCTAGAGATTATTGCAGCCATGAAAGAAAAGTAATGTTTAATATAAGCAGCTTTTCTTCCCTTCCAGGAGGCGAATCGACCGCACTTATCAGAGTCGGACTAGTACTAATTAAAACACACGTCGAGCCCTAATTTGTGCGAGCAGCATGAGTTCAACAGCAAGAAGATGGACGTAGTCACAGTGAACATAACACCGCAGCAGAACTCTCGCCACGATACGGTTGATCATAGCAAACTGCAATGGACATGGATGAGGATGTGGACGATAATATTCTCGGCCCTAGTCCTGAGTTTGGCTCCAGTTGCCCTTCTGTATTGCGGTACTCGAATTCGCGCAAGAAGCAAGTTTCTCAGGAAAGGAGCTCTGTATACTGCTGGTATACCTAGTAATCTAGATAGAAGCGAACAATAATTTCTTCATGGACTTAGCCTGTACTGTAATACTTTTTATAGCATCTGAGAAATGACTCATCCTATAAGGAGGACTGATCTATTCCGTAGCCAGTTCTGTGATGATAGAGGATAATTTGGCCGCTCTTCTGCATCTACTTTAGCCCAGGATAGAATTAGATCCCTACTAAAGGCGCTGTAATGGTCAAAATACAGAGTCTGATGTAGTGAATCCAATTTAGAAAGTAGGAAGGCTCGGTTTGATGAACTCCTAAGCTCAGGGCCAATAATCCCTAAAGGCAGAAGTAGTGCGGTGTTATAGCGAGTGTTTTCAGCTAGCGTTCGGAGAAGGTCCATTGCATGTGATGCGAGGGTATCAATCTGGTTTTGGGCAGCTCGAGGTGGAACCCCAACAGTCGTTGAAGCGTAAGGACCTGACCAGCGATCTCTGACTTGTTGGAGATAGTAAATTCTTCCAGCTGCACGATAGATTTCTTGAATAGTAAAATCTTCATCCAGGTCAGGATATTCGTTCATAGGTTGCGGGAGAGGCGATGAGTCTGACCGGCCGGAATTCATACTATAGCTAGGAATGAAGTCGAGATTTCCGTCCCACTCATCGAATTCCGCAAAAGAGACTTCCTCAACCATCTCGATAGTCCGCGAGAGCAAGGTGAGGAATGTTTTCTGCGGACGTGTGGATTGATCGGAAGATGGCTGGACGCGTAGCGGCATTTTTCCTGTCTCTAATAAAGGCTTCCTCATCACCAAGCGCACCAGCATTTCATTATAGCTGACGAGACTATGCAGAAACACATACAGCGGCGTCTGTGATATCGACTTAAGGTCCGATCCAAACGTTTCTTCGAAGACAAAGTACTCCCGCGCGAAATCCATATGAGATCTAATCGACTCGTAGGGTGCGCCTGAAAGCTTAGCAAAGAGAATCATAAGAGCTGCAATGGTAACTAAAAACAGCTTTTCACTCCTGCCTAGCAACAGCATAGCCCCAGAAAACCCGAAATGCGTGTTTGTATTTGGGAACTGAGTATCACCGGCCAACAACTGTGATCCACTTGCACTCTGCGAAACGTTCTGGCAAGCTTCAAGAGCATTCCGTCGCAGTCGATGCATCTCCTGTTCGATCGTTCCGTAAAATACATGTTTGGCTTGTAGTGCAGCCAAGGCAAGTAATATTTGACGGACTGGGGGATATTGGAATGCAATAGGAATGAGGCAGGAGAGGAAAGGATTGTTGGCGTCTGAGCAGGTGGGATACGACCTTGAAAAGACATTGACATAGTAGTCCCAAAGCAAATGTTCCACCGGAGACAACACGTTGTTATTGGGTGACTTGAACAACTTCGGAGGGGCGACCACCACAGGCAGGTCAGTCGTGCAGGAGGTCTCTATGCGAGATGGGACTGATATCGTGAATGATTCAAAGGTATCTGGACTCGAGACCGAATACGGTAAATCTGTCTCAAGGGTATCGAACAATGTGTGAAAGTCCTCATGTTGTGGTTCCGTGGTTAGAGTGCGGGCAAGATAATTACGATCGCATGTTGAGCCCTCGACAGAGGCATAAATTTCGTCAATGCACGACTTGTGGGCATGGCTGATAGCGCTAGTGAACTCTGACCGCCGTTGCTGTGACTTTCGTGGTCCCCGTCGCTTGATGCCGTGTCTCACCGGATCGTCCTCCCACAGAACGCGTTGTTTATACCCTGCGCATTCAAGTCCCAGATGGCTGCAATTGTCACATTTTGGCTTTCGTAGATCGCACTTCTTCTTCCTATTAGTTGTCTACCCTTAGTCAAAGCCCTTTACAGATGAAAGTTCTCTATAAAGACAAGCTTACCTCTTCTTGCATGTTAAGCAGCCATCTCTGCTTCGTTGGAAGGCGCACATCGATTGTGGATGTACGCCTTGAAGGCGTAGCGACAGGTCACCGTACTATCGGTAGTAGGAATTGCGATGCCCACATGCAAGTAAGAGCTTACACTGGCCCTCTCATTATCGGCTGACACGACCTCCCAGTGCCGAGTAAAGTCTTATATAAGTTATCACAGCCCTCGAGGAGCGAAAACCCTTCCTAACTAGTCTCTGATACTTTGGGACACGATTGACACAGGCAGTCTAATCTGCGATTTGTAGGCCTAATCAACGAATGCTCACAACGCTTTTCAGGAGATTAGTATGTTAGGGAATGATAAGGATAGGTTGCTTCACAGGTTGAGGAATGAATGATAGGGACGGCTGATGATATGGAGATATACTTGGCGCCAAGGCTAGAATGCGCCACTCAAACTCAGCGGCAAGTATAGCACGAATGGGGCAATTTTATCCATATCCCTGGTTATCGTCATCGAGCTACCATGCCGTGGGCGCAAGTTGTTCAAGGATTAGGGATAATTTGTATATCTTCAAAACCATCGATTGACTACGGTTCCATGTTCACGCATCCAAGACACCCAAGGACTACTTAGGGCCTAGAAGAGGAGTTATTGGCCTGCAAATACATACAAGTCTGCGTAAATGCAGTTGTTCGTGCACGTAGAATCAACCTTGAAGGCTCTCGAAATCAACCAACATACCTGACTCTCTCAATACCAGCCGCCGAGACATTGCGCTTTAAGAGTACCTCGACACCATGAATTGTCTGGCCCACCTATGGTACCTGGATTATTCGTACTGTTACCAGATCTTATGCAAGCTTTACGAGCAGGCCGTCACAACCTTTGGCAGCCTTGATGTCGACCGCAACTGGAAGATATCCTTCATGGTTTGTGATGTTAATGTGGGATGAAATCTGGCCAACTGGATAGACAAGGTCAGGCACCTCTGCATATATGCTCAGATAACCTCCCAGATACGCTCCTGCTCCTCCTGCGGATCGGTAAATGGTCTCCGACCATCGCGGACACGTATTATATGTTAGTCACTTGTAGCTTCCATATAACTGGTCTGATGTGCATACGTGCGTAGTCTGCAAAAAAATGGGTCTCTGACAAGTTCTGCTTGCTGCTTCGCAATTAGGACGGGGTAAGTAGTGTTGATAAACTCGGACAAGGTCGTGTTTCTCTGATCAGATGGGCCACTCAAATCCCACATACTTGTTAAGTTTACAGTGCTTTTACTTGCCGAGAGAAACGATGCTTATTTCTTGGTAACGGTCTCATCTAGAGCACCAAATTGGCCGTCCTGAAATTCGCAAGTCAGGATCTTGTTTGGATACAGCGTCATATTCGAGGCCGAAAAGGACATGTAATTTGACTCGTAAATGACCGAACATTTTCATCCCAAAGAAAGGGACCCCTTGTCACAAAACCAAGCGTATCGAGTACGGGAGATAGAGGTATAACATGATCGAGGCTCACGAGGTTGTAGGTGGGTCGATTACCAAACACCCCTTGCGCTCCAGCAGGTCCCCGTATAGAACCACCGGTGTCGCTCCCAACAGCAATATCAACCCAGGAATACGATCCAATAGAGGATCCCGCTCCAGCAGAAGAAGAAGAAGATGGATTCTGGTATCCGTCACCACGCCGATTGAATGGTGCGTGGTGGTCAACGCAGTCAGCTGTAGCTTCTTCCCCGTTAGCGAATTGAGAAAGCTATTGGTGGCCGACGATGACCGCACCAGCATCGATTAGACGCTGCACCGCGGTACCAGTCACATTAGCTGGCGGGTAAAGGTTATACCATGCTCTATTTCAGCAGGACGTCTTGACTCCAGCAAGATCAGCCAAATCCTTGATGGCGATGCGGACTCCAGCAACGGTTTGCTCTTTAGTGGGGGTATAGTATAGCCGAGAGAGCACTCCAATGGTCAGGGTGCTTGATGCTGCAATTTGTGAAGATAACGTCTGAAAAGTGCCTCCAGGAGCTTGCAGTAAAGAGGCTGCGAAAGCGCCAGCGAAGTCGTCATACAGACTGTAGGCTGGACATAAGCATCCACCGGTTGCGTCCAAGAAGTATGGTCCTGGTGCAACCGTAAAAGGATCAATTGGAAGCGCAAGGACTGATTGACCATCGACGGACAGCGATTCGCGCATCGACAGTGCTAAAACGAACACGATATTTGCGAACGCATCTTGGAAAACATCGTCCTTAGCTTTCCACTCAGCCACCAAGCAGGAGACACCAGTGACACCAACACGATCATGCAAGACTGCCACAGGATACAACGGATGGACTGATTGATATTGTACCAGATCTTGGGGATTTTCCGAGATGTTACCGCTTGGATATGGAGAGGCAAAATAGTCAATGCTATTCAGTTGTAGAGAAAACCCCTTTGAAACAAGTGGACCCGAAGTTGTAAATGGTTGTATCCATGACAAGACGATTGACAGCTTAAGGCATCCGCCACTTTGAAAATGGATGTAGTTCACCATGTTTGCATAAGGCTCAGATACCAAGTCAAGCTCGAGGACGGTGTCATTCACGGACAGGATTGAGGTTTGGATGGATATTTAACATGCATGTACTATGAACTCCTGGATACAACTTGTCTAACTGTAGACAGCCGTCCATTCTTAGTATTTGACCAAAAACTAATACGATGTGAGTGTGTTATGTTACACTGCTATATTTGCCGAAGTAGCGCTCCCACACCTCAGCTAAACGAAGCACAAAGGAGATGCCGAACACAAGCTTACTATTGTGTCATCCGGAATGACTCGTTGGAAAACGAACATTGCATAAGGTTTGTCACCTAATTACGTTTTATGGAGTCGCTCTAGCCGTAATTAACACATATCAACCGCGCGGATAGAATGAAGTGTCACATTCCAAGCTGAATTCATCATATCCGATGCGCATTGTAAGTTCTTGAGAATACAAAGTCGAGCACGATGGCTGTGCTTTAGGCGATATTAGTACTCAATGTTGCCCTCTATCCTTATCCTGAACGGGGAAGTTGTTGAAAATGAATCCAGAGAGCTATCAGTGCTCCCCAACCGAGATGGTGCCCAACAGCCGCTTCCCTGTGCTGGTCTACCGTGATGTGCTCCAGAAGCCATACAATGAGGAAATTATTTGCAGCCAGATCGAGCAGAACGCATGGATACACCGCGTAGGCTATCTCTTACCCCTTCAGAAATTGATAATGTGGTGGACAGTACTACTGACACTCCCTCTTGGCGCGATCAGCGCACATGGGGTGGAATACCTCGCCACCACTTCCACCCGAACACTAACGAGGTATACGGTAAGTAAAAGGAAGCTAGAGGCATTATAGAGCAGAGTACGGAGTTTGCTGATGCTTTATCTCCATCAAAAGCTGTTTGTGCAGGATCGTCAACGCTATCTTTAGGGGCATACCCAGGCCAGGACGCAACCTTGACGGTGAAACTCATTGCGGGGATTCTTATAGTCCTTCCCGCAGGAGTATCACACTGTTCCCTGGAATGGTCAAATGACTATCGCTACCTTAGATTCTACCCCGTGGTACGTTGGCTATATGCTTACAATCTCCTCGCACTCATAGTTGTCGCCTAACCCTGCAATAATTCATAGGATTCACCTCGATGGAAGAACGAGCATTGCTCCTCCCCAGATAGGCTGGTTGACCTCTCTGCGAAAGCAACGGCGGTCCCCGTGCCGACGAAGGATCCATTTAATGGATGTCGTGGAGGCCTGTTAACTATCTGGGGCTCCGCTGTATCGTTGTGATCTTCATGTCAACGCTCTTTGGGTTGGAAAATTTCGAAATCCTGACATTAACATGTGGTGTAGAATTTAATGGCAAAATTTGTTTAGCCACTACAGATTTAGCAATTCATTGATTAGCTGCAATGATGCCTGATAGATAAATATAGTCGTGACCTGAAAACAATAAGCTGTTCAAAGTCTCAGAGCCAATCCATATACTCAAGGTCTTCAAGCGAAGAGCTCGGTTGCACCTTAATTAATCAATTCACTAAGATGCGGACTTACCCCTGGTCTCATAGGGGAGCACCAAAAAGATCACACCAGCCGCGACAAAGAGAGCTGCGGAGATCCACATTGGTGTGCTCGTCTCGATGCCAATATATGCCGCAATAATTGGCGCCATCAAACCGCTAAGGCGATTGCACAACATGACCAGCCCGTTCCCTGTACCTCTTATAGGAGCTGGAAACAGTTCTGGAGTATAGCTGTACAACAATCCATACACCAGGTTCTGAAAGAATGCAACTGCGCAGCTAAACCCTAGGACCGCTGCGGGGGTACTAGCCCGAGTGAATAAGAAGAGGAAGAGCCCCGTACAGATACAGGCGAGAGACCCGGTCCCTTTGCGGCCAACCCTTTTGAGATTCACAGTATAGCCTCCCAGCACAGATGCTGGAATGCCGCACACTGCTTGAATGGCATAATTCCTGTAGACAATATTAACGCTTGAGGCTCCAGATTTCACACCGCGGTTCTCGAGGTAGATAGGAATGAATGAGTTGTAGAGTGGGTAGGCCATGCCTATCGACATCCACAAGAGCAACATTAAACTGGTTGACCAAGCCATCCGCGGAGTCGAGAAGAGGGCAGATATTTTTGCGAATGTGAACTTGCTCAGAGTGCGCCTGACAATGTCTATTGCTGAGGTATTCAGAGCGGTACTGGCGGTTGTAGTGGTTCCAATTGTAGTGGATTGTGCGAGGCGAGCGTCCACCCTTTCAAAAGGATCTAAACTTAGCCATGTCGTCCTTCCATCTCGAGCTGCAACCTGATGAATAACATTTACAGCTGCTTCATCTTTGCCTTGCCCAAGGAGGTACTTGGGTGTTTCGTAGATGCGAAAGAGAAATCGCAAAAGGAACAGAGTCAGTGTGATGGCGCCGAAAGTCCAATAGACATAACGCCAACCAAGGTTTGTCTGAAAACTGCATGGGCCCGTTTCCGGGCAGCTATGGTTCGCAATCAGAGGCCTGTACCGGAAAATGCCAGTTAACAACGATGTCAAAAAGAGAAATTTCAACATTGCTGACTTACCAAGCAATAAGAGCTGCGATAGCCTGACCAAGAGACAAGAATGCGGATTGCACAGTCAGGAGATTCTGGTGGGTGGCTGGGATAAACTCGAGGAAGATAGCGCTGTCCACGGGTTGGTTACCTCCGGTGCCGAACCCAATGAAAGCACAGCAAGCTGCAATGGCGACAAAGTTGGGAGCTCCTGCACCAACCAGCGCCGCCATGGAAGATATAGCCAAAGTGATGTTGAAAGCAGGACGGCGGCCGATGAAATCGGCAGTCATCGGCCAAAGAGTTGATCCCACTACGAGGCCAGCGTACTTGGCTACGGTCAGGAAGGCGATACGCTTGACACCGAACTCGCGCTTAACAGGCGGAGAAATGATGGTGATAGCTTGCAACCAAAACTTAGGGAGGCAATCAGTATGCGGCTACCTCCATTTATTTGAGGGCAGCAGGTTCTTACATTGTCCACAAACCAGCCAAAGCCTGTGGTGGCAAATATCTTCCACTGAAATGGGCCCATACCAATATCGAGAATTGCCTCGTTCATAATGGTCACCTTAGCTTCGTAGGCGCCATCAGCGCCAGGCATGACAACTGTGGTATCACTGCAGGTACATAGTTTTAGCAACCTTCACCTGTAGTAGTAGCCTATGTTCGAGCGATTGAAACGTAGCAGGAGGAGGGCTCGGGTACCAGGGGCAATGATAGCAGAACACTTCAAGATGGCACTATGACTTTTGTTGGCTTGTCATAGTCCATTTTATCAGATCCAACTTCGCAGAGGGTAGAATACTCACATGCCATGATAATCACGATGGCCGCCAGTCTTGGCATTGTCGCTCAAGGAACCGGTCTCGACGCTCTCGTCGCAAGCTATATCCTTTGTTGGTAGAGTGCTATCCACGGCTTGGAGTTTCGAAGATATCTTGTCCATAGTCTGAGCCTACTTTCAATCTAGCCAAAAAGGCGTTCTTGACCGAAATCTTTGGGAGGACAGAACAAAGAGTGAAAACTACTTGGGAGTTTGATGAGTTTTATAAACTCTGTGATAATGTATCTACGCCGAGTTTCCCTTATCCCTCCCTCGACCCGTGTAGGTGATAAAGTTCAATCATGACTTTCCCTCAAGAGTTAGTCTCACGGGGTGCCCTGGAGAAACCTGGGGGTATATCAAGGTTTGGTCATGCGGAAATCCCCTGGCGTAATGATAACGTTGCGCGCGCAACGAATACACTGAATTGGGTATAGCATGGTGTGCGACTGCGGGGCCACGCAAATGGTGGCAACACTAAAGGGAGTACACGAACGAAGTTGCTCGACTCGAGTCCCCCGAGTTATTGACATATCGCAAGGCAAAGTCACAATCAAACTAGCTCTATTTTTCATGGGGCCTCCGCGTTTCGAATTGCTATATACGGTCATTTGCCATTCTTGCTGCGATCTATTGCATAATCTTGCAGCTCGGCAGCCTTAGGCCCTTAGCTTTTGGATATATAAACCCCTAGCATAGCGGGACCCAACACAAAGCGTGAGATCTCCCTACATCCACGAATAAGCTCTTGTTTCGTTATCATTACAAACCTCGTCTTTTCTCTATAATCACACTAGATATGGCTCCTCCGGTCGCCATCGACTCATTTCCATCGTCGTGCCTCCCCGGCCGAGACATACCGGCTCCTTTGCCGCAAAGAACTTCACCTGTCACTTTTGATCCAAAGAAACATCTCAAATATGTTCCACCCACCAAAAATCTACAAATGAGCGATATTGGGCTCGAACCCAGCTCCATCTCTAGTTTTGCAGCAAGTGAACCTTTCCCTTTATTGTCCCGAGATGCGATTCTCGAGATGCGCCGCGAGATTTTTTCAAAGCCGGTTCTGGACAATTGTCTGCATCACACACGACCCGGTAGTGTGCAGCTTCGTGGTATGGCACCACGTTATGCTCCTTTCATTCATTCCTTTTGGCATTCCCCAGAAGTTCTTCGCATCGTGTCAGAGAATGCTGGAGTAGAACTTATTCCGGCAATGGACTATGAAATCTGTCACGTCAATGTTCAGCTGGGTCCGGGCGGCGTGGAAGCAGCCAAAAACACACCCATTGAGCCGCCTGTAGCCACAGAGGAGGCAATTACCGAATTTGAAGCTGCAAAGGCCCTAAAACAGCAAGTCACTGACCAAGCAAAGCCTATTATTGAGTGGCACAAGGATTCACACCCCTTCGTGTGTGTGGTCATGCTGTCTGATGCACAGCATATGGTTGGGGGCGAGACCGAAGTGATGGGGTTCACCAATACGACTCTTAAGGTCAAGGCACCTCAAATGGGCTGTGCCGCAATCCTGCAAGGGCGCTACATCACCCATACAGCTGCGCCGGCGGCCAATATGCCAGAGCGTATCACAATTGTCACCAGTTTCAGACCCAAGGATCCGACACTTTTGGACGAGACGACAAATGCCAACGTGAGGAACAAATCTGTCTTGACCGAGTTGTATTATCAGTGGACAACATACCGCTTGGACGTTCTTGCACAGAGGGCATTGATTGCTAAGAAGGAGCTCGAAGACAGATATAAGAAGAATGTTGAGATGAGTGATCCCGACGGTAAACCAGGTATGTGCCGAAAGGAGACTGTCAATGTCGAAGAGGTGCAGAAATGGGGAATGGAGCAGATTGAGTATATTCGCCAGACTTTGCACGAGATGAGACCGCTGGAGGAGAAGAACGGTCGCACTTGGTAGCATACCACCAGGGAGTCATTACGTAAGATAAGAATTTTAAGAAACGACAATACTATTTGATGGCTCATTAATCTACTAACTTCCTATCAGTCAGTAGACATTTTGCTTGGGCCTGACTTACACCCATAATATCTTACCTCACATGCGCCCTTACCTATCCTTAATCCCATCCGGTTCCGGCCTTGCTATAGTATGCTCTATACCTAGTTTAAATAAGGAAGTTACAGCCAGTGTCGGCACAAGGCCTTGGCAACAATGCTCGAAGCTTTGTCCTTTTGTTGAAGCCGTTGAATGCGGAATGTCTATCCATGCTTCCGAGCAGGGGCTCTCTGTAGAGGGGATCCTCTATGCACGAGCCATTGTGATTAGTACTAGGGCGTTTTCTTGATTTTATGAAATAGACAGACAGTGAATGCAGCAGAAGTCAACTAGCGTTTAACGAAGGTTTGTTTCAGTAATAGTGTAATATTGTGGTTATCGTTTTACAACACGGTTTCGTGGATCTAGCAATAACAAACTTGCCCTAGTCAGCGAGAATAACCCGACCTGCAGTTGTGCCAAGAAAAATGAAGTCTGAGCTCGATGAGACTCAATCAGTTCAATCTTGTCCTTCTATAAAATGCTTAAAAATGAGGAGCGTTGAGGAAGAGGCCCATGGTGATACCACCAATGAGACCGGCAATGGGAATGGTCATGATCCAAGAGAAGAACAAGAGACCAACTCGCTGCCAGTTGACGGCCTTATAGGTACCATTGCAAAGACCAACGCCGACGGTGGCACCGGTGATACACATGGAAGTCGAGACTGGGAGCTTATATTGAGAGAAAATGAGGATGGTGATTGCAGCACCCATCTCCATGGAAGAACCACGAGAAGGAGAGTGATAGGTGATCTTGTTGCCCATGACTATAGAGATACGAATTAGCATTTGTAGCGTGGCAAACTGGTGATACCGGGAAATTGGAACTTACCCTTCATGATGTTATAACCATAGGTGATGAAACCAATGCAAATAGTCAAGGCAGTGACTGCAATTTGCCAGAGAGGAACATCAGCCTTAGCGGCGGTGGCGGTGGATGTAGACCAAGCAGCATACATGGCGGCCCAGACACCAACAGCGTTGCCAACGTCGTTGGCACCGTGAGCGAAGGAAGCAGTGCAGGCGGTGATGATCTGGACGAAGGAGTACAAATATTCGACCTCGTTAGGATACTTGGTGGCATGTGCATAAACACGGTCCATACGGCGACCTTCTGGAGTACCCATAACGCCGACTTGAGACTTGTGGATATCGTAGTAGAGACCGTAGAAGGCGGCAACAACGGGGTAGGCGGGCAGGCGTTTGAGGAGAGCGATCACGTTGTGTCGTTCGTAGACGGAGCCGGCTCCGGGAGGGTTGTTGTGCAGGGTGCGCATGGCCCAGCCAATAGGACCACGAGTCTTTCGAAGATCAGAATGATGGCGCTCGAGAGCCCGGCGGAGTTGTGCCTTGTAAACTGCTTGGGCGTTGACAGGAACGGCGTTCTCCTCCTCAGCAAGAGTCTTGGCTGGACCCGATACTAGGTGGGCGGCAGGAGTGATGGCGTCGCCCTTGGGACCATTCTTCTCTGCCTCCACATCGTCCTGAATTTTGGTAACGCTATTGTCAGATGCAGAATCGTCATCATCCGCACCAGCGTGGTGGATAACGGCATAGTTGGGGACCTTAGCGAACTCGGCATCCGCGGGGGCGGGGCGCTTGAGCAGGAGGGGTCCGAGGAAAATATGGTACAACTTGAGGGTGTAATCCTTCTTGACGACCTTGCCGTGAACGTAGGGAACGAAGAAAATAGCGGCCAGGAAGAACAGACCAAAACCGGTACCGAGGGAGACGGCGACAATGTACCAGGCTGGCTTGTTGCTCAAGCCAAGTTTTGGAGATCCCTTGTAGACAATCGAGAGAGTGCAGATTGTACCAGCGATCAGGAAGAAGAAGGGCGATGTCCAGACAGCCCATGGAACGGGATTGGAGCGGAGATGGACAACCAGCTTAATCAGCATGAAGATGCAGGCACCGAAACCGCCTGCAATGAGAGGAGCCATCGCCAATCCAGAGAAGATGGCACCCAGACCTTGGCCTTTGTTCCAGCCCCACTGTACACCGCTTGCACCCACAGTCGCAACGCCGACACCTGCAATCGAGGAGACGAGGGAGTACGTGGAAGAGACGTGAGCGTTGTGTCGTGTACACCACATAACCCAGGTGGCTGCACCAGCAGACGCGCAAGTAAAGGCGAGGAGCTGAACACCGGCGTTGTTTTCGAAGGCAGAAATTGGGATAATACCGTTTTTGATGGTGGAGGCGGTCCTGGCTCCGACAGCGAGGGCGCCGGTCATTTCGAAAATTAGACACAGAAGCATAGCCTGGCGGTAGGTGACGGAACGCGATGACACGCTCGTGGCCCAGGCATTGGCAACATCATCTAGATATGTGATTTAATACCGTGCCCTTCACTTTTCTGAGCGGGCTCAACTTACTGGCACCGTTATTATATGCCTCGAGCAGGGCAAAGAACGTGCCAATGGCAAAAACGTAGGTGTACTCTTCAAGAATCGGCATCTTGGCGATGTAAGGGACAAGCAGCGACTAGGTTGGGAAGATGTGTTAAGCTATGCTTGGTAGAAGCTTGGAGTTTTCGGGTGGAAGAAATTGCATGGCAGCAATTGCTACCCGCAATATATATGCGCCATGAAGTCAACATGGTGGTAGCTTGGATTGAAAATCTTCGATATACTCAGATTCCCCTTTGACAACTGACAATCGAGTATCGACGCACGTGGGCTTCGGAATGTCAGAAGCAAAGTTGTATCAGGTGAAATCGGATGGCACCGCCCAGACGCCAAGTGCCAAGAAAGGCCGGAAGTGGCATTGAATGGAGTCGGGGGGCCACCTGCTCGGGACAGGGTTCCAGATAAAAGATAGCGTGGGATTCGCCAGGGACAACCGCAAAACCTCTAGAATAATGTTATACCCGTACATGCCTGGCACTCGGTGAATTGGTGAGATTGGTACAGTCCATCCGACAACCGAGGCGTTTTCTCCATCATCATACCTCGTACTACTCGTGAGCAGCACGTTGCAAGCGCTCCACGGGGTCATGCTGTCAGGCTGTCGAAACTGCGATCCTTGCAGAAAGGCCACCAATGTATCCAGCACACTTTTGCCATTCCATATAATTGGCTGCCAGAATGACGCCTTCGGAGCAAATTGAAATAATTGGAATCTCGACCCGGCCACAGCGTAGCCTATCGATTAAGTGAAGACTCATGTCTGCAAACACACAAGGGCATTCACCCGCCAGGTATTACTGGAAGTCACAGAAGTAGGCTTTTTCGAAGAACTCAGACGGCGGCTTGGCGGAGCCTTGGCGGCGGACTGGCGGGCTTCAACCAACCATCGCCAAGGAGCGCTTTGCCCAATAAGGTCGCCAAGGCCTTCTTCCGGCCTTGGCGGAGCCTTTGCATTGTCTTCGCCAGGCTTGATGGATCCAGAGTCCGTTTAGACCCTGTGTGGCTTGCAGGGGTGTAGGCACAGTTGCATTCTCGACCAGGATTTTCATGGACCTAGATCTGAGCCATGCACGGTTCCACGGTGCCACAATCGTTTTGAGAAACCTCCTCGCCCCGGCCCTGGTCTCAAAAAAGAACCTTTTGACTGATTGCATTGTTAATTTGCATTGACTATATTTTTGACAGAGTATGAGGCCACAGCGAAATAGGAGGAACCGTATTACCGAAGAAAGAACTGCATTATGCCACCCGTGCGGACCGTAAATTGAACCCCACAATCTCAGCTAGGTAGGTCGTCATGGCGGTTCTCGTACAAAGTAACATACCTGGAGAGTGTGTCTGCATTTCGTATCGATAGCGATTCGACGATATCTCCCAATCTTCGTTTGCATAGGTTTTCATCATGTTCGCCAAAAGACATGTTCTCATTATTGCGTCGGCCTGGATGCGATCGCTGAGATCGAGCATTTCGATCGTCCATGGGCGGAGGGAGTCTGCCAGGACTTGGCATCCAGGCTACGTCTCAAGAAGCATCGACATGCACTTTTCAAGAAGCTTATTGAAGGATACGAAAATGCACGGTCTAGCCAAGCGACACTTGGGGAGCACCCTCCATCGTGATGAAGAATTTCTAAAGCATCGCCGGCCAGATAATGGTCAGGCTTATGGGAATTGGTGGAGTCTCTCTGCCTTGTTAGAGTTTGATATCTCATTGTCCTGTAATGCATAGACTCCACAAGTGGCTGTAGCGTGCATTGAGATTGGGATAATGGGAAAGTCACTCTGCACCCGCACTGCATAATCTCGCTAAAACGCGGCGGGGCCTTGTATGTAACTCGTATAGACGATGACGCTTCCCTAGGAGTTGCGGACAGCTGTGTGTAGAAGATTAAGTTGCCTCTGCAGATCTTCATAACGATTCCAGGCCCTCGGATTGGCGCGTTGCTGAAGCATAATTGGTCCCATCGCCATAAATTTCCCGCTGAGAGGACGTGCCAGACTCAACACAAAAGGATATCATCCAGCCAAGGACGAATGCGAGGTATTCCTTTTGGAGATTACATCGATTGAGATGTGTCACCAAATCCGGGAGGCCCCATATCTGTTTGGGAGGTTCCATGCGGAATCTCATTTTCAGACAGAAACCCAAGTCAGTAGCTCGGGAGCCGTCAGCTTCACGCGTTTCGCTTGTTCTCCAAACATGTGCTCAGTAACCATTAAGGGGCTGGGGCTTTGTGGACCAACTGGCGTGTAAAAGTGCAAGAGTCATTTATGACAGAATGCAACATTGGGTCTCTTTGAGTAAAGAAAATATGTTTCGAGGATCGAAACCCTTAGGCTTTCTCCATCTCCATGTGTTCGCCTTGGTGGAGGATTTCCTGCTGGCAGTCCTTAATTCTGAGATCAGCAGACATGGTGGCAAGGCAGAATGTTTGACCTTGGAAGGTGCAGATGACGGCCTCATCGTATTATGTACCATGGTAAACGACTTTGTTTGGTGAGCTCTCGTAAGACTTCAGCTTGAATCACTCCTGGCGCAAACGAAGTACGGCGGTACGCCACTTGTGAGAAACAAGCCAGGCATGTTTACCTGGTACAGTAGTATTCTCGTCGCCTACTGCAACGCTATGGCCCATAAAGGCCGACCCGATCTCATCCTTGGAACACCCTGGTGTTCAGTTCCTTCTTTCAGGCTTCTAGAACAATAGACGAGCGTCCGCCCGGGACTAGGGCATCACCGACGCCAAGTGGGACAGCGGGAATCTCTCTTCCAGGGCAGGCCAACAATAGATCTTGGGGTTTCGACCAACAAGGTGATGGTGAGAACACGCTGTGCCGACGAAATCCTCGCAAAGAAGTGTGGTGGAAAGTGGGCGCACGTGTATCGAGTACGAGTCTCCCATTGGCCAGTATGACCACAGGGCAACGATGGAGCCACTGCCACGGCCAACCTGTGTTCTCAACCCGATCTCCGAACGGCACGAACTGCTCGATTCCGAGTAGCTCTTCGTCTCCAGGCCGATCCAGGCCAGCTTGACTCGGTTCATCCGAAGTTGCATCAGAGGCGTGGGATGCATGACTGCGGGTAAGCATTTACCGAAGAAGCAACCCAAGTTGAGATAAACCTTCTTGAGGGTGGACACCATACACCATTGCTGATCCCAAATAATAGTAGTAGTCCGTACCCGGTACAGAAGCAAGACTCCCAATCTTCTTGAAGAGAACAAATTCTTTGCCTAATGATAGTGGAGGCACCGGCATGGAAGCATCCTTTGAATGTATAAACGCCAAGACGTGAGCTCGACAATGACTCGGTCGATGATCAACAGACTCAAGCACACAATGGCAGTGGCAAGTACTGTCAGGGAAGCTAAGAGAAAGGTAGTAGTTATTTGCATGGCCGAATCCCATCTTCAGGAATTCAACACTGTTTGAGCTGGTATGCTAATCAAGCGTTTGTGGTCACCTTTTGTCTTTAGGTCTAGTCTAGTCCGTAACTCTCCTTCCCAACAAGAGGTCACTCTCGATATCGAAGTGCTTACAGTCTAACCAGATCGCTCTGGAACGGCACCTTCAACCTTTGTTGCAGTGGCGCCATGCGATACACGTCGAAAAACCGGCCCGACAACATGTCTCCTAATTGTTCCAGGCCTGACAAAGAAGGCCTCCATCGCAGAAATGGCAGCGAACAGCCTGTTTTGCGCTTCAGGGAAAACCAGAGACCGTCCGCCGTAAAATACCTCATCATCAACTTCCTCCTGATGCCGAGGTAAGCAATGCAAGAACTGCCAGTTAGTGGAAGCTCCCCCTCGGCGGGCCAGGTCCTCTGTAACTGTGTAACCTGCAAATGCGGCCAAGCGTTTTGCCTTTTCCTCTTCCTGGCCCATAGATATCCAGGTGTCCGTTATGATAAAATCTGCCCCCTTGACCGCTTCCTCCGGCACAGTCGTCTCGAATAGTTCCCCATCACCAGCCGCATTGATCTCGTCCTTGATCTTTTGAGACAGCCCGTAGCCTTCCGGAGTAGCCACGGCCACGTCCACACCCAATTTCCTTGCTCCAATGCAAAGGTCATGTAGAACATTATTTGCATCTCCCACCCAGGCGATCTTCTTTCCCCGTAGACCCTTGGCCATTTGGCTTTGAGGAAGGGTTTGGGCCATTGTCGCAAAGTCTGCAATGGCTTGCAAGGGATGATATGTGTCACATAGTCCACTGATCACCGGAACAGATGAGTCTTTGGCCAGTGCCGCAATATCAGCGTGTGGACCGACCCGAGCGACGATGCCTGACACCATGCTTGAGATAACCACCGATGTGTCGTAGAGACTCTCATTCACGCCTAGCTGGATGTCATTCTTGCCCAAGAACATGGGGTGCCCGCCCATTGCGACAATAGCGCCTTCGGATGACACACGCGTACGAGTTGACAGCTTGGAAAACATAAGCGCTATTGTCTGACCGGATAGGGCACTCCGTAATGGCCATGATCTACTTTTATAGTGTCCCTTGATTATGGTGGCATTATCAACGAGATGCGCAAACTCCTTATCTGTCAGATCTGAGATGGAGAGAAGATGGCGAGGTGGCTGGGAAGACCATGAAGAAGTGCGGCGAATGGGAGACTGCCGATCGGACAAGGAAGTGGAGGTAGAAGTAGAACTCGAGGCAAGGCGACGGACTTGATGGTTAGGAGATCGTAAGAGTGGCCGAAGAGCTGGCATCTTGCTTGAGTTGGGACCTCAGAGATTGTTGGGAATAGGGCACCAGATGTGTGTTCAGATCATGGCCAAGTCAACTTGACTGTGTGGGGCACACAAAGGAGAGTAAACAGTTTGCTTCTTGTCCCTCTCTAGTTCTCTGAGTCACAATGGCGACATTTGGATAGGGTGCAGGTATTCTCCGCATGGGAGAAGAGGATTTTTCGAACTCGAGCTCCCAAAACAAGCTTTCTTTAGCTGTCGATCTCCCGAACTCCGTCGGCGAATCATAAAATACCAACCGGGGATTTTATTTAAACCCAGATCAGCCTCGTCCCTAAAATTTTAGACCCATCGAAGCGAAGATTCGACCCCGTCAGTCCCTAGGCCCTTGCAAACTACTGCGGATACCTCTAGAGATGGATCTGCTGGGGAAAACGGTGTTACTCCTGGACGGAGGCTTAGGCACTACCCTCGAAGATGAACATCATGTTAAATTCTCTACGCAAACTCCTCTCTGGTCTTCCCACCTCCTCGTGGAAAACACCTCCATACTTCGCAGATTGCAGAGAGATTATGCCAATGTGGGCGTAGATGTTATTTTGACGGCCACGTATCAGACAAGTTTTCCAGGCTTCGCAAACACAAAGATCAATCGAGATGATGGGATTGGCAGGGATGAAGCGAAACGACTGATGCTGTCGGCAGTGCAGATTGCCCGAGAAGCATTTCAAAATCGCCAAGGACTAGTAGCCCTCAGTCTGGGCGCCTATGGTGCAACAATGGTCCCTAGCACCGAGTATAGCGGAATCTATGGAGGTATGGTAGAAGACGAGCTCTATGAGTTCCACCGGGAACGGATCAACGTGTTCGCCGATAGCCGGGAATGGAAAGATGTTGACCTTGTCGCGTTTGAGACACTTCCTCGAGTGGACGAAGTGAGGGCAGCGAGACGTGTTATGCAAGAGATCACAGGCAAAAAGTACTGGATTTCATGCGTCTTTCCAAACGATGACGCAAAACTGCCCGACGGAACGGACACGGAACATCTGGTTCGAACTATGTTGGACGGGGAGAGCCCGCCGTTCGCGATCGGGATCAACTGCACCAAAATACACAAGATCTCAATGCTGGTAGCAGACTTCGAAAGGGCTGCAATGTTGCAAGGCTTCAATCTACCCAGACTTGTTATTTATCCTGATGGCGCCGGTGGAAAGGTGTATGACACAGAGATACAGCAGTGGATAGGAGACAGTCAAGACGGAGCGCCTTGGGACGAACAATTATTCAAGATTGTTACAGAGATAAGGGAAAGATCTACGTGGAATGGCATTATAGTCGGGGGCTGCTGCAAAGCCAACCCTGAAAATATAGCGAACCTAAAACGTCGGCTTGAACACTACTGAACTCGAGGCAACGAAATCCGCCTGGCCGCTACAATGCTCAACATCAGAACCAGTTTATGATTCATGCCAGAGAAAACCGCTATCTCTTGTTCGTGGACTGTCCGAGCGAATAAATCGGAAATAAGGTAACGATGATGGGGATGAAGTTGTCCCTTATGTCTCCACTGGAAAAGGAGTACTCTGCCACTCGCTAGCTAACCCATCGCCCCTGGGTATCGAAGTGGCATCACTGGTAGCGGCGCGCTCCAGCTATGAGACTGGGGCTGAGTGACTGAGGGGCTTCTTGTGTGGGCGACATCTGTGTTTGATTTGTCGTAAAGTAGAGCTGTAAACGAAACATGAGGAAGCGAGTTAATATGGGTTTTCGCCAACTTCCCGAGCCTTATGAAGGGTCTGCACCACACCAGGATTGAAGTCAGGTTGCTACACTCCGTACGTACTGCGTGCAGCCTTCGAGTTCTCGGTAGTACAGCATTGTTTCTGAAGCAGTCCAAAGAGCCTTACGTACGAGTTATTCTACCACTGCACACGCCCTTGGATCTCCCGATTAATTAGCATTTTCCGCCATCACAAGGTGGCATTATAAGCCACCAACCCCTGACCGGTATGCTCCACGTCAAGGAGACCCCGCCTGGACAATAGTCAATAGCAAGCTCACACCAGGTAGTCACACCCGAATACAGGAGTCAACAGTGGCGACCTCAGCCAGATCCGGTATTGGTTCGATGATGTCCAGTATATCTCAATGATGTGGCCGCGGCGGAAGTTTCTCAGGAGATTTTGAAGAGCATCTTTTCAGCGGACCTCTTTACCGGCGTTTGCTTACCACCAAGCTCTGTGAGCAGCCTGTGAGATGGCAAGGAGCACGTCACGACCTTCGCATATCGACTCAGCATGGAAACGCAAGGATAGAAATGGTTTGAGGCCAAGCCATTCATGACAACAATACTCTCGCGCTTGAGCTGCGACAGCAAGGTATCTTCAGTCAGAGCTACCACGAAGTCTACCTAGAGTTCATGGCTTGTCATCGACCAAGGAAACAGGAACGGCGACACATGCCACTTGCTCCAACCTATGTCAAGAGGCCAGAGACAACAACGAAGAGGCTCGCATTGACAACGAATTCTGCAAAGCAGTAGAGCGGGGGGGGGGGGGGGTTCTCAGTCGCGTGGCTGACGCTCTTGATCAAGGAACTGACATCAATTGTCGTTGCAATAACCTGACAGCACTACAGTACTGTGTATAGAGCTGGCCGTGGGACAAGGGGAGTACACCAGATCTGCCTAGCTCAGACACAACTATCGCAGAGTTCTTGATGCTGTACAAGGAAACACAAATTCCGTACTATTTCTACGCCGGGGTCTCAATTCTGCATATTTATATGCATCTTGGTGCGACAGCCGAATTTCTGCGGCCCTTTGTTTAAGTTGAGGACACCACAAACGCTCTCAAGCAGCGTGATCAATGTGGAAGGCCTGTTCTGCACAGCGCAGTTCTCTCGTCTACTGTAGGTCTGCTTTGCCTTCGGCAGCTCAGACAGTTGTTTGGAAACGGGACCCTCCAAACCAACGACATCCGCGATAACAATGGCCACAATGTGCATCGGTTTGCGATATTAGAGAAGGCGGTCGACAACATTGCCATTCTGGACAAGCTGGGGAACAACCAAGGGCCACTGTTCCTCCCTGCCGGCAGTGGAAAGGCGCCATTCAGACAGACGTCACATGAAGGCTGGAATATGTCTCAACTCTCCATGATAACAGGGTTTTACATGAAAGATGATGAATCCAATTCTGCACTCAAAGTGGCCAATTTCAGTGAGCAGGAGCGCAGCGAAACTTCTGTTCCGTTGTCTGATGACTAGCTTGTGCGTTTGCTGAATCACCGTCCGCTCTGAGACGGTGAGGTCGCCAACGCACAGAGTGCATCTGATACAGTTGGCACTTGAGGAATGCTTACTTAAAGTCTGCTGGCGATTAGTACAGTTATAGCATGGTAATGAAAGTCAATAGATGGCACGTCCGATGGGCACATGTGCGATTCCGGCCCCCCTGGGCTATTGGCCGCCATAATTGGGGGGTGCCTAAAGGCCCGTCCCTAAAACCAGAAATAACGGGTGGCTTGGGCCGCGGCCTGAGTGGTACTGGGACCTCGGTCATAACTGATGGCATCCCTAACAAACCAGCTGAGTTAACTAAACATCTTAGTTAAGATGTTGATTCCTGGGAAGGTGGCACACCTTCCAGCCTAGTTAAAGCGCCCCCCCACAACTGGGCTGGGCAGGCGCCAGTTGGAGTGCAGCACGTGTTTTGTACCTGCATGGATTCCCCCCCGAGGTTGACTTTGTTTCATCCTCGTCACGACTGCGAGTCTCACCACTTGACTGATCACCCGGATTCTTACCTAAGACACTGCCAACGCTCTGACTATCTTTCCCTACGTCAATACCGATGCCTTAACTACATCCCACGAGCGGTCGATATTCTGCTCGACGTCCCATCATGTCGCTTCGAGAGCCCTCACCGCAGTCATCCGAGAGGACTCCACTCATCTCTCGACCGGAGTATGCGCCCTCCGACCGTCCATCGTCTGTATCAGACTCACTCGATGCTACACAGACCAAGGGGCGAAAGAGATGGCCCACTATCGCAGCTCTGACCATCCTGTGTGCTGCTGTGCTTGCAATATGCTTTGGTCTTGCCCTTCCCTCGGTCATCGAAGAGTATGCAAAGGAGGGCATCGTTTTCGAATCCACTAAGCTCTCTATTGATTCCTTCACTTCGTTCGGTGTTCGTGCGAGGATACAGGGGGACCTGTACATGGATGCTTCAAGAGTCGAGCACAAAGCAACACGAGATCTTGGGAGGTTTGGCACATGGGTCGCCAGGGAAATTAAAAGTGGAAAATCGAAGGTAGATGTCTTCCTACCGGACTACGACGATATCAAGCTGGGTTCTGCCACAATTCCTCCCATAAAGCTCAATATACGAAATCACCATCACAACAAGGTCGACTTCTTTGCAGATCTTGAGCCCGGCGATGTCGATGGGATTCGAAGAATTGCGAGAGATTTTCTCGACCGGAAAATTAAAAGTTTGAATGTCAAAGCGATTGCACGAGTTTCGGTACGAAGTGGGCTCATCAACGCGGGCAAACAGACTATCACCCACTTCTTGCAACTTCAGGGAAATGATGTTCCAACAGTGCCTGCCTTTGACATTCAGAAATTGCAATTCGCCGAACACGGAATGCCAGGACATCCAGATGGCCTCAAAGCCATGGCCGTGATTTCAATAGCCAACGCATATCCAGTGAACTTCGATATTCCTGGCCTGGCATTTGAAGTGCTACTTCCCGATTGCTCCAACGACTATCTTGTTCTGGGGAGGGCCAAAACAAACGTCATACACATTACCCCCGAACAGAACATTACCGCTGAAGTCACCGGCATCGTCCAGCAATTGCCAACATCTCTCACTTCGGCTTGCCCAGGGTCCAGAAACTCTCCATTGGATAGCTTCGTTGCCGACTACCTAGGGGGACGACAGACCGTTATCCACATCCGTGGTGGTGACCAAGACGAAAGTACACCAGAATGGATTGGAAATCTCTTGAAAGACACAATCCTACCATTCCCACTTCCAGAACATCAGTTTGACAATTTAATCAAGAATTTCTCCCTAGCAGATACTCATTTCTCGCTCCCCGATCCCGGAACTGAAACATATCCCAAGATTTCGGCTGTTGTCAAGGTCCTGGTTGGCCTCCCTGCTGAAATGAATGTCAACATGGATGTGGATAGAGTTCGAGCAGAAGCCCAGGTTTTCTACAAAGGTGATCTGCTGGGAAACCTCGATTTGCATAAATGGCAATCTGCAAAAGCAACCAAGTTCGATCAGGATTTGTTGGTAGAATCGATTGTCAAGAATGCTCCACTTATCATCTCTGATGACTCCGTCTTCACGAGCGTTGTTCATGAACTGCTATTTGGTGATGGTGTCTCTCTTTCGGTCCATGCCAAAGTGGACGTCAACACAAACACTGCGCTTGGGGAATTTGTGGTGCGAAATATTCCCGCAAAGGGGGACATATTCATCAAGCCTCTTCGAGGGGAGTTTAAGATGCCGGAAATCAAGGGTATGGAAATCGTCGATACGTCCGAACATGCATTGACTCTACAGGCAAGGGTTAATGTGACAAATCCGACCGAGTATTCCGCATCCGTCCCCTACTGCAATGTCAGCATTCTCGTCAATCACACTCGAGTTGGCTATGCCTGGACATCCGCGGATATCGTACCTGGTCCCAACGAGGTCACCATAAGGACATCCTGGGAGGTTGGAACTGTCGGTAGAGAGTGGTTATCACAATTTGTGTCTGGCTACAACACCTCCTTGACAGTGAAAACCCACGCCGGGTCCATTCCGAAATTTCCCGACGTTGGACTTGAATTGACCATACCAACTCCCAGACTGTTTGGCCATTTCTTAAAGGAAACTACGGTATGAACATGTGATCATGCTGTCACATCTGGCTAATGATACAGATGCACATCTTGTCGTCAACGGCAACATTCGTCCTAGTCTCCCCATTCGCATTGTTTATCACCGATATTGCAGCTGCGGCATATTACAACGGCTCGGAGGTTGGTACTATCAACTGGGAATATCCTTTCGCCATCGAGGTGGGTGAAAATGTCACACCCAAACTGCCAGTTGAATGGGGCGGAAATGCTCTCGGGACGATCCGAGATGCACTTGGTGGCACCCTGAAAGTGGACGCTGACGCAGATGTCGGGGTGAGAATCGGCCAATGGCGGGAACGCCTCTGGTATAAAGGAAAGGGCCTCGGTGCGAAGATACGACTATAGACGATAGAAGTTACACGCAACAACTTTTCACCGCGAGAATCATATGCACCTGAGATGGCAATGTCTAAGCGAAAGAAATTCACTGAAACAAAAACCACCGTTCCTACGTCTATTGAATCACAGGTCCATCAATGTCAGTACGCCCCGCTGAAAATAGATAGCGATGAAGATCTTGAATCGAATCCTCATTACATAGAGCGTTCAGAGCAGTCTACCGGTAGATATGTGCTACGACCGTTTGGGATCTGGGAATATTACCGGCGACGCAACAGTCACTTGACGGCTTTGATGGCTCCTTGCAACGCCTGTATGATGGACATCAATCGGCGTCGACGCGAGTTCGGATGCGCTGATGGAAGTACGTCATTGGAAAGAGAGCTCAGCCTTGCCCTGAAGGAGATTGTTCAATTGGCATTCGCCTGTGATTGTTAAAATATGGTGGTCTGAGGGACATTTGCCACCTTTCCGCGAAATGAGAATCACGCGGCGGAAATTCGGAGGCTTCGAGAAATCTTTTCGAGGCGGGCACCCTACCGGTCACGTGCTTTGGCCAATCGCTTACATACAAGACAACACAGATATTTAGTTCTCCCTCTCCCTTTTGTCCGTTCTTCGTGGTTCGACCTATCCGAAAGTATCCTCCTCTGGCACTGAAAATTTACAAACGCTACAAGGTGCTCGCTACATAATGAAAACACATAAGTCAGGAACTAAATCATCAACCCTGCTCACCACACAACTCAGGAAGAAAGGCCTGGAGTTGGTGCCGGAGTCCGTGGATCCGGCGCTGGGGCTGGGACCTGTGTTCACGGTCAACCCACTGAAATCTGGCACGAGCAACAGCGATGTGGCGTATCGTCTGTACTACGCCGGCGAGTCATCCAAGTACAGCGCCAGCCATCGGAATGCGGTGATCAAGGCGGCGGCCAAGAAGCAGCGCGAGACTCTTGCTGGTGCTAGAGCTGGTGCTGTTGTTGCGAAGAAGGGGTTAAAGCTTGAAGTCGTTGATGATCTAAGATGTGGGGACACATGTAGCGAAGCTGGGAGTGATGTGACCAGTGCGAGCTCAGCGACCTCTGTTAGTGAGTGAACGAGTGGAGGGGAAGCTATCCGAGACATCAGCATATGGCTGTGACAATTACGAAACGCAAATCAACAAACATGCTGTGGCGCACGAAGCACTCCAGGCCATGTGCATACCGCGTCAAGTCACGCCTCTCCTCCCCGAGCTTCGTTCGATAGAGATCCACACCCTGGAGTTCAGAATCGTGCTTCACTTCCAATTTACCGACATTCTCACGCAATCCACCCATACCCCGACCCCTTCTGGACTTGCTATGGTCCCTACCACGGGAGAGGTCCTTGGCATGGGTACAAGCAGGGAAGTCGCATCTAGCGACTGAGACGCGAACGTGGACAGGCACAAAATACTGAGCTCTCCAGAAATCTTACGAGGTCTTTGCGTGTATGGCTCTGAGTCAGTATCGACAGGAGAGCTGATGTATAGCAGAGAATCGCTTTTTGCTTGGAACAAGTGGCACTCGGGTCAGCAGGGGAGCCCCCCATATTTGAAAAGCAGGGTGGATAGACCGGCAAGGTGGTCCAAGAGCGCTGCTGACCGGGAGGTGCGTGAGAGCGGCGAATCTTGCCCCTAGTTAAGAAGAGCGAAGTGAGGTGGCTAGTTCTTAAGGTCGGCTAGGTGCAATCCCCGATGTGCAGTTTCGACACAGCGAAAACCTGTTAGTGGCGGTACTCACTCAAACAAAATACAAAGTTCATGTATCATTTGGCCAGATGGGTAGGTATCTTGATCACAACAATCTGGCGAGAGACCAACTAATTTCTATCTCCTTTACTTGTCCGTATGCACATTCTGCACCACGTAACTCTGCTTTTTCATCTGTTCCTTCCCAGCTCCGAGCTCAACCGCCAGGCGGAGAGCGTTCTTGATCGGACGACAGAGAGCCGTCACCAAACGACCTGACCTGTGTAGTCGATCCTATCTGATCATCTCCTCCTTTAAATCTGTTCCATGCGGAGCCACGTTGTTCGTATACGTGGCCATTTTATGATAGGCCGGTTGTCTCGGCACCAACAGTGGCGACGACTGCGGTTATCTGATCTAGATGTACATATGACATCAAAGGGATTGCCCACATCTTTGCGAGGTCTCTGATGCGTGACATACATAGACAGGCCTTGTTCAGGTAATTCCATCGGCTCTGGATGGGCGTTCTCTCGTGGCTTTCGATGCATCGAGTGCATGCCAATTGCGGTTGCGTCGGATGTCTGGTCGGATGTTACCAGAATGGCGAGAGTACTCTCCGCCGCAAAGTTGAGGTATTGCGTATGTGTCCGAGATTGAAAAGATGGCGGATAGACGATAGGCAATCGGCTCAATCATTGGCAATACGCGATGGAGGAGCACTATCATCGAAACGGAATGTGGGATGCAGCATTCATCGCTTCGATCACCTCTTAACTGCAGGAGCCAGACCTGGGACATTGCTGTATCTCTCGTCTCGCTCCGTCTTGAAGAGAACCTGGCACCAGAATTCTTTGGCGTCGGCATCCCACCAAGTCCAGTATCTACCTTCTCGCCGATCCACCTCCCGGCTCTGCAACTTGAAAGCACACGTCTCATAGGGCTCTGCAGCGACGAGCAAGTACTGGTAATCCCTGTCGGGCGGGTCTTCAACTTTCTGCTCAAATGCGCTCATGAAGCGTACCCTGGGCTCCACCCCTGTAGAGATTTCAGGGTAGAGAAGTTGGAAAAGCAAGCCGACCTGTCGTGTCAACGGGTCGCGAATCTTGGTGATCTTGTAACCGGGTCGACCAATCTTGACCATGTTCTTTCGCACCTGCACGCCCATCATGCCTGCACCGAGCATTTGGCCATCCTTCTGTAGTTCCTTCTGTTCTCTGGCGGCTCGCCTCGCGAGATTAGTCTGATGCTTTCTACCCTGAGTGTGTGCGAGATAAGAGCCATCATTTTGATGCACGGTGAGACACAGGCGGCATTCGAATGAGCCGACATGGTTCTTGAAGAAGTAGGGGTCTTTGTCAAGGTCGATGGTTTCGAGCGCGAGCTTTCGTAGTCGTTCTCGACGGTCTGCATTAGTCGCTGAATGTGAGGCGACGCCGCCGCCGCCAAACTTTGAGCCTGCTCGGTTTTGGTAGTCCATTGGACGGGTGGTCTGTCGAGAGAAAGTTGAGGGGGGGTTGGAAGCGCAGGTAGCACTTCAGGTAGGCTCTGAAGAGGTGGTGCAGGGACGATGTTTCGTTCAAAATCAAGAGAGACGCGGAAGAAAGTAAATCCCAAGGCAAATTATATACCCTGTCTGACGGGGATTTGTCCTTCGAGGTTTTGCTGGGAGGAAGCCGTCAGACAAGACATTTAAGTCATGCCTCCAGCCTGCCACGTGCAACATGTTCGTCCTGCCTCAGTTGAAATCCTTCAACACCACCCACCCAACTTGAACGTTCTTGACTTTCTGGTATTTAATGGCAGAGGCATTCTATGGCTCATCGTCGCTGGGCGGTGTCTCTACTGGGTCACCACTGCCCGCATCGCCCATGACCTCAGCACCACCCCCTCCTCCACCGCCGAAGCCAGTCTCTCAAAGTGCTGATCCAAGCAGGAGTGGCACTCCCAACCACGGTGTTAGTGCAGGTCCTTCTCCATTTCCTCCTCCTGGCTCTGCGGTTACAAATTCTCCTCGTCCTCAACCGCCAATTCCGTCCTCGACACCATCATCCTCGACCCCAATACCACAAGCTACCTATCAGGCCCAGCAACACACACCAATCCCGCCTCCTACACTCCACGACCGGTGGATCCCAACGCAGATAGCAGATAAACCCATAAACGAGCTACAAACCCTCGCCAATAACCAATCATTGATCGCCTCGTTGGCCGCCACACATCCATCTTATGCCTCATCTCTTGTTCCCCTACAAAATGCAATACAAGCCAACATCCAGCTGGCTCAGCAAGTCTCTCAAATGGAGGCTCAGCTACGAAAGCTCAGAGACGAGACAGCCCAGCTGTTGTTGAATCACACCTCTTTACAGACCCAGTGGAGAAGGAAACAGAGCGAGATGGATGACGCTCTATCGCCGTGGGGACCACGACAAATGTATCAACGTTTGCTTTCTAGTATCACCGAGCAGGAATCGGTTCTTAAAGCCATGCAGGAAAGTTTCTTGGAAAGCTCCAGCCCCGACGACGGCTACTATGGAGGGGCTGATGGCAAGGCGAGCGAGAAAGAGGTCATCGAGTGGGTGAGGCGAATAAGGGAGGGTGCTACGACGTTGGAGAAGAGGAGAGAAATGAGAGCACGATGGGATGAAGGGAGAGTTGGTGGCTGGAGATGATGTGACGAACTCAATGACATTGCACATGTACGAATATATATGATGAGCGAGCCCTGTAGATATACAAATCCTATTGAGATTCCCACAAATGCGTTCCCATGCATTAGACACAAGAAATATCGAGTTCAACTTCCACACACACCCACAGCCTCACTTGCGGGGTTGACATATATGTTGTACGCACCACCCCGACACCGCACCCAGGCAAGACATCACATCTTGTCTCTGTTTGCTCGTCACAATCCTTTATTGTAGATTACTCATGGTCCTTAGCGGGAAGGAACGACACCAAATCCTTGTTGCATGGGAGAGGTCAGCAAGGCCACTGTTGTGATTGTGCAGGTAGTACACGACGTCTAGGCAGCCTAGTTTACGACACTCTGTGTATTCCTTTGAGATCGCTAGAAGGATGGCAGACTCAAGCTCCTCCGCAGGCGCGACCTCCAGTATCGCTGATTATCCGTCCTTGAAGCCCGCATTGCATCTGCGAGTTGCGATCGGAAACGCCACGCAGGTTGGCAGTCTATCACGCGGAACACCACTTACAGTTGTACCACTCGTTTCCGCGTCACTGGACTCAGAACCTGGGTTCCCGATCTCAGTCCATGCTCGAAATCGCGGCCATGGAGGGGTCGACTACGTCCGCAACGACCCTGATGGGAAACGGATGAGGCTGACTAGTGACTTGGTGGTTGGGTAGGTATGGCTTCTTTAACTACGTTTTTTCTTACCTGCAACCACGATATCTTTTCCCGGGGCGTTGCTGATTGAAGTGCAGGGAAGGGATCGAGGGCAATCGCGAGGTATGTGGATTTCATATACTCCTCACAACGGCTAGCATTAAGAAGTGCATCAGACCATCCAAATCCACTACACCGGCATAGTGGATATCAACAGCGAGATGAGAAGCATCCTCGGACGTAGTCCGAATGCTGCATCCACCAATTTCGGGGGTTCATGTTGGTCATCGTCTTCTGCGTGAAAAAGCGATAGTCAGGCTAACGATTTTGAAGTCATACATGTCACATTTGAAACTGGAGTTCCGCGGTTCAAGGCCCTGGAGCAAGCAATATTTGTCGGATCTGGTAGATTTATTCTTGATGGCAACGGCCTGAGCGCTGAGTACCGCATAAGTCAGGTGTGCAAGGGTGAAGGGATTGCAGCTGAGGCTGCCACGCAAGAAAACCCTAGCGAGGAGACTGAATCGGTCTCAGCATGAAGTTTCTCAATGGCATGCATCAGCACTATTGGCTAAGCGCAGAGCAAGCAAGCCATGCAGCTTAGGTTCTCTCTCGTGAAATCGTAATGACTGTGCAGTGTTGAATGCTTGGAGGCATGTTCTCAGGCGAGTAACGGCGCCCGTTCGTTGTGTACATCTTCATTCGAGTCAGATGTCCCGTGCCCTCTCGTCTCTGGTGACCCAGCTTTGCGGCGTGTTCTCAACCACTGTGGAGTCCAAGAACCAACTCGCCACCACCCTTCCCCGCGACGTCTCCATTTCCTTCCCATCAGGAGACCCAGCCTAAAGGCCGTGAGGATGAGGGAAAGCCCAATCAGCGTCGAAAGCACAGCAACCACAACGCTGATGAAAGCCATGCTTGAACACCGGCAACTGAATGGTCGAGCTCTCATCTCCCATCTCTCTCGCCATGCCAACGGACAGATCTCGGAAGACTTTATTGGTGATAGTATGCCAAATGGATATCCATAAATTGTGTTGGGAACACATGTCTGAGACACCGCGCACCATGAACATGGATACTGGTTTGAGGGTGAAAGACATTGTGGACAGTCCGGTTTGACCCAGCAGTGAAAGAAGATGTCGAGGTCGTCGTCTTGCGTGACTGCAGTGATGTTTGTGGATTCGAGATACGTGAGAATATTTGGTGGGAGGACCGATAGATCGTAGTCTATCGCCATTTTGAATTCACAAAAGGAACTGTGAGCTTTATAGATACTAGCCCCTAAGACAGGATAAATTCTTGTCTTTGATCTCGATGCTGGATTATGACTTGTTCGGAGCAGGGCGGCGGTTGCTAATAGGCGAGGCTGCGCTTCTGTGCTAATGAGAACTAATGTCAGTCGCTTCTTCTTTCATTGGTTGCCCCGCCGCCTTGTAGCTAAGGCCTTTATCCAATACCAACAGTGCCACTCCAGTACCCGGAAAGGCTGGACGTCAAACAATGTAGCATTTAGGTTCCTGTAGTCCCCAAGCCAGGGAGAATCGAACAGTCAGATCGTGCCATTTCTCAACAAAAATGATGGACTCCAAACAAAGATTGGTCCGGATTAATTTAAATCACGTGATACTAAGCCTAAATCTTGCCTGAGACGTCTTGTTTGTTTCAGGCCAGCTCTCCCTCTTCTCACTTTGTTGCAGGGACTAGATACACAGACACTTTTGAGCCGGGGCTTCCTGCGCCATAGTATAAGATATCCGCGAGTACATTGTCAAGCCATGGCAATGTTACAGACATACAAGGACCGCATTTTCTTGGATCGTGGGCCGCGGTCCTGAGAACTTGTGGTTCATCTTTCATCCAAGATGACGAGAGCCTGCGACTTTGTGCAGAGCTTGTGCACACTTGGACCGCCCATTGCCCCATCCTGGTCCGAAGAGACCTCATGTTAACCAGAGGCGCTTCGAAACAGTTCCCCTGAGGAAGTTGGTGATACCTACCCCATGGAGCAGGAAGACATGAACTTGGGGCTCTGAGCCAAAGGGCCGACAGTTCTCTTCGGAAAATACAAGCCTGGAATATGTGCCGGATAAATCAAACTCAGAAGAATGACACTGTTTGAACCTTGCATGTTCACATACCGTGGGCCCAAAAGTATTAACCTACACCATGGAGCTCCGCTTCAAAGATAAAGTTGTGTGTCCCAGACCTAACAAACTAACAGTACATGCCAAAAGCACGACAATAGGAAGCCCAGCAGCCTCCTAGTACTGAACCTTCGGTCTTTGCACCACGACAGTGAATGGTACGTCGTTCGTAAGCAAGGGTCCATCGCTGTTCCATCGGACTGGGACCGGCAATGACAATTGCAATGGCCATGCACCCAGCCTGCCAAGCAAGCTGAGGCATGACTTTTCCGCCACTGGACACTCAATATACGGACTCAATTGCAATGGCATTGCTCCCAGCCAACAGACAATCGATAACGCTTCAGCCTTCAAACCAGGCAAGTTGAGTGTGCCTCTCGAGCAACTCGGGTCGTTAGTCGGTGGCAACGGAGCCGGCCACCACGACCAGCAGCCACAGCCACAGGAACCAGCGGTCGGATCGCATAGTACAGGTAGTTTTCCAGTCGGCCCTGCACCTGTGAAATTGCATCCCCTGAAGAAGTCAAGTTTCCCACCACCGCCACCGGGGCTCAAGAGAAATGCGGCCTTTGGATTCAATTAGTAGCATTGCTCGGTAAAGACAATGGTTTGGCCTAAAGAGGGAATGGGTGATGGGGAGTACTATTGCAATGGGGGCATTTTGGGAAGCTGAATTAGGAAGCACCAGAAGCACGAGGATCGCAGCAAACCGGAATGCTCAAGTACGGGGAGAAGGGCAACCTGATCGCGTGCAGCTCGCAGAACAGGATGTCTAATGACAATGATATCAAAGAATAATAAGCGCGGGAAGATCGCAGCGAAGACACATTGACACGGAAAGGTGGCAGGAACGACCGGGGGGGGGGGGTTGTTCAATCCTACGGGAGTCATCATTCAGCATGGAGTTTATCGGAGCCAGTCGGCATTGGAATTGGAATTGGGCATTGCAGGAAGGGATAGAAAAGGAGTCAACCATTGTCATATTATGGCGCAGGAAACACGGCCCAAGATACCCCACTGTACGATTACATGGGAGAAAGAATCCGTTGAGGCGTGTTTTCCTTACTGGAAGGAATCAGTCTGATGGCAATGAACTGAGACAGAGATGTTCAGGCTACATGATTATCCTTCGCACAGTCGAACAGAGACATTAATGAATGATGGCAGCCACAGTCAGTGTTGCACGATGAGCTGCTGAGAACAAGAAGTAGATAAGACAGTTCCGAGAGATAGAACTTGGAATCCACCCCAACCATCGAATTCGGTTTCGATCATGTTCGCCATGCGAGCAGGTAGTATGTACTCCGTACCGCAATGCCTCCTATGTCGCTCAAGTGGTACCATATATGTAGTCCCCGATTTCGACCAGTTCTAAGGCCCCGATGAACATGACGTCGGAAGAAAGATACATAGTAGTCATGTATTCGCGAGGCAGACTACACTTTGTCCGCCTAGGCTATGTACAAGCACCTCAAGGCTTTCTCATCACGCCCATATGTTCAAAAAGTTCAGTCCAGCCAGTCTAAGTACGCGGATGACCCAGCCGTGCTGGAAAAGGAAGGCCGACAGACCCGCATTTCGGTTGGGGGCGATATTTCTGCCGCTCTCAAGTTTCCAACTATCTAACTCCCTTGAGCCTGAGACATATGAAGCATAACTCCTAACTAGGCTCCAGCGAAACCTGCCTTCCGGGGAGATCAGCGCGAAAGGGAGCTCTCGTTTGATAATTACTGAAAGGGAGATTTGGTATCTTTCTATTGGTTTGCCTTGGGCGTCTCGAGTTTGGTAACGCGCAGAGAACACCAGCGCAAGAACAGTACATCGTACCTGACGCGGAGAAAGAAAGGCCTCTGGCTTGGAAAGCAACCTCGCTGACAAGAGATCTTTGGATCTTTCTTCCCTTGGATCGCCCTTGCTTTGGTTCCTCCCTAAAGTGTAACGATGGCAGACTCGGGAGAAGAACGAGAGAGAAGCGCCATCCTATCCAAAGTCACACGACCAATAAAAGCATTCTCCCAAGAAATTGGGCTCGTCGCGCTCTTCCACGCACCAGCAGACACACAAATCCTGATACTGCAGCGCTTCGTGCGCTTGTTTGCATATGGAGGGTCGACGCTGATCCTCGCGTCCTATCTCTCAGCGCTGGGCAATCCAAACGCGAGGATCGGCTTGTTCATGACCTTGACACTCGCGGGCGATGTGTTCCTCAGTTTCCTCCTGACGCTGGTTGCAGACGGGCTGGGCAGGCGGGCGATCCTGGTGCTGGGCGCGGCGTTGATGAGTGTCAGTGGCGTTGTGTTTGCCTCGAGTGGGAATTTTTGGGTGCTGCTCGCTGCGGCGATTGTGGGCGTCATTAGTCCCAGGTATGTACGACCATCAACTGTGCGAGACTGAAGGTCGAGAGGAAGGAAATAGAGATCCTTATTTCCAATCTTCCTGTTGAGTCGACATGTTATGGCAAACAACTGACTCTCCTGATCAGTGGCAACGAGATAGGCCCGTTCCGCGCAATCGAAGAGTCGACCATAGCACATCTGACAGCCAGTGGGGATCGAAGTGACATCTACGCCTGGTACTCGCTGATCGGCACCGCTGGGACGGCATTGGGGTTCGTCGGATGCGGATGGATCATCACCGTCTTGACGCACGAGAAACACTTCTCATCCATTGGTGCCTACCGTGTTATTTTCTGCATCTACGCTGTTGTCGGACTGGTCAAACTATCCCTTGCTTTGCTGCTGAGCAAGGCTTGCGAGGTCGATGGCACGCCGAAATCTACCGCAGCTGCAGCCGCTGCTTCTTCTGCTCCCACAGAAACGGCTCCGCTGCTTGGGAATGGGAGCGTGAATGCAAATGGGACAGTGGAGCAAGACGACAACGACAGTGGCAATGACAACGATATCAAGAAGGACAAAAAGCGCTTCCGTCTGCTACCCAACATCAGCGAGGAAAGTCAAGTCGTGCTTCTGCAACTATGCATACTATTTGCATTTGATAATTTCGCGTCAGGCCTGGCCCCATTGTAAGTCGACGTCTTCTGCTCGAGCATGGCTCATCTTCGAAAGGGGCCCTTGCTAACTGTCACGTCTTTTTGCTTTCAGATCATGGGTGACGTTTTTCTTCAAGCAGAAGTTCGGGCTCACGGAAGGGAAACTGGGATCCATCTTCTCCATCACGGGAATCATATCGGCGGTCTCAATGTTGGTGGCATCGTCCATTGCCAAACGAATCGGGAATGTCAAGGTAAGTCATACTCCGTGCAGACCGCGCGGCTAAGAACAACCCAGCGAGCTCTTATCCCTTCATTCTATCCAGCTTCATGGGCCTGACACCACTTCCATTCTCTAGACCATGGTATTCACACACCTACCATCAGCGATCTGCCTGGCCTTGATCCCCGTGCCGTCGACACTCACAGGCGCGCTAGTCTTCCTGGTCGGCCGCGCATGCACACAAGTCATGGACACGGCGCCGCGGTCGGCATTCCTGGCCGCCATCGTCCTCCCACATGAACGCACGGCTGTCATGGGCACCATTAACCTGGTCAAGACGTTCTCCCAGAGCTTGGGTCCTCTCATTACTGGTGTCCTCGGAACAAACAACCACTTCTGGGTGGCATTCGTTGCCGCGGGCTGCTTGAAGGCGACTTATGACTTGGGCTTATTGGCTGTGTTTGCTGGGTCCAAGAGTCGCGGGCGTGGACGTGAGCATGAGCAGAGAGGCGAGGTTCGGAACGACGAAGAGACTACTGCTCCGGCACCGGTGCGGACGACATCATCGAACTAGGAGTTAGAGAGTTGGGTCCTCGAGCGCCTTATGCAGAGCGGTCTATATCAGGCTGCAGTGGGAGACTGAGATGGCAAGAGCAGTAGTTAGAACTGCCTAAGCTTCACAGGGAGGGATAAGCGTCGAGTCGAAAATACTTGTTCAGTACGTACAATCTTTCCAAGGTCTACACAGCAGTCTCTTCCATCCAGGGCAATTGGATGTTCTTCTGGTTCGGGTCAAGAAACCAGCTCAAGGTTCAGCATAAGCTAGATATACATACATATATATATATATATATAATCCCCGAACTGTCGTCCTTCACCACTTTTTCGCTGACTCATCACCCGCCGCTTTGCTCTCCCGCTAACCACTATTTAGTCGATTCGCTCCCTCGTCCGCTCCCTCCTGCTCCCTCACGGCTCTGGCCCGCTCCTGCCGTACGCCCTCACGTGCCGGCGAGGCTCCCGTTCGGGCTCTAGTCTCGCAGGCGCCAACGTCGCGCACGCCTAGCCTGGAGGTAACTTTACTCGATTATATCTATAAAGGGCCTGTTTCGGCCCTAATAAAAGGTAGGATTCCTAAGAGGATACTTATTGTACTGGGGATGTGAAGGTGTGGCGAGGCTGGCGAGGCACGTGCCTGTACATTGTACAGGCATCTATTCTGCTCTTTAATTGGTGAGATTTTAGCGCGAGGCTGCGAGTTTACTTTTATCTTCTTTACTTTGGAGGATTGCAACATAGATCAGAGAGAAAATCAATTAATCAATCGAGTTTTCCGGACTGTATTCCTGCGCGATAGAGAGGCCAACTGACTATGTGAACGCGTTCCGTAGGCGCCCTGTCTCTCCGCATGGCCCTCGTAGTCCTGGCTAGTCCTTGCAAGTTGCATAGATTAGTAGATTGGTGTGTGGGTTACGTGTGAGAGGCAGAGACTGCCGGGCGCAGGATGCCAACCCAATGGCCTTACAGCCGCGCCCCAGTTTATTATCACGGCGCAACTCTAGAAGGGCTAGATAGCTTAACTAGATAGCCTCGCTCTTATAAGCTATAACTAGGAAACTCGCACCGTAATATAATTAGCTAGATATCTCTATATAATATATAGAGATAACGTGTATGATAAGCGAGTGGGCCAGACAAGCGAGTGGGCCACCTCCCCCCGACCACCACAACATTTCTTGGGTGCACTCAACCACAACACATTGAATTGTTTGTAACTACTCGGAATCCTCTTCCTCAGATGAAGAGACAACTATTTGACAGGTTCTTGAGTTGTGTCCGGCGTTGTGGCAGACACCACACCTCTGTGGACGCGTTTCGGCCCTCCGCCTCTGACTACTATTACGCTGCGTTTCCTGCTTTATCACCACCTCTATGCGACTGCGAGACTTAAGAAGCTGTCCTTCCTCTAGGGTCATACTCCCTCCATTACGGAGATGTTTCTTTTTAGCGCGGCGACGGCGGCTCAGTAGTGCATTGTCCTCTCGAAGCGTCTGGACCTTAGACTTCAAAAGCGCGATTTGGCGCATGATTCCCGTCGCACTCTTCGTAAACTGGTCAATAGCCTTAAGGTTCGGTGTCGGAGAGCTTCCTTGATGTAAAGAGACTCGATTCTTAATGAATGCAGACTGCGAGCCGGCTTCGGTGGGGTTGTTGGGCGTTTTTGAGACCTAAGCCTGAGTCGCGACAGGACCCTGTATCTCAGGTGTTGGCGTCCGTAACTTTACATCCAATCGTACAATTACACTTTCCGAGTCATAGGGAACAAGCCCGGCCCCTCTGAATCCTGCCTGAACATTGCTAACTGTCATCGCGGTCTGAAATACGGCCAGAAACGCGGAAAAGAAGTCCTCCTTAGAAATATAGGTGGTACCAGCTCGGACTCTCTTCTCAATTTGACTACCATACGCTTGCTTCAACGGACCAAAACAACCCACGTCAAGAGGCTGAAGGATGTAAGATGAGTGGGCAGGCATACAGAGAGTGATGATATCGTTTTCCTTGCATTAGAGCTCGAAATCGGTGGAGTGGTGACTTTCGTGCCCATCTAGGACGAGAAGATAATAACGACCGGTAGTTCGTGGCTTTGTGTACCGGTTAAAGTGCTAAATCCATTCCAGACCTCTCTCGTTTATAGTCCAGCCGCTGGAAGATGTGGCGATGATCCAGTCGCGTGGGAGAGCGCTGTCTTGGTACCAGGTGGAGAGATGATATTTGCCCGAAATAATAATGTATGGAGGGACCGTCCAGCCCTGCGCGTTGACACCTTGAATGACTGTCACCCATTCCCAATTGCCTGGCTGGACCAGCTTAGCATTAGAACGCCGTTCGACGCTCGTCATGACCATGCCTATTAAGATAATGCCCATCATAAACTCAGTCTCGTCAAAATTGTAGATGTCCGTGTCCACCACGCCATATTTGGCGATTACGTTCTTCACCAGCGCGAACCACGCACGAATTGTCTCGGGATCCTCGCATTGAGCTCTCTTATAGTCGTACCGACGAAGGAAACGTGTCCGGAGCTCTGGTTGTCGCTTAACAAAGTTGGATGCCCAGCGCTTCCTAACGGGTGGCGCGTCGCGCTCCGCGAGCAATCGATTGGCCATATCTTCCACACCAGTGAGTCGGGGAGGGTATAGTCGCGCATCCAGGTCGAGGATATACTGAACAATTGTTTCCTCTTCTAGGGAGGTTAGGTTTCGTGAGTTGGGCATGCTGTCGCGTCGAGACTGAGTGCCGTCCAGTCTGCGGGGTAGGGTTACGCGACTAACTTTATAGATCTTAGCAGCGGCTCGAGTGCTGAGATCTGGGTCTTTTCTAATAGCCTCGACAGCAAGGACCATTCGACTTTCTTTGCTAGGTGTGCTCATGTCGTTGGGTTGAGATATTCGCGATGGAAGATAGGTGGTCGGGAATTTCTGGGGAGGTGGCCTACTCGCTTGTCTGGCCCACTCGCTTATCATGCACGTTACTACGCGCAATATAATTAGCTGGTGGCCTCGCCGAATATGGTCCAGCGTACTCGGTTATATAGACCGCCAATATAAATATCTTCTTTGTGATGGGTTGAACCTATAAGAGGACTTAGTGTCTTGTAGAGACACCTGTATTTCCGTGGCAACGGGTTGTGTATAGGTAGCTTGACAGAGCTCGCTCTATCCTTCTCTCCTTCTTTCCTTCTCCTCAGATTTCTCCTCCTTGTTACTAGGTAGCATAGCTAGTTGCAGAACTCTTTGCCAAACCCTTACACAAAGTCGATTATATTGAGCCTGTCTACAGCTGGGAGATTCCTTGCCGTTTCACCATACTTGAATACGTTCCGCAGTTAGCCACTTGTTAGTCTTGGAGTGGTCGAACGCGTTAAGTGTTTACCTCACCCACTAAAATTTAGCTAAAGGTCATAACGCAAAACAAATACAAAGTGTAATGAATGCCAAGCAAGCCTAGACAGATTGTATTTAGACCCGACTCCTCGCATGCGAGAAGTTACCTTCTCTCGTGCTTCGAGTCGTGTACTGACTCGAGGTCAAGGAATACCTAACTACTGTTTGAACCTATCTACGTATCGTTGCACTCTGCCTATTCACTCTAGGCCTTCCTTACACAAAGGCGCAGTGTCTTGACTTGTCTATTAGACTAGTCCGGCCCCTCCGCGGCGCTTAGTGTTGACGTTTACTACCCGGAGGAGTATATAAGATGGAATCGGAATCCTTTATTTAGTTCTTCTCTATAAAGTTCATTTTACATTATGTATATTAGAACTAGCTTCTTGTTGCCGATTATATTAAACTAGAACTACTGTAGCCGCAAGAATATTCACCTAACTCTAAGAGAATTTAAACGATGCACTAAAAAACCGAATAGCTATCTTTCGTGCTATTATTACAAACCTCCCACTTAGCGCCTCTACCCTTGCGAACAACAAAATATGACGTACGTCGTCGAGCAAGTCCATCCTGCCTCATCTACGGTGAGGCAGGGAAACTGTCCTAACCATCGGTCGGAAGACTACTGGTATTTCAATGGGAAATAGTTCACAAAACCGAAGACTGGTGGTGGGGGAGTAGGGGGGCGGGACCATCTAACATTACGGTTAAGTAACGGCTGTAGGTTCTTTAATAGATGCTGATGGCGAAACGCCACGCAGCTGCCGATGCCGGGCAGGATATGGAGGGGCTTGCAAAACCTGAGGACACGGATCTCTATATAGAGATATATCCGAGAAGAACACGGCGGAGCTGCCCCATTGTCTACGACAACTATGCATAATATGTAGTGAAATCCTGGTGTACCTAAAGAATAGTCGGTTATTCTCTCTTCCAACCCGCTTTCCCAAGCAAATGAAGGGGAAACTGGGATGTCCTCGTCTTGGTCTGCCGCTTGGTTGCAGCGGCCTCCCTTAAAACTCCTGGCGGCTATACCTCTTCCCGAACAGCTCCTCATATTGCCGCGGTAGTTCTTCACCAACAAGGTTCTCCATCGCGATCAACGATAGCTTCCGTGTGACAAGGTATTGGATGGAACCATCCTCTCCTAGATAGACATCCTCAATGCCTGCCACCTTTTCAACCACTTTGCCCCTGCCGGGACTAGTGCCAGTAGAGTGAGCCTTTTGCTTCCGGTATAGGCTCAACAATGTTTGAGACGGTTTGGCCTCGAACTTCTCCCGTGCCTCTCTGGCCGCTCTTACCTTCCACGTCTCCTTTGTTGCGCGGCGAGGCCATTTGCAAGGAGCGCCGTCGTCGGAGAGAACAGTGGGTTGGATAGGTGGCCGGGTTCGTTTTCGATTCGGTGCTCCTTGGGAGTCAGCGCCAAGATGAGTGAAAAGAGCTCACGCCTCACCCCGGATTGGGGCGAGGGTGACGCCGCCCTGTGCTCACCTTGGCGGCCACAACAGGGTTCATACATTTCTCAGCTGCCAGGCGCAAGCCATGAGACTGCAACCTAGAGACGACATGCTAGCGGTAAGGAGGTGCTCAAGAGTCCAGCATTTTGAGGCTTCAGATGTTCGTCCTCGTGCTACCATTTTCATCACCATGAAACTCACATCTCGCATGCAGCCTCAGTACGTGCACTTGATCACCCAACAACCTTGACTTCGACTCCCTCCTCCTTTCCATGCTCGACATGAACTGGGATGGCCTTCTCATCTTCCACGATATTTGCCGAGTACACAGCCACTTCATCCGCGTCACCAAACAACGCAGCGATTTCTTCAAGCGGCAGACCTTTCGTCTCAGGAAAGACAAAGTATATCCAGAAGCAACCGACCACAGAGGCGCAAATGAAGAGGAGATAATATTTCCAGCCGACGTGCTCGAGAGCCGTAGGGCCGACTTCGGTATAGATCTGTCCGTGGTTTCGGTTAGCCCGGACCTTGCAAAAGGACCTTGTCTTTGAGGAAACCTACCAGCGTAGTGCAAGTTGTCATTGCCAAGGTCATGCTGTAACCTTTGGACCTGAGATGATTCGGAAAGACCTCATTGATGAATGGTGTACCCACCACATCCAGAGTCGCACCAAAGAACATCATAATCATGTATCTGGAAGCACAATGTCAACTTGAAAGTTGTGAAGATACTTTGTCCCACTTACAAAGCTGCGACAGCTATGCCTAGAGCCGCCTTGTTTGGATGGGCGAGCTTCTCCGGAGTTACATAGGTGGCCACCATTGCAGCTTCCAGAGACAGACTGATTGCGCAACCAGCGAGGCCTATGATGAACAATGGCTTTCGGCCCCAGCGATCCGAGAGCCACGCACCTGGCGAGATTTGTTAGCCAACCAGACACGATTGAAAACCAAGCAAAAACTGCCTACCAAGAAAATTAAATGGCACTGCCGTTAAGATCCATCCGACCTGGAAACAAAGTACATCCCTCGCATTGAACCCAAGGCTCTTGTATATGAGGGTCCCATAGCTGCCGATGACAAGAATTCCCGTACTCTGGTTGAAGAACGCGAACGTCAAAGCAATGATGGACCGTTTCCTGTAGGAAGGCCTTCTGAACATTTCCAACCACGACGACTTCATGGTTCTGTCGATCTCGATCTGTTGGTGCATCTGGAAGAACTCTCGCTCTGCAAAGGTGTGCCTTTGGTCTTTAGGGCTTTTGTGGATGTCGAAGACGATGGCCTTCGCTTCCGCATCGCGGCCAACCATGAGAAGCCATCGAGGCGACTCGGGAAGCAGAGGGAGGATGCACAGCATGAAGACCAGAAATACGAGACCCAAACCCAATGGAACGCGCCACTGAGCCTGGAGATCATGGATGTAAAAGCCGGCCAGTCCCATCAACGAAGCGATCGAGTAGCCAATCACTAGACCGCCGCCGACCATGCCTACGAAGAGGCCTCGCAGTGCAGGTGGCGCAAGCTCGGAAGCGAACTGTAGGCTTCATTAGCCGCTGAAAGATATTCGCCAGATGCTGACAGGGCTCAGATGGTCTCACCACTCCGGTAACGCCCAAGAATGCGTTCGTCCCAACTCCGCAGAAGAAACGGAAGACGATGAACATGGCCACGTTCTGAGCGACTGTGACCCCTACGGTGCCAATGATTCCAATGACCGCAGCATATATCACGCCTGCCTTCCGTCCCCATTTGTCCATCACCCAACTGCCAATGAGGAGACCACAGCAGGAGCCTGCCTGTGAGAAATTCAGCTTCTTCTCCCAAGCACGCCGGAAATACACCTACGTAGAATGTGCCTGTTATGGCACCCACAAGGCCAGCAGAATTTGGGGTTGTTTCTCGAGTCTTAGGATCGACCAGACCCATATAGAGCAGAAAACCAGGTTCACCAAGAGTGGTGCCAATGATGGATACTCCATACCCGAAGGCACAGGCCCCCATCGAGACAAGAATCACCAAGCGCAGATTGCGCCAGCTGAATTGATGCTCGTTAGTGAAGCCGCCACGGGCGAGTCTTTGATCAGCCATGGTTTGGTTCGGAAAGGGTGAAGAACGAGAGAATTGGACATGCACCGTTTTGGGATGTGCGAAGAAAGCTGGACTTTAGACACTTTTACTATCTATCACTGCGGGTTTCCGAGCACATATAAGTACAGCAGAACCGGTAAGTCGTTGTCCGCCATCAGGATTTCAGCGGGGACGGTTCAGCGGAAACGGACTTTGTCGAGCTGGCTTTAGAAGTTAGCAGCTTACTGGATAGTAGTCAAGTCCTCTCGGTCTACAACAGGTGAAGAGAGTTTTCAGCTTTTGATCACGCGCCCCTTCTATGTGCCCCGGAAACTATTGGCGTTGTGGTAGAAGCCGTATTTGTGGGAAGATCCTGGAGACAGATTTGGGCAATGGTCACAGCTTCGAGTCGGAAACAGGAGCAGTTTCCACCGGGAAGTCTGGAAAAGACCTCCCACTCTCTCGCGGGAAGTTACCGCCGGTCTCTGAACTCCCTGCCATAGCTACGGCCTACCGCTCAATGGCGACCGACCAACCCACCTTGCAAGAGATCGGAAGTTGCGAGAATGGGAAGATCGTCTCAGGAAGTCCCCGCCGGAGTACGCTGCGTAGTTGCTGCTCTGAGATGGCACCCTGAACTAGGTTCTAGACTGAGTCGACTCTGTGAACCAGCTTGACAAGCAAGGGCATAATTATACCATCAATCTTGGACGCGTAATCGCTGATACGGTGCGACTGTTTAGTGGATGGCCTCTCGATATCTTCCTTAAAAACGAGATTCTAGAGTTCTAGCCGTGGACAGCTCCAAAGCCAACCGCAGCAGTCATGGAGACCGCCTTCGAACAAGCTTGTGAGAAGGAAGAAATTCGAGGAGCTGTGCTCGTGGCTGCATCCTCTGACGGTACGAAACACATCCCGCCTTCCAGTTTTGAGGGAGGCCCGCTCTCTGGGAAACTCGCTGACGAGAGAGAAACAGGTAGGTTCGAATATGAGAAAGCGTTCGGTAAGGCCTCGCCAGACGAGCCTATGCTACTCGACTCGACATTTCGAATCGCCTCATGTTCAAAGCTCCTCACATCTATCGCTGCCCTGCAGTGTGTGGAAAGGGGGCAGATTACTCTCGACGAGGACGTCACTCCCATTCTACCCGAATTAGCGCAGCTTCCGATCCTCGAAGGATTTGAGAAGGAGTCGGGTCAGCCACTTCTTCGTCAGAGGAAGACGACAAAACTCACTCTCAGGTACGTGAACCCTCCTCAACCCCCTCTTCTGGACTCACAGGTTGAATGCTAGCCAGACAACTCTTGACGCACACCGCCGGTATGAGCCACGATTTCGCAAATCCAATGTTGATGCAGTGGCGCGAATACCACAAACAAAGAGTTGGCATTCCAGCCACGAGTTTTACGACCAATTGCCGCCTACCCTTAGTCTATGAGCCTGGAGCTGGGTGGGAATACGGTGCAGGAATCGAATGGGTGGGTTTCCTCATCGCAAGACTAAACGACAGCAGTTTACAAGCGTACATGCAAGATCATATCTGGAAACCTCTCGGTATCACAGACATGACATTCCATCTTGAAGAACGACCGGACGTGCGCGCGAAGCTCCCCCAGACAAGCAAACGCATGCAGAACGGCAAGATTGAATGGCTCGAGGAGGTGGTTATACCCGATCCCATCCAAGATGATCTCGGCGGTTGTGGAATCATATCAACGGCACAGGATTTTCTCAAGGTCCTGAAATCGGTTCTTGTCAATGACGGAAAGCTACTGCAGCCGGCAACCATTGATACACTGTTTCAACCGCAACTCAAATCGACAGCAAGGGATGCTTTGCGTACAATAATGAAGACAGCAGAAAGGAGTACAGGATTTGGTCTGCCAGCGAATACAACCGTTGATCATGGCCTGGCAGGGATGCTCATTATGGAAGATATACACACAGGAAGAAAAGGAGGTAGTTTGAGCTGGGGAGGCTACCCAAACTTGAAATGGTGGATCGACAGAGAGACAGGTGTCTGCGGGCTGTATGCGAGCCAACTTCATCCCCCTGGCGACCCTATGTCTGTCAAGATGTATGAAATTTTCCAGGCAGAGGTGTACAATCGCCTTGGACAGATCAATACCTGATTACCATGCAGAAGGATGCTACAAGACGCATTAGGGATGCACAGGTCGAAGATTGAGTGGAAAGATGGAAGGAAGAAGAAGAACATTCGAGATCAAAGTTTGCAGGATCGTCCTGCTCGAGCTCTTCGTGTCAAGGATTCCACCGGAAATCGGAAACTCTGCTCGTACCGAAGACTCCTCACGCATCTCTCCCGCCGGAAAGACAGGACACTAGTGTTTTCAGAAAAATTGTCTTCGTGGCCAATGAAGGGAAGAGATCTTGCCAACGATCTGGGGTTCCAGGCCCATCTTTACACGTGGTGGTACTACGTGGGAAGCAAGACTTTATAGCGCAGGGTGCATCAGGTAGTGCGTTTTCTGTGGACGGTCCAGGGAATCTTCTGGGTGGGGTCCCCCAAACTGTTAGGGTCCCCAAGCCCCTAGCGCGCTAATGATGGAGACAACGCCTGGGGGAAGCTTACCCCGACCATGGTCTTTAGGCCGTAGGGCACTACCACTGACTACCTACAGAGATGATTCTGAAGGGCGGGGTTATAGAGCTTGGCGCCGAATATTGCCGACCTCGGTCTGGCGTTCGAGAACTTCTATGGCCGACGTTGCTTGAAGTCATGAATCTTTCGCAAGAACTTTTGCAATACCAAGTTTAGCACCAGATGGAGAGATCGACATCGAAACCGAAAAAGAGGACAGTGCCTAGGGCGCGCTTTGCGTGTTTTAGGTGCCGCCGTCAGAAGCTCAAGGTACGGCGTGGCTATGCTTTCCCGGGCCAACTGGCGTACCTTGACAACGGTTTCAGAGCTCACGTCCAGAGTTTGATAGTGCGATAATGAAAGGCCTTGCGCGCTTTGTGTTCGCTCGGATGTGGACTGCGAAGAAGGAGAAGGCCCAACGAGGTACCTAATGCCTTTGTCCACGCGGTTTTCAGCACGCTGTCAGAGTTCTAATCAGTGGCTGCAGGAAACGTTTACGCATGGGACTCGGTCCAAAAAGTCCATTAACGAATTTGGAAATCGGCATGTTGAGGCCGACCGATGAGCTCAACAAACGGCAGTTGGAAGAAATGCAGAGTCCTGGGCGTTTACGGTCCCTGAACCAAGAGAGACCCTCCACGTATGGACTTGTTGATCAGGTGAGTGATATACTTCGCTTCATATCTAACATCTGCTAATTCTAGGCTTGGCTTATAGCTCCTCCAGGGGTTTGACTCGCAGAACTCAGCTCTGCCGAGCACGGAAGCGATCCCAGATGCAACCCCTGATCATTTTTCCACGGTAGCAATCGGTGAGACGTCAATTCCTATAGCACAACTTATCGGCACCGATCTACCCTCGGCTGTTGTTACCGAGATGCTCTTCGAAACCTTCATCAAGTCTGTGCACTGGTTCATGCTCATTTTCCATGAACCTTCTTTGCGGGAAGAGATGAATTCAGCACTGACCACTGGGCGGGTGGGAGAGCGCAATCTTTCCAACATCGTCCTCATCCTGGTGGTCTTATTGATTGCTACCAAATATGTTGCCGAGGAGGATGTCATCTCTACCCGTACACCAATCGACATCGACCATCTCCAAGCAAAGCTTCTCAGGACTGTCGAAAGTAAGTTTCTTGCCGTTCTAGACCAGGACAACGTGGGCGCGGTCCAGGTCTGCGTTTTGCTTAGTTCGTTCTATTTCTATCATGGTCGACCAAATCGTTGCCTGGCGATCAATAGTGCGGCTATCAGAATGGCACAAAATCTCAAGTTCAACCGTGAAAGATCATGGCAGGCAGTAGACACCATCGAGAGAGAGCAGCGGCGGAGAGTATGGTGGGCTCTTTACGTTCTTGACGGGTACACATATCCACAATCCCCCAGGTCACCACCATAAATTTGTTGACATCTGCCTAGTTATGGTTCCATCACCTACGGAACTACCACAATCATCAAGGGCTCACAATGCCTCGTGAATCTACCTCAAAATATTGACGACACGTCGGCTCGTTGCCCAGGTTTCGATTCGATCGAGAAACTGGAGGATGGGACTACCCAGCCAGTCACAACTCTGTCATATCAGCGGTATAAGTTCAGGCTGTACCGCATTGCAGAACCAATCATGGGAGAGATATACTTCCACGATGGTCGGCCTATACCCGAGCTTGTCAAGAAAGTCCAAGAAATCAACAGGCAGCTGGTGAAGTGGGAAGAAACTGTGCCACTAGAGTTGAGGCCGAAGTCGTTTAGTTCATTGGACCCAGAAACATCGTCGGATCCGCTGACAAGGACATTTCAACTCCAAGCCCTCGCTCTCCAACTCTCCTATGACAACATTCAACTGGTTCTTCACCGCCCGCTGCTCGTGTATAACGGCGTTCTCTCCTTAGGTCACCATGTCCGAGTTCCAAAGGCGCCCGCCTCGGGCAGCGACTTCTGGGAAATGAGCAAAGACCTCTGCTGGAAGTCTGCCCACCGTACAGCTTGTGTCGACGAATATCTCGCCGTCCTCAGACCGGTTCAGAATTTCTACACTAGCAGTTACATTGGCATCCAGACGTTCACGGCCGGGGTCATGCTCGGCATCTTTGCGCTGTCCAAGCCATTTGAGGCACAGGCGCAAGAAGCAAAGAGAAGTATTGGGCGACTTGTCAAGATGCCGAAGCTGCTTGGATATCGTACCATGATCTCAGATCAGACTGGGAGTGTGCTGCAAAGATTACTCCGCCTCATCTTGGATGAAGAGTTGAAGCTGTTGACTTCTGACGATGCCCCGCCGATTGTTGCAAACAAGCCGACTCCCATCATCAAGAGCGGTCTCGACAACTCTCCAATACCGAACAATGTACCTACGAACGCATTTTCCGGACTCGAGGGTATCTCCAATTCCAACCAGACCTCGAACAGGGCTAACGAGGATCAAATCCCCCTTCAAAGCCAAATTCACTCCCACGTAGAAGTCCTCTCTCCAGGCTTCCAGCCGATTTCTAAACGGTCGACTGGACCCGATATCAGCACGACTGTCCAAGCCGCTGGCTTAGATGACGATGATATCGAAACCATCCTTGCGAACCCAGCTGTGGGTACATATCCCTTCGACAGCAGTTTTCTCAGCGAGCTGGATGATGTTGGGCAGGGGTGGATGTGGGAAGACTGTCATCAGTTTGGTTGATGGCAGGTGCCGATGACGGGAAGATGATGAGATGGTGGCTGGCGTCAATATCGGGCTTTACTGTAGGTCATGAACAAGCGGTGTTACGGCGGGTTTGGATCAAGCCCGTCTCTGAGATGCGGATTAGCTCTATTCTCTGATTGCCTCCCGTTCACTCGTCTCGGCCTGACCAATGATCTTTCGCGCACAATCCACTCTTAGAAATTGTGGCAGATTCCTTGGCCATTTGGCTTGATCTGTCTCAGCCGTTACATAGCTAGCTACAAGTCCTTACTTCCAGGCTAGCCTCCACTATCAGCGAGCCCACACCGGCCGGACAGCAAACGGATTCGATACCCCTCTCTCTTCAATGTCTGCCCCCTTCTCCTCTTCAACTGAACTTTCGCCCTACATCTTCAACATTCGCTGCGGTAGCGAATTCTTTCTCCTCTCGTTCTTCCACAGCCATCATAACCACCTCATTTTCCTTGCCTGCTAGCGCTCCCACGCCTTCAGCACCCATTCTTTCGATCCTGAGTGGCTTTTTCGTACTCTCACGCACACCTTGTGTAAATCCGCTCCATCCTTGGCCCTTCCCCGCAAAAATATGGCCGATCTCCTCAAGGCTACGGCCTCCTGTTTCAGGAAAGAGGAAATACACGATTGGGAAGAAGGAGGCGTTGATGACGGCCCCTGTATGACAATTTGTCTCGTGTGAGCCCATCTCCATTGGTCATGCGACGCAGATTTCCGTGTTTGCGGGATAACTTACAGACGATGTAAAACTTCCAGCCTAGGTTTCGGAGACCGATGGGCGTGACTGTTACAATGATGCCGTTGACTAGAGGGTGATCAGCGGACACTCGGACACGGCATGAACGACGTCTGTTTGTTTGGGGGTTTTCTTACGGAGCCAGTTGCAAGTCGAGGCCAGGGCCATACCTTGTGACCTCATTTTCAGAGAGTTGATTTCCTGAGTCTTGCGGTTAGTAAACGTCTTAAGCGAGACGCTGTGCCAGGCTCGCGCCACTCACCGGAGCATACATCCAGGGGACGTTCAGATACCTACGGCAAGCTCAGTGTCAGCCGCTATCGCAAACGAAAAAGGATTTTGATAGACTTACGTCGTGGTGAAGGCGTCGTAAAAGACGAAGTACATTATCGTTACCATGATCGCACCGCCGTGGGTGTGAATGTTGAACCCGATACAAATCAAGATCATGGTGACCGACATGGCGGCGGCACCAAACAGCAAGCACTTTCTACGACCAACCTTCTCGATGAAAAGAACTGGTGTGAAAGAGAAGCAGAGGCACTGAGTCGAGCCAGCCGCTGCAGCAATGTGTGCAACAACGTTGCTCAAGCCAACGTACTCCTTTAGGATGACTGGGACATAATAGGCGACGGAGCTGCCACGATAGCAGTCAGTAAGGCGTTGAACAAGACCTTGAGGGGCTTTGATGGGGACGGCACGCAAAACATACTTGATGCCTGTCAACTGCTGCATGCTGAGTGCCGCCACTCCCAGCAACATGCGTCGAAGATTCTGTTGCCCGCCATTCATGAACAGATCCCAGAAGGAGCCGGACTTTTCGGCTTCCATGGCCATCTCAATCTCGTACCTCGTTCGCATGACGTCTTCATGATCCTCAGGGAGATCCCAGATGCGCGCAATCACCTGAGTGGCCTCAGCCAGCGAACGGTGACGTGCAATCCATCGAGGAGACTCAACGAGGTACGGAACTGTAGCCAACAAATATATTGGGAAGATGACCTGCAAGGCGATTGGGAAGATCCATTGAAATTGGCTGCGGGTGACATACGCAGTGCCGAAGGTGATCCAGGTAGATAATACAAATCCAGAATTAATGTTGGCGCTTTGGATGGTTAGAAGGATGCCTCGATTGGTGGGCTGGGATATCTCTGATTGCCACTATAGAAGAGGGAGGCTGTTAGTCGAAATGATTTTGGAGGGAGGGATGCCGGCTTACGATTGGGACGTTAGCTGTCATGATGCCGACACCGAGACCCGTGACTATTCTGGCGACGATTATCTGAGCTATCTTCTTTGACGTGGCCTGAAGGATGGCACCGATCAAGGAGACCAGTGCACCGGCAAGCTTCGAATGCATTGTTAGCAGGGGTTTTGCGCTCAACTTCGATATGTCCCCACAATTGATCGCTTTCTGCCCAGTCGCTCACTCAGCAGGAACGCGAGTAGCGACCCGAGGAGGCATCCGACATTGTACAAGCCAGTAATAATGCCTTGTTTCAACGCCTCATACAGGTCAGAACGGTTGAAAATGCCGTTGAAACGGCTGCTCACTGACTGAAGGATTGTTGAACTGCTTGATGAATGGCTCTCCACCTAGAACGCCGCCCATGACGCCTTGATCATCTGTGCGGACTTGCGTCAGTGTGGCAAAGTCTCTGCTGGAAGGAGACCCATACATCCGAACAGAACGAAGGCGATACTGCAGGTGACAGTAACAAGAACTCTCAGCGATTTGCCGCGGAGTTGGAACGACATCTTTGCGACTCGCCGGGTGGTTGTACAACTTGGAAGTAATATCGCGAGATTGATATCACTTTGAATTCGAGTAGATCTCTACAGTGATGATTTCTCTTGGGGTGCTCCTTCTCAAGACCCATTGAGGATGATATAGCTCGCAACGGTCATTGCGTCCAAGGCTCGAGATTGTGTCGAGATTCCACCGGTTTAACAGCTCAAGATTTCCGACAACTCGAACCCAGCTTTACCCCAGACCCCAGACTGCCGGCGATTACGCTCATGGTGGCCAATTGGTATTCATTGAAGTGGCTGTGGCCAGCAACCCAATCGGCAGAGATCATGCGATATGCCGCGGCTGCAAGCCACTCGTTTCTATGGGTATTAATACGTGTGAAGTGATCAGGCTCTGGAGTTTGGTGTATGCAGGACCTTGGTCTAGATCAGATCGACTGGTAAAGAAAGTAGGTTGACGGATGGGGTGGACACAACAAGGAGGAGACGCGGGATCTGGCGGGGCCAAGAAAAGGAAATATCTATACGCGATTTTATCACGGAACCTACGCAACCTGCTCACCACTGTACCCATCAGACACCCGTTCGACTTGCACGGAATAAGCCATTGAATGAAGCTCGAAAGTTTGATCAGCTGTCGCCCACTGAATGACCATGAAACCTTCGCGATCCGGTGGGAAGGTGAAGGAGCAGTCAGTCACCTTTCCGGTGGGAAATCCGGAAAGACACTTCCACAGTTGCATCGAACCCGACTTTCCGATACTTCACACGCGTCGACGTATGCGGATATCTGTCAGACAAACAATACCTTGTTGCCGCGCGAGTCTCAAGCGGACAAGCGGCAGTACGTCGTCCGTTCGGACATGTCAACTGATTGTCGACGGATTAATGGGCTTCGTTCGACTCTTCCAAGTGGAAAGGGGGGGAATGGCTGAAACGACCGAAGACGACCGTCCGCTTGAAGTCATTTTTTTAAATTTTTTTTTAGAAAGCGATTCAAAGGCAGCTTGCAACCCCTTTCGAAAGCGTGAGAAGGAGAAAATTACCGTAGCACCATGGCCGTTCAAACCACAAAGCAATGGATTCTACGAGACAAACCTTTCGGCACCCCCGTCATGTCCGGAGAGGCATCCACCTTCGAGTTGACGACGGCATCCCTTCCCACGCTTGAGGAAGGCCAAGTCTTGCTCAAGACCGTATACATCAGCAACGACCCTGCGCAGCGATCATGGATATCTCCTCTTAGTGAACCGCAGCGATCCTACCTTCCACCGCTCGAACCAGGCGATCCAATGCGCGCCCTGGGACTTGGGCGGGTAGTGGAGTCGAGAAGCGCCGACTTGATTCTCGACACTCTGGTTCTAGCGAGAACAGGATGGTCGGAATTTTCGGTCCACAACGCCCGGGATCTGACGCCGATAAAACCTCCCGCCGGGCTCCGAGAGACTCATTTCCTCGGAGCACTGGGTTTGCCTGGTTTCACGGCGTATTACGCGCTCACGCAGATCGTACACCTTGAAAAATCCCATGTTCTTGTCGTCAGCGCTGCGGCAGGCGCTGTTGGCAGCATGGTGGTCCAGATTGCTAAAAGAGTTCTCGGCTGTGCAAAGGTAAGGTTGCCGACAGTGCCTTTTCTGTTTTGGCCCATGGACCCTTTTTGTTCACCATACCATACACGCAGATAATCGGCTTCGCAGGCACAGATGAAAAATGCAAATGGGTGGAAAGTCTAGGAGCAGATCTGTGCCTGAACTACAAGACCGCAACGTTTTGGGACGATCTCGTTCAGGCTACACCTCAGTTCGTGGACGTTTTCTTCGGTACGTTTCTCCTGGGAATACTGATATTCCTCCTGGCTGATAAGTCCGCCAAGACAATGTGGGCGGAACGATCCTGGACTTGATGCTGAAGCGAATGAACAAATTCGGCCGCATCGCCGCCTGTGGTACCATCTCAAACTACAACCGAGATGCCGACATCGTCGGCCTAAAGAACTTTTATGTGAGCGTCACCATATTTTGCGAACCTGAGGGAAGACTGACAGGTGCAATCCAGGAGGTCATCATGATGCGGGTCAAGATCCTGGGCTTCATCAACGTGGATTGGCTCGACCACCTGCCAGAAGTCCAGGGCATTCTGGTGGACGAATGGAAGAAAGGCAACCTCATAATTCAGGACGGCAATGAGACTGTCATCGATACGCGATTCGCGGATATACCACAGACGTGGATGAAGTTATTCGAAGGTGGGAATACTGGGAAGCTGATTACTAGATTGATAGATTCGTAGTTTTTCATTCGAAACTTATAACATGAGAGTACCATCCCCACGACTTGGATCCTGAGCTTTGGCGCAATTCAGCTTTAAGATCGCTGACTGATGCTTGCAGAGACTTCCGAATAGAAAATCTCTCCACTTTCAAGCCGATCAAAGGTATCCCACAAACGCCGCTCCTCACGCAAGTTCCCAAAGCAATTTTACTTTCCTTCTACTCTGCTATAACCTCCCCGGGTCCTTCCTCCCCATAACTCGAGCAACCTGTTCCGGATCCCTCACCCTCGCAGCATCCCAAGCTGCCCTAAACACCTCATACCCCTGGGAAAACAGTGGCTTCTCGTCCCTCCAGCCCAAATCCTCCCTAATCTTCTGCGACCCGACCCACTGCGAAAAGTTGAACAGCGCCGTCACGTACAGACCAAATGTTTCGTCATCCGAGGGCCTCCGGGCGCGGTATGTAACGGTGATGCCGTGGGATTTTTCGATGGCGCGAGCAATTTGGGCGAGTGTTTCGTACTGGTGGGCGGAGATGTTGAACGTCTGGCCGGCTACCAGATGGCGCGGTGCCGTGGCTAGAGCGAGGTAGGCGGCAGCGACGTCATCGACGTGAGTTCCATGAAGAATAGAATTCGGGTTCGCGGGGAGATCCAGGACGCCGCCCCATTCCTGCTTGGCCTGCTCGGCCAGCGAGAAAAAATACGTGTAATGACTGCCCGAGCGGCCGTAGAGGGTTGTTGGGCGAGTCACCACACAGTCAAAGTCCCCGGTGTGGTTGATGAGCATGTCCAGTGCGGCTTCTGTTCGTGGACGCAGGAGATCGGGTGGATTGAGCGGGCTCGTCTCGGTATGTGCCTCTAGATCGGCTTCTCCGTGCAAAGGCGTGGTGCCGTAGTCTTTGCACCCACTGCTAAATATGACGAGTGGTTTTGCACCGCCCCTTTGGGCCATGGAGTGCTTGCAAAGCTGTTTGGTCATGGAGAGCCGAGCTTGGTGGTGGGCGATGTAGTTGGAGAGATCTTCGTCGCAGGTGATGATAACGTCGATCGCAGGGAGAATTGACATGAAGGAGGCAACATCGCCTGCGGTGCCGATGATGGGGATGACTTCGTCTCTTCTGAGGTCCATGGCGCTGCGGTCGCTGCGCATCAGTCCGTATGTCAGCCATCCTCGCTGGGAGAAGGCTTTGGCGACAGTGCTGCCGATGAAGCCGTTGGCGCCGGTGATGAAGGCTGTTTTACGCGACATTTTCCGTCAACAAAAAGATTCTAGGCCACTATCGGTGGTGCGTCCGTTTCAGCATGACGGGGTCGTCACAAGAGCTAGTCATGGTATATGTTGGTTCGTCCTGATGAGGTTCATGCTGAAAACAATTCGTGCTTAGAAATCAGGTTCCGGTGGGAATTTCCGAGTGTTCTTATTGATGCTGTGATATACCTGCAGGCTCGGAACTGGTCAAATTTGAAATCTTCACTGAGAAAAAAGGCTCTTGAAGACTGTGTTGGCAACATCGCATGGCCGTAGGTACCGCATAGTATTGTGGATAGATAGATGGTAGCAGGACGCCCCCAGATACGCTGGTTGAACAATCGCCGTCAGTTCACTTCCGATCATTTCCAGAAAGACTGCCTTGCAGTCCAACGTACTGTGTATACCGAGGGTTGCCATTCAAGAGAACTGTTGAACGCCACATACGCCACTGTCTCAGTCATTTCATCCTCGCCGTCGCCTATACAAAGTCAGCCTTGCACAGCCTCGCCCGATACGGTTAGATATCGCCAGAGAACGCCTTGGACAGCTAGACAGCGCTGTTGCCTGTGTGTCTGCCTGTTGTTGGGGCCATTTGCGGCGCTATCGGCGGTGCTATCGCCGGCCTGAGATTGTATATAGCGATAGTCAAGTCGCCAACTCTGTTGGTGGCACACAATACACATTCTTACATGTCTGACAACTGCTCAATTCAACAAGAACCCTCATTTTTCTCCCGCCTCCAGGTTCAACGCCCTGACCGGGAGAGCCAACTCCTAAAGCTGCGTCTTGAGCTGCTTGATCTCGACCACAGAGGCATCCTCTCAGCTATGCCTAGAAGTTAGTCCTGAAGCCTATTGAGGCGGCCAATGCGATAGTTCTGTTTGGCGTACTATGGATTCTGGGTCCTTCGTTGGCGCTGCATGCGGTGGAGGATGAAGGGTGAGGAAGAAGGTGAGCGAGGTGAACGAGGCGTGTGAGATCAGTGCGAAGGTGAGAGGGAAGCTGAGTCGCTGTAAGAGCGGCGTGGTCGGGGCGAGGCGCACGTGAGCCCCGAGCACTTTTTACTCATCTTGATAAGCCAAGGTCAGGTCGAGTAGCGTCATGCGTGACCATGGGAGGCGGTGATGGCCGAGGTTCTGTGAAGGCACTAGCATTTTCTGTGATTCAATATGTCAGAACCAGGATGAGACTCAACAGCGCCGATATAGAACTCACTCGAGTGATAGTCACTAGCCAAGGGGGGAACGCACTGGGACCTAGCATCTATGCCCGCGGCGCTGTCGTCCGCAGCTGACCGAGGCTCTCCCTGAATAACAGGGCCTGGGATAGAGCCTGCTGTCACATCACGATCTGCGCAGTCACGCAGAGTCGCAACCACCGTCTTCTGCTTCCGCCCAGTCACGCTGAAGTTCTCCTCAAATTCGGCAAAGACGTCGTGGATTTGGCCAACAGATGCTGGTGTATCTGAACCTATGCCATTGTCACTGCACTCGTCACTGCCATCGCCTCTGGGAGAGTACGAGTGTGGAAAACGTCGTCCTTGTGTGATATGTTGCTTCCTCCTTCTTTCTCGTCGCCTACAGGGTCATGCGTGTTGTACTTCGCCAGGCCCTCTGGAGTATCCTTTCCATCCTCTGTGTCTGGCTCGGTAAATCCTTTAGACAAAGCCGGAGAGAGACTGATGGCAGGAGTCGGGTCCGTGACTTCGAGGGTGGTTTTTTTGTCGTCAGAGGCAGCAGCGTCGGGGATATTAACTGGGTGGTCTTTGTCCAGCACAATCGGGTTGTCTGGAGAAATACGTCAGTATGTATCGTTCATGGTATGCGTACGACATGAGATCTCTATTACTCACCTTGGCTGGCTCCGGGCTGAGTGCCCGCGGCAGCCGTCGCCCTCGTAATAATAATCCTTGCCACCTGCTAGCGGAGCGGGTAATGCTGAGCAGTAGCAGCATTATTGCCTTCAGTAATTAAAGAGTAAACGATTCGTGCGGCGGTCAAAACAATCATTCTCCACTCAGTCCTATGCGGATCAAAGGTGGTCGGCCGCCATTCCTGGGCAGGATCCGGACGAGTGGCCTCATTTATTTATGATTCTTTGGATCGCGAAGAAGTCTTAACTATATAGAGTGCTTATAAAGCTACACTTAATTACGAATTATATAATGTTAAGTCTGGCTTGAGTATAGCTTGCAACGTATGTAAAGCCCGCTTCTTAGTATCTCCATGTCTATAAAACCTTTTCTCCACCTTGCACCGACAGTCTGCAAGACCTCCGAAAACTTTAAGAGCAGGTAAGGGGCTTAGTGATTCCCCGTACCCACACGTGACAACACCCTTTCGACCCTACCTTGCTATAATTTTCTAACCGCGCTCCACTAAATATATGGTTATATCCGATCCGTGAAACGACAGCGGCTAACATAAGCGAGGAAACTGTGCCTTCGTAACCCGCTGCCATTGCCTCGTTAAGAGAATGGCTAGCCTTGGAGGGAACGAATTTCAGGAGGGTCAACAAAAGGCTTCAGGTTTGCGTGGATAATAAACAATATAACATACTAAAGCCGCTTTGCGAGACCCTTGTCTGCTTGATCTCACCTACGCTCCCGACGAAGTTACTAATCTGTGTGGTAGGGCTGGGATGCTTATCGGGCAGTTATCTTCCGGGTAGACGAGGGACGAATCAGACTGACGAAAAATGCGCCCCGAGGCCAGTTCCTCCCGATACAGTTCAACGGCTCCGCGATTCCCACCAGATCGGATTTAGAGTCTGAGACGGGACAGCCTTTGAACATCGGCAAAGTGGAAATGTTTGATCAACCTGTTTGGGTCGGATCTTCTTTGGACCTAGTAATATATTCTATTAATGAGGGGGAACCGCCATCCCATCCGCCGGAAACTAAATAAAGTCGTCGATATTAACATCCTACAAGGGTAGATCCTATCCATTAAGGTGATTGATGTTGAAAGAGTTAGGGCTGTTAAGAATAGGATAATGAATTCCTTATATACCGGACACTAGAATTATTAGTATATAATAATAATAATGATACTTATGCTAGAGAATTTACCTTGGGCCGCAGCCTGCTATAGCGGGCTTTTATTTAATTAATGAGATATATTTACCCTTTAAATTCTCGGGCGTACTCGACTGCCACCCTGCTCGTCTTTACACCCGCGCTTTTCTTCTCCTGGTCGAGTCTCGTCTTAAGGTGAGGCGCCAACTTCCGAGTCGTCCGGGCTTTGAATCGAGACCGAGCGGGAGGTAGAAGTCTCGCCAGAATTCTTAGAATCACCCGTGACCGATGAAGATCGAGAATTATCTAGTATTAGTATCAGATCCGGGATTGTAAGATGAATCCTCACCGACTGGAATAAATCTAGAGTTGTCTGGTCTATAGACGGGGGCGCTAGAAATAACTAGTGGATATTATACAGTAGTATATAGAGTTTCTCTCGAAACTCTTCGAAACTGTGTTTTCGTTAGTGACGTCTAAACCTGGAAACTCGAAAAACAATAATCGGTCTTACACTCTTCCGCTGATCTGGCTCGCCGCGAATACCGGATCGTATATAACTTTAACTTTCGTCGCCTCGTATATAGACTCTTCGGGCCAGGTAACCTTCTCAGCAATCCTCCGCCCGAATTCCTTCTATTTCTCTATCGGCGCTTCTACTAGAAGAGATATGCCAAGTTCGATCCCTTTTCCACCTTAGTGTTCGCTATATAGGAAGGAGCAGTCCAGGGTTCACTTACGGATCGCGGCCTCATAGATTCGGAAGGCACTCCGCCCCCGTTGCGGTATCAGAGCGGCGACGGCCGAGTTCAAGATAGACGATCGGCCCTCCCAACGCCTCAGCTGAGGCCGGCATCCCGTTTCGATGTCGACGACCTCTTCCGCAGTTAAGGCCTTTCCTTCCCACCGAGGGTGGAAATGGTGAATGGTCCCTGCTGTGAGTTTAAGGCTATACTTCAACCGCTTGGACAGATCCCCTAATAGTTCCGCACGCTGATATAAGAGATTGGCGCATTAGTAGAGCTTGACCGCGTCAGGGAACGGGTCGGACACTTTGGAAGGCTCGAGTAGTGCTGTATTCTCCTTCAAACTCTCCGAGATTCTGTTCGCCGTTCTAACAATGTCCACCTCACGGCAATCGACAGCAGGCGGCGAGTCCGGTTCAGAAGACGAGGACGACGACTCCGGTTAAGACGACTGCGGCGGCTGGGGGGGGTTAGGGGGTTTAGAGGGTTTGGGGGGCTGAGCACGGCAAGGTATCTATCGAGAACCCGCAACCTCGGTGAAACTGAATTAATCGTCAACACCTATTAGGAATAGACCTAGGTGAATAGGTAGAGTGTAGCGATTCAATAATAGCCAGGGATTAGGCCATTCCTTGACTATTCGTCCTAACTAAGTAGACTCGAAGTATAAGAGAAGGAAGAGTCTCTTATGCGGGAAGTATACAAGAGATAAGCTCCTCGCACCTAATAGGCTTAGCGGGAAGTATTAGGTATCTATATAGTAGTGTACTTAGCTATTTATAATAATTATCTCCCCCCCCCCCCTAAGCTTCTTATCCTTAAGAAGCGTTAAGGTAGTTAGTAGTTATACTATAGGTATTTAGTATACTAACCTTTAGCGGAGAGTATATAATACCTTTTAGCTTACTAGTTCCCTAAGCTTCCTTAGAAAATAATCTATAGTATATCGCCTTTAAGTATTTAAAGTTACTATATGTCCGGGGGACAAGGTTTAGGATCTATTGTGGAAGTAGCTAAAGACCGTAGAAAGAAGGAGTAGAATATATAGTCGCTTCCTATCTTATTGAATGACTTAAGATCTATCTAAGTAAAGGAGTATAGGCCTGTTTTATATAGGCGTAGGCTCCGTCATAATATCTCGTAAGTACGAGAGTAATTGCCGAGCATTCGTAAATACGAGTTAACTCCTAGGATGCTTAGAAATCAAGTTGAGTGATTTCTAATCCTATAGAATA